TCACTTTATACTACAAGTCACTCATTGTTTCTAGGATAACAAATTTGGAGAAATGCAAAGACGGTTTCATTCCTGATCGATAAGATGGACAGTTGAAAATATTTATTCACATCCTGATCAAATTGAGTTGGTATGGAGGGTTGTTTTTATTTTCAAAAATTAGCCTTCCGCTTATATTTTTCAAAATTTTCCGAGATCCCTTAAACTTGTTTAATACAAACCAAAATACACGTATGTCAATGCAAATATCCGTACAAGATGTGATGCCTAACGAAGTTTGCTTTAACGAATTAGAATATTCACTTGTCAATTAGCACATTAAGCTTAAAATCCTTACGAGTTTGTCCCCAGTGACTGAAAACTTTCGGATGTTAAAAAATCCTACATATGTATGTATGTACCCCAGACCGACGGTTTTTATTTGCGTTTAAAACGAATCGTTCGTCGCATCGATCATGCATATCCACAGAGCTCTGTGGACATGCATCTACTCTGCAGAGTAGACTTTTTAAATACTTTAATGCTACGTTTTTACCCAACCAACACAAGTACGGATTTTCTGCAGACAGAGTTCTGACTAAATGCAGATTAAGTGCAGACAAAAAAGCACCAATTTTTTTGTACCTACTCGCTGCATATATGGCACCTAATAATTTAATCAAATTTAATCTGTATCATTTCAATGCAGATGTGGTATGAATATAATGGTACCAAAAAACCAAAGTTTATTTTGTAACTAATTGGTGCCGATTTTCTACCATTTTAACTATACAGAAAATTTGTTGTTGACGAGGTGCCTACTTGATACGGAATTTGTACCGGGGAAAATGTACTTCATGTACATCAAAAATTCTGCACCCGCTCGATACAAATAAATCCTCACAATACCAGTGCTCATTTTTCTGTACAGAAATAGTGAAGATTTGGTACCTTCTTTTAGTTACAGTGTCAGCCATTTTCTTTTTTCATTTCTCAGCTTTTTCCACCAGAAAAAATGAAGCAGTTTTGTGTAATAATTTTTGCTGTCGACAACTCTGTCGCAGTAGTGCCCAGTACCTGGATTTTGGAAAATAACAAGTGCTACTTTCCACATCCTCTTCCACCGAGTTTCAAAAAACTCCAAAAAAATCCCAACTCACTGTCTGATGTAGACAATTGGCAAGTTTGGGAAATAGAAATCAAAAAACAATACGGTACGATATTCTTTATTTATTTTTATTTGTATTTCATTAGTTTAATTTTTCATATTTTTATATTAGATGATTATCAAAGGGCAGATGCCAAAGAGAAGGAACTCTTAACAAAATTCGACATATCTAGCAGTGAGGCGGAAGATAGAAGCCAATCGCGAAGGAAAATAAATAGCGAAATTTGCAAGCCTCCTTCCCCATCTGCTTCGAATTCTATAACAGGTTGATAAGTTAAAACTAATAAACTAACTTAAAAGAAGTTGTTGTAATTAATATTTTACTGCTTAACAGGGGAACAGTTAAGCTTAGAAAACCTCAACGGGGTTGGTCAGGCGGAAGGCGGAGGGGACAATGGATTGGATGCTGATTTTCTTCGAGTAGTTGGCGACCAGAAAATTGACGAACTTACGGAAGAACTAAGAGGTTGTTTAATTATCTTATAATTAATTTAATTATGCGGCCGTTTTAATGAAAAAAACGAGGGCAAAAGTTTACTTCATTTGCGAATATTTCGAATTCATTATTCGTTCTATCTATCTATTCCTTAATATATGATCAGAAAAAGTGTTACAGATTATGACAACGATTTAATTTTTTTATATTTTTAGTAATCCTTATCTATTTTTTTATATTTTTTAGAATTTCAAAGAATTTCTCTGGAGAATCAAGAAAAACTAAAGGAAGAACTAAAAGATGTAAAGAGTCTTTTAAACTCCGTTCTTGCTTCAGGTAGACTCGTCCTGTCGTCTGCCCCTTCCGTTAAGTGGCCCTTAAAATTATTGTCGGATTTCCAGCAGTGTGAGACCATAATGGAAAATAGGGAAGATTTTGAAAAAGAGGTAACATGCTTGCAAGTTACATCTGTTACAAAATATATGCCCTTATGTAAAAAATATTTATTAATTTTTAGCTTGCCCTGGTATCAAGAATTGGAGGAACGGACGTAATAAGGACAACGTATAATTTGCTGCATGTTATGGTGGACCATGGCTTAGCATTACAATTGCGGTGGACGCCAAATACTGGAAAGGTTGAAGTGAAAGGGACAAACTTTGCAAGACTTACTAGAGGTAATATGCTTTATATATATATTTAGTATAATATTTCTCATAGAAACTTTACGCAACATAATTTAAAAATTCTAGAAGGAGTTAGAACATTTTTAAACGTCGACCAGCTTCCCGCTGATTCAAATTTGAGGAAGGAGACAACGGACGACAAACTAAATTCGGTGATCGCCAAGTGGTTTAGGGATTCTATTGGCAGAGGTGAAAATGGAAAAGAAAAACGAAAGAAAAATGCTGACTCCCGTTCGAACAAAGCAACGCCGGATTCAATTGACAGTTCGGAAGAAGTTGCAACAAATCCAAACTAGAAAAGTAACTACTTCCCGTGCAAAAGTTGTTGTTACAAATGAAGAAAGTTTTAGTTTAAATAGTTCTTTTAGCAATAATAATGTAGCTGGCAGAGAAGGGTCATTTTTAGATAGTTTTACGGTGCACAATATATGTAATTCATCGAGGAAAGTTTGTCCCCCAGCTCAAAATTCTATATCCACAAAACTCATAGAATCAGAAACACAACCAAATCCCATTAATCAATTAGCCCAGTGGTCCTTGAAAAATAATTTAACTCATAAAGCTTTATCCGAACTTTTAATTCTTTGTAGAGAATGGATGCCAAAAATAGGTTTGCCAAAAGATGCTCGTACTCTTTTAAAAACGCCTAGAAATCTTAAGGATAAAATTATAAATATTCCCGGCGGGAAGTTTTATAATTTCGGTATAGAAAATAGTTTAAGGGGTTTTATTTCAAAATTAGATGTAAAAGAGAATGTCGGGGAAATTGATTTAACTTAGATGGGCTTCCAATCAGTAAATCTTCCAATCTTCAACTGTGGCCAATAATTTGTAAAGCCAATGTAGGCAATATTAAAACTCTGTTCATGGTCAGTATATTTTGTGGAATGCAAAAACCACAATGTTTAGAATCTTTCTTAGGACCGTTTGTAAATGACTTGAACAGCATTCAATTTTTTGAGTTTCAAAAAAAGCCTTTAGAAATTAATATAAAGTACATCGTTGCTGACGCACCCGCGAGAAGTTTTATAAAAAATATCAAAACGCACAACGCATACTACGGTTGTGAGCGTTGTTATCGCAGAGGTCCTACCAATTACATAGAGTAATTTATCCAATCAAAGCCACCGCCGATATTTATACTGATTCAAGCTTTTTACAACACTTGTATACCCCACACCACAACGGAGTGTCACCATTGGAAGAAATCAATTTTCCAATGATTTCAAAAATACCTCTCGACTACATGCACCTTGTATGCTTAGGAATAATGAAAAAACTTTTGGTAACTTGGACCAAGGGCAGAAAGTCCAATAAACTATCTGTGAAACAGAGAGATATAATCTCGAAAAGGATGCGATTTTACAGAAAATTTGTGCCAAAAAATTTTGCTAGAAAGCCACGAGGACTGGAAGATTTATCGTATTGGAAGGCCAGAGAGTATAGATCGTTTTTGTTGTACTGGGGTCCAGTTTGTTTAAGGGGTGTTTTGCCTGAGGAAAAGTACGAGCACTTTTTAAAATTTCACACAGCGATTTATATTTTAATTTCTCCTTCTGCCAACTATACAACTTGGGTAGATTACGCCGATACTTTAATTCGTGATTTTGTAAGTATGGTTCCAAGACTTTATGGAAAAGAGTTTTTAGTTTATAATATGCATAGTTTGATGCACTTATGTCAAGACGTAAAATTGCATGGACAGCTTGATAACTTTAGTGCGTTTGATTTTGAAAGCTATATGCAGAATTTAAAGAGAATGCTGCGATCAAAATCCAATCATATTTCACAAGTTATAAATAGAGTGAAAGAGTACGAAACTTTAGAAAATTGTAGACTAATGTTATCTAAAACTAATGACTCTGATTGTAAGGTTGGAGAATGTTGGATTCATGACTCCGGTACTGTAGGATTGATTTTTAAGTATAGTGGTGAAATGGTATTTAGAAAGTTTGATAGCTTTCTCAATGTTAAAAGCTATCCATTAAAAAGCGAAAAGCTTTTCATAGGTTTTGTTTCAAATTTAGGTCCTTCAATACATTTTTCAAGAACAGATCTGGTTAAAAAATGTTTACTTTTAAGTTACAAGGATAAGCAATTATGTATTCCTATGTGTAATTCATAATTTGTAATAGCACTTTTTTTATACTTATTAAGGGACAATAATTAATTTAATGGCTCATTAAATGTAATAATGTAATACAATGTAATAATAAAATGATATTATTTATGCAAACTAGACACCATTTTTATACCAGAATTTACACCATTTTGGCACCGTTTTGGCACCATTTTTGTACCAGGAAAGGCACCATTTTTGTACCAGGAAAGGCACCATTTTTGCACCACTAAATTGGTACGGGCATAGTGTGATCATTTCGGTATTAAAACGCTGCAGTCGTTTCCTCATAATTCTGGTAGTACCGAATTATTGGTACCGAATCGGCACCAGTAAATCTGCACTAATAAGGCACCAACAAAGTCGGCAAATCCTAACTCTTTCCGCACCAAGGAATCCGTACGATTTCGGTACTGTTTAGGTGCCGCCTGTGTTGGTTGGGTAATAATGAGATAATTTGTTTCATTCAAAAATTATGCAAACCTATGCAATACGTGCGTCAGCATGCAGACGGTAATGACAAGTAATTTTCCTGCTCTAATTTATTTAACTGTGTACATTCATAGCTATAAAATATACAAACTGCCATAGTTCGAGCAACATACATAAATATATCTTTAACCCACATATACCTACTATTAGTATTTATATAATATCGTCGTCAATATTGTGACATATATAAAAACATGACATAATTTCGTGTATATATTATTTTTCCTTCGTTGCTGAAATTAAGCAATTACTATTTTACAGCATTTTTTTTGTGGTAAACCAAATAAAATTGATCCCATGGAAATCTGAGTTTTACATGTGAAAGATCTGCATTGTTAGCTTAACATGACATAATTTGTTTCATTCCAAAATTTTTCTTCCTTACGCAACACTTACATCTGGGTCGAAGTAATGACGAGTACTTTGTCTATGATAATGTATTTGAATACTAGCATAGTAAAAAAATGTATGCACAAACTAGCAAATTTTGGGCACAAATCTTTGACTAATGATACACGTATTTATTATTGACCTGGTTACATTTTTATGTAACATGCCATAACGACGTATGTACATACATATAAATGTTCTTCCAATATCTGAGATTCGGTAATACGTATACATAAATAGTGTTCCTGATGAATATACAATGAATCATGCAATCAATCGATTGCTGAAAACTACTTACATAGGTATCACTACCGATTTTTCAAAAGCTTCACAATAATTACTTACATATATATCATTCCTTCATAATCATTAGTAAAATATTATCTGATGAAGCCTTTCCCACGTGTTGAACGTGTTGTATATGCACTCCTTTCACCGTTGCAACGGACGTCACCAATTTTGCAAACAAACTTTACAAAATCTTGCAAAATGCTGGAAGACCCTGTATCAAAATTCTCCCAAACAAAGTCCAAAAACCTGTTCTCCATCTCTGCAATTCTTGTCGTCGTGTTGTAAATCAGATAGCAATCTGGCACCTTTCCCTGTCGTAATGGATTTTGCAAAACTTTATTCAGCATCGTGGCCCAATAGAGGATACATTTGTACTGCGTGTAGACATAAACTCTCCACTTGTCGTATCTTTCTCGAAAAAGGTGATCCTTTCTGCAGTCCGGAGCTTGCTGAAAGTACCGAAAAAACCGAGCCGTTTTTCCTCTTGGGTTACAATCTTGTGACAAAATTTCTGCCATGCTGCGAAATCTACTTGAACGCCAGTTATCGTCGTCTTGTTTCTTGCATCCTTGACTTAGTTGCTTACTGACAAACTGTTCTAGGGACGATATCATGACGGCAATAGCTACTCCGACGGAATGGAGAGATTTCAGTGTTTTCACCAAATAAAAAGCACACCCCATAGATAACTGAATTTGTGGAGGATGTCGGTTAATGAATTCGATTTCCTCATTATTTGAAGAAAGTGACCTAAATAAATAGTCACATTTTGCGAAGAGTGAAATGGTGTCCATATTTTGAAGAGAAGGGCATCGTTCTTTTATCGGGGATTCGGTGGAAACGCTGATCGTCTTTACTTCTTTCCCTTCATGCGTTATCAAGAAGATGGTATCTTCTCCCAGAATTATACGAGCGGTGTACTGAATAAATGGGATTGCGATGGATTGCGATGGTGGGGCAGAGTCAAGTTCGAATTGTGGGTAGAGGAGGACAGTTTTAGTGTAAGCGATTTTCAGCAAACCTGCGGGTAGTTGACAGGTCGCGTAGAGATCGAGGAACCAAGGAGGGAGGTGGATGGATGAGGAGTCAGCCACAATTTCCACGTTGTGGTTGGATAAATGGTCAGAACCATGTGTTTTCTCCACCGCTTCAGAATTATCTTCTTTCAAGGTTAAGTTTTGAAACAGTTGTTCTCCTGGACACTCCCCTTTTTGAATAATTGTATCGTCTTCGCACTTTTTTGTATTAAAACTTGTCCCCATTTTGGCTAGAAGGAAGACTTGAATTCTTTGTAAAACTTCGATCTCCGCATTTCCGCCGGTGTAGCTTCTCACGACGAATGACACCTTGTTATTGACATCTTCGCGTTCTGATATCTCAATAGTTTCAATCACCTTCAAAAAATTATTATGATTAAAGTAAATTCAAAACATTTTCTGTGTATGTACTTTAGCAAAATTAGCATTTTTGTACTTACAGCAGCTAGCGCTGAGTTAAACGAGTCCTGGCGCCCAATCCAAACAAGAATTGCCTTGATGTTTTGGGAATACGTTTCCGCAATGTCGCATCCCTCAAGCTGGGCGACAAAAGTTGAAAAAGTAGAGGGTTCGTAGTCGTTTCCAATCAGGCAGGTCGCTAGGGAGAGGAGGCGAACGTCTCGAATACCGAATTCTGCCTCCCAGATTTTTGCAGAGTTGATAAAACATGCATCGAATCCGGTAATTTGTCCAGTGGGTGTTGAATCTCTCCAATTTTGCGAGGATGCCAAACCGCGATGGGAGAATGACTCGATGTCAACGACTTTGAGGCCGTTATAATAAACGTGAAAGTCAGAATCAGACGAAAGAATTGCACAATTTAGCTCCTTAGCGGCAAGGGCGATTGTGTCGTCGGCTTCCCAAAGGGTTTGAAATTGGGGAATGTTCAACTCACGGAGAACATCGTGCATGATGGCCTATAAATTTAGTAATAATGACATAAATTCTAATATTTGAGATGAATATATGTTTTAAAGGAGGTTTGGTTTTTAGGGCTTGACAAGCAAGTAAATGTGTAGGTTTGACTAGCAAATAAACTGTATATATACACACGAAAAGTATACGAAAAATAATATATGAAAAAATTACACTTTTCCAAACCGAGTGTTGCATATTTCTGGCAACAATGTGATCCACGTCAGCTTTGTAGCTTTTTAGCAACCAGTCCCGAAAGGATTTGAGAACCGTGTTAACTTTTTCCTTTTCAGTAGCACCATCAAATATTACAATTGGCTGAATCATGGATTTATCTAACTGGTCGAAAAACGTGCGAATTTCGGCGGCATAGGAGTTGAAATTTCCTCCGAATAAGTGATCCCCATAATTGCCGTTGTGTTTAAAGAAGAGAAAGTACATCAAGTTTGATCCATCGATTAGGAGGATTTGAGAGTGAAATACCGATTTTTCTTCGTATTTTAATTTGTAACTGGTCAAAAATTTGTGTAATCCCTTGACACCCATTCCTCTGAATGTCTCCTGTCCTCTGAATTTGTTGATTCTGTTAATTTAAAAAAAATTAAAAATCATGCTGATTGGACTATCAATAACGTCTCCCAGAATATACTCTCAGATTTTTAGTAAATTAGTTTCAAGCGATCACAAATTTAATTAATATTACAAAGCATCTGCCAATCCTCAGGCTTGACGGAGATATTTCCAAATAGAGAGATAAAACCTTTGTACCCTTAAGGTGACAAATTTTTCAGTTTCCAAAGTTACTTCGCCATTCTCCTCTTCGGATTAGTTCGGATACAAATATCTCTCCCAGACTGTGCATTGGCAGATAGTGTGTTTTGCAAATTTCTTATTAATTAAATTTGTTATCGATTGATGCGGGTTTGGTTAAAATTTGTGAGAATACATACGCGGGGAGATCTCCATATAAGATTTTACCAGCTTATATAATTTTACTTAATGTATTTAAGGTTTTTAAATTATAAACATGATTCGCCGTTTGCGATACGAATATTTTACTTGGATCTTCTTACAAAAATTTGTAATCATGCAGAATGACTTACATATTTATGTATGCATTACCAAAAATATATTTAATTGAAATTAAGATCAAAATAAATACTTACATAAGTACATTAATTAATTAATATTCCTGAAAATGATTAACAAGTTTACAACTTCAGTGCAATATGTACCTATGTGTAAGTTTAAGGTGTACTACATGTCAACATGAGCAAACCCTCGGTTACTATTTATTAACAAGTGATAAGAAAACCTACACAAGACTTTCTCATTCATGCAGCCGATTCAAAGGACTCGGAATTTACCGAATAAACACATAAATAAAATTCATAACGTATACATACATACATACACTCTTAGAAAAACGGTATTGAATCATCACCAAATTGGGAGCCCACATGACTTAACCAAATTGTGATAATATTTACCCCACATTGTGATAAATCTTCCCCACAATGTGTTAAATCCTCACTATCGATAGTGAGGATTTAACACATTGTGGGGAAGATTTATCACAATGTGTGGTAAATATTATCACAATTTGGTTAAGTCATGTGGGCTCCCCATTTGGTGATGATTCAAATTGATTCAATACCGTTTTGCTAAGAGTGTACCTAAGGTACATAAGTAGATACATATGTATGTCAATATGTATATACTTGTTTGTGAAGTTTGTATGATAAATAAGGCCAGCCACCAGTGTTAGTGGATATGTAGATCGGGATACGGGTTACTTGTCGAATCCTATGTCGTCGAAAAGGTAAGTCGTCTAAATCAACTTGTCGAATGAAAAACTCGTCAGAAAGGCAAGTCGTCGAATTTAGGTGGCATGAAACTCGTCGAATTTCATGTAACATTATTACTGATTTTACCTATATGAGTTCACACGTATACACAATACATGTGCATCGTGGGACGAATATACACTGCGGACATTCCAAAATATTCAAAATATTACACAGCAGTAATTCGGAGGATTGTTTTGTTCTTTTTACGCTTATATTTTAGACTAAAGATGTCAAATTACTGTTACGAACTGTAACTTAGCAAAGAGAAACTTAAATTTGAAGATAAGCTGTTCTGATGGATTTTGAACAAGCTGAGATAAAAGCTGTACACGACACGTTTCCAGACTCCGTACATCACGGGTGTCATTTTCACTATACTCAAGCGTTGTTTAGGCATTTGACACCCAATTTAAAGAACCAGTACGACCAAGACGTTACAATGGCATTATTAATAAATATTTGGTCTCGCATTTGTTCAGCTCGATGATTTAAGAGTGACATTCCGAGAATTGAAAGTATCGTTCAATTTTAATGGTCAAACTAAACTCGAACTGAATGAATTTTTAGCCCGAGTCAGGGCTTATGTACCCGTCATGTCCGTCTGTCTGTCTGTCTGTCTGTCTGGTTTGCGATAACTGCCGTTAAACTAATCCGATCGACTTGAGATTTTGCACAAATGTAGTCTGGGTCAAATGAGGAGTTAAGTTCGAAGATGGGCGAAATCGGTCAAGTGGTTGACCGGTGGGGGTCATATAGGTGGGTGGGGTATTATGCATCAAAATTTCAAAATTGACGTAGAAAGCTGAAATTAGGTGCAGAGGTTGATAATGATTTCTAATGAAGGAATACAAAGTAAAATTGCAAAAATTTTCATCTGGAGGGACCCTAGTGACCCATACCGATTTTTAAAACTTATCCAATCGAACTGAAATTTGATACACAGGTTGTTAATGACTACCAATAGAAGAATATGAATTGAAATTGGACACATATTCACCTGGACAGACCCTATGGGGTGACCCATACCAATTTTTCAAATTCGTCAAATCGAGCTGAAATTTGGTAGACAAGTTGGTAATAGCTCCTAATGAAGTAAAATAAGAAAAATTTTCACCTGGAGGACCTTATTAGGCGACCCAATCAGGTGACCAGGGAGAAAAATATGTGTGCACCAACAAATGTATACGAACCTAGTCACCCGGGTGGCTGGAATTTGCATATGTTGCGTCTAATATTACTAGGATAATATCCTGAGAGTTTTAGGAAAAACAATACACTCGTTTCAAAGTTATGGCCACAGTCGATACTGGTGACCAAGGGAAAAAAATGTGTGCACTAACAAAAATTTAGTGATAGTGGATAAATTTTAGTATATGGGTTACTAAAGGCTCTTAATTGAACAATTCGAAGTTTAAAAAATTTTAATTTGGAAACAGATTTACGCCTGACTCGGGCTATATCAAGTCTGCACTGTAGGTTTTTTAGTTATGTTCAAAAAACCTACATCGGTATAGTATACGATCCACTAATGTTTCCAATACTCTTCTGGAATGTGCACCAAAGTGTATTAGATAATATTTTCAGAACCAATAATGCAGTGGAGGCCTGGAACAGGCGGTTTGGCGTTCTTGCTGAGAGTTCTCATGTAAATGTTAATTTATAAAATTATAATTTATATTTAGAATCGTATTTTATTCAGAAAAATACTGTCGACAAGTATTATTTTCGACCACTTGCCCAAATGACGAGTTACCCTTCAGACGACTCGTCCTCGACGAGTTACTCTTTCGACGACCATGTTTTCGACGAGCTACCCTAGACCCATGTAGATCAATGTTTGCGTGGTGACAAAGGCGTGCAAACGAACTATGTATAATGCTTTATCGACAAGTATTAGTTTGGTCTGCATAAGTCACCTCTCAATATTTACACATAGATATGCAGGGTGTTTAAACGTACATATGTATGTATCGCTACAATGGAAAATTTTGTAAAGGGAAAAACCAGTATTAGTTCTAGAGATTTGCGACTGACATTTGTATTGATCATTCTTATTTACTATCAAGCCTTATGCAACATAGTGGCAAAATTCTTAAAATCTTGAATTTCAGAGGTAAATGTTTCATAAACTTATTAATTGTTCCTCTGAAACACTTTTCCATTGTGGCGACATATTTACACCATCCTGACCGCATATCCAAGAATTGGTGCTATAGAAACATTGTCTCATAAACGCGATGTCGTAACTTTTCAAAAAGTTTCGAAAATTAAAAATTTACTCATGCCTTGCCCAAGTTATGATCAAAAACGATCCATTGATTAGTGCCAGTTTAAACTAGCAAGATGTAATTAGAGAATATAACTTCCCAGAAAAATACAGAATCTGTAATTTTAAACCACGAGTATATCACCCCTGTTTTGAAACAATTTCAATATTAACTAAACGTACGTCCATTTCAGTACACTACTGAGGATATAAATATGGGTACCTACTTTAATAAAGCCTTACCCCCCTTATGGCTGAATATTAACTTGGTTGCTTATTTAGTAATTTGTATTTAACAAGGCAGGAACATGCTCTTTGTGAAAGTCCCAAATCATACCACAATGTTGAAAAACGAAGTATTAAAACCTTCGAGAGTAAGACGTTTGTTATCATTTTTTGCTAGCACGCACGCAGCAGTGAAATACATCAAGTATTTATGAATGACACGGGACAATTTATTGATTTAAGACTTTAACTTCTTATCGAATGTTTGCATTCATTCAGATTATTCACCTCAACCAAGGCTAGTACGTTCTCAAGAAGTCACCCTAAACCTTATCATGTCAACCTACTCCAGAATTTTTTTCATAGTCTACACATTTCCAATTTCCTCAATGTTTACAACCGCATGGCACGACGTTGACTTAACCTTCATATTCACTCCAGAATGTGACAAGTTATTCTACGTAGACTCAGACTACCACTATTTTCAAACTATCAGAGAAAATAATCCCCACACCCCGATCCGACAAGTTGTCCTTTGCCACACGGCGTCTTTATTCAAAATTGCTAAATCAGCTGTAGGATATCAAAATATGGATAAATCCACACGCTCGAGAGCCGTCGTTATTCCACTAGATACGAAAATGGCATATAAAAAGGCGTCGGGATATTTGAAGTGTGAATCTTTGATGTATATTGCTAGCAAGGAATTTCGACAAGAATACTTGATAGGTCGCACCGGCTTACGACGAGATAATGCATGTCTTACTCGTGCGGCACAGTTTATAGGTACTTCGAAATTACTGCTCTTCGAGGAGAATCTCACATTCTCCGTCTTTATTCCATGTCTGACGTGTAATTCAAACATATTTGCTAAACTGGAGACTATCTCCATTGCAGGAATAAAAACTGCTTGGGACAATCAAAATAGGAATATGCATAAATATTTAGCATATATCTGGGCCACCGAAAACGTAACTTGTGGTATGAAGCACAGCGGATTTGAAAATTTAAATCATCCATATATCTGTCCTATAAAGGTGATTGGAGAAAAATACAATTTGACAATAACGGAAGCTGAAAACCATGAACATGTTTTATTTTCGTATTCAAAGAGGAGTTTTGGCGCCGCCATATTTTTAACCAGCAAGAAAATTCCCCTGGATGATTCAATTTATCAAGTTAATTTCAGATCCATTAACTTCATTACTATTACCAACCCGCCGTCCTCTTCCAGCGGTGTGGAAACATTCATGTCTCCCTTGGACGTGGAAACTTGGACTTGCCTGTTGATCAGCAGTCTCGCAGTAGCTGGGTTTCTGACGTGGATAGATGGCAGTGATGGGATTTTTGCCCCTCGTTCTCATTTTTGAGTGAGGGGGAGGAGTAAAGAGGGGGAGTAGCTAGTGTTTTTGCTCCAAAATGAGGGGAGAGGAGGGGAGGACTAAAAATTTGAGGAATTAGTGAGGAGAGGGGAGGACGAGGATTAAAAATTTGAGGAGTTAGTGAGGGGAGGGGAGGAGGAGGACTAAAAATTTGAGGAATTAGTGAGGAGAGGGGAGGACGAGGAGTAGAAATTTGAGGAGTCGATGAGGGGATAAGAGGACGAGGAGTAATTTACTCCTCGTCCTCTTTACTCCTCTTCGAGTAAAAGGAGGGAGTAAGACACAGATAGATATATACTACTGTCCGCTCTGTGACTGTCCGTCTATCTGTCTGCCTTTATCCACGATAACTTTAGAACGGATTCAAATTTCGCTATGCGGTTTTCGCGACGTGTTTCTAATTTTGAAGTACGGATGAGTTCGAAGGTGTGCGTCGTAGGTCATAAAGTCACGGCGCTACGGTGATGACATAAACGGTCTAAGATGTCGAATTTTTTATTTTGACCGTTTTAGACTTATTTTTAGACGGGGATTTCAAAAATCGCCATCATTTCGACGTGCGACGATACCATGACCGTGTAGATGTCGCCAAAGTCGAAAATTGTTGAATTTTTCGTCTCGACCGTTTTAGACGTAGATTTGAGCGGGGATTTCAAAAATCAACGGTTTTGTCATCTCACGACCCTGTGAGGAGTAGAAATTTGAGGAACTGGTAAAGGGAGGGGAGGGTGAGGACTAAAACTTTGAGGAGTTAATGAGGGGAGGAGAGGAGGAGGACTAAAAATTTGAGGAATGGCTGAGGGGAGGGGAGGATGAGGACTTAAAACTTGAGGAATGGGTGAGGGGAGGGGAGGATGAGGACTTAAAATTTGAGGAATTGGTGAGGGGAGGGGAGGGTGAGGACTTAAAATTTGAGGAATTGGTGAGGGGAGGGGAGGGTGAGGAGCTGATCAAAAGTCCCAACTCTGATAGATGGGCACCAGGCAAGCAGGAACGGCTTGATGTTCCATTTCGCTATAGCTCTAGATAAATTTATCGTCGTTACTGCGATTCTTCTTGGTCAAGTTGGCAATAGTGCGGAGAAGACGTATCGAGTAGGAAAAGTAGTATTTACAGTATGTAACAAAAGTATAGCTACGATGACATATTTTTTATCTCGACATGATGCCGTAATATTTCAACTCTGAAACTCCGTAAAAAAATGTCAAAACTATCTACCGACAATTTCCTCGTCGCCGATTTTTAATGTCGCAGATAGGTCAAAGGTCAGGATTATTTTTCTGAAAAAATTTGAGGCGTCGAAAAAAAAACTTCGTGGATAATTTTTTTTGAAACTTGCAATATTTTTTACTGCATGCGGCATGCGTTTTGAAGAATAATGAGCTTTGGTCGGACCGTGTACGATTTTTTTGGCGCCCACAGGAATTTTTCGCCCAGGACAGGTTGGAGGTCTAAAATCGCCGCCTTGGCGAAAATTAAAAAACTGAAATATACGTTTGCATATAGAGGGTCCGGATATGCAAACGTATATTTCAGTTTTTGAATTTTCGCCAAGGCGGCGATTTTAGACCTTCAACCTGTCCTGGGCGAAAAATTCCTGTGGGCGTCAAAAAAATCGTACACGGTCCAAACAAAGCTCATTATTCTTCAAAACGCATGCCGCATGCAGTAAAAAATATTGCAAGTTTCAAAAAAAATTATCAACGAAGTTTTTTTTTCGACGCCTCAAATTTTTTCAGAAAAATAATCCTGACCTTTGACCTATCTGCGAAATTAAAAATCGGCGACGAGGAAATTGTCGGCAGATAGTTTTGACATTTTCGTACGGAGTTTCAAAGTTTAAATATTACGGCATCATGTCGAGATAAAAAATATGTCATCGTAGCTATACTTTTGTTACATACTGTATCTTCCTAACTTTATGGCTTTTCGGAAATCTCCTCCTTATGGGAAATTTATACCAGGGTTCGATATATTCATGCTTGGCAGTGCTTACCCCACCCCAGACTCCACAGGGCATAGATGATCTTATCAAGTGGGATGTTCTCGTAGTAGCGATGGATATTGTGTACAACGCTGAAATCCGTAAAGTTGAAACATTCCTTTTGGATCAGATTATCCCCGAATTACTCGCAAATGGGATCCAAAGTCCTAAATTTGCCAAATTCTTGACGAAATTTCAAACTAAATCTTTATCAAAAAATGACAAGTCAGGAACTGATGTAGTGAAAACCGTTTTAGAAATTAATTCCACACAGTCTAATCAACCGATTGTCTTAATGTATTTCGAGGATAAATTAGAACTTGCCATGAATCAGATTAAAATGATAGGAAATCGACGCATTACGAAGTACAAGGGTGACTCTCCATTCAGGATTGTAAATTTTCTAGCTGGTACGAAAAATTTTCTCTCGCCGTATATTGCGACGGAATGGCGACGTATGTGTGAGGCCGGTCTGATCCAGACGTGGGACAAGATGCTCATGCTTAGCTTATTGAGACGTAATAAAAGGAATAATTTAGGCGAGCGTAGATATTTTGAGGGATTACAAAATTCATTGGGGGTTCCGACAGCGTCAGAGCATTTTCATGAAGCGATACCCGTTTCAGTGGAGCTAATTCAACCCATATTTATCATTTGCTCAATGGTGATAGGGATCAGTATGATTGGATTCATGATTGAAAATGGGAAGCGTCGTAATTACTTTGGGACAACTACTCTCCTATCATTCAATAATAAACCTATTATAACTAGGGTTGCCCCGGGTAGTGGTACTACCCGGCTACCCGGTACTCGGCCTAAAATTATTGCCGGGTACCCGGCTACCCGGCCGGGTACCGGGTAATATTTCTATATTAAAAATAACTGGAATTTTTCTACTTTTTCCAGAATTTGCAACACTTTTATTAGTTTTAAAAATTGTAAGTTAAATTTCTAATGTGGAGACTTCATTTTTAACCTCCATACCAAATTTCAGGTGAAAGTAATATTTTGTAAAACTTGGTATGGGTGGTCTTCTCTATGGTTACACTCAGCATGGTTGCACTTTGCTCCCCCAATCCCCCAATACGACCCCCACAGTCCACCGATTTATGTAGCGTATCTTTGAACTTGTTTCCTACATATATCGATGCATATTGTAAAAATTTCAACTTCTCAGACTAACGATTCGGGCTAGAAAGTGGATATTACATAAATGAAAGAATAATGTGGGACACACAAAGAGCGTACTCACGACAATGCCTTATCATCGCAATCATTTAGTAAACTTGTGAGGCTTAAAAAATTTATTTCTTGAGGTGGATTCGAATCATCTCACAAAACAAATTTTGCGCGAATTTCGAGGTGATATCCTGTGAATCGATTAACAAGAAGATAGCACTTCGAAAGCCTCGCAAATCAACTAAGCCTATTTTGATCTTCTGGTCATGAATGTTAGCCATTTCTCTCAATCGTGAGGATGAGTCTGCGAAATAATCTTACGAAAGAAAAACAATGGCTTTTTAGCAAAAGCTTTGAGAAATCTTGCAAATTTCTAACAACTTTACAAGTTATGCTTAATGTGCAAGATATGCGAATTCACTGATTAGTAATTCGTTGATGTGGGTGCGCTCAAAAGAATTAAAAAATTTGTATGAGAAGTGTTGGCCAAGCTTGTACCCATTCTATCCAAATATATTATTTTATACCAACTGCAAAAATTAAATCCATCGGATTATATTTTTTGTAAGATTATGCATTTTAAGTAAGAAAATTAAATATTTAAATTACCCGGCCGGGTAGACCGGGTACTTAATGATACCCGGCCGGGTACCGGGTATCCCAAAACAGGCCGGGTATGCCGGGTACCGGGTAACTACCCGGTACCCGGGGCAACCCTAATTATAACCTATATGTAGGATAAGATTTTGATAATTTTATGGAGAATGCATCAGCATATCTGTACAGTCACATGTACCTAAATGGATACGACAAATTTATTAATTTACATGCCCAGAATAACTTTAAAGATTTGAAGTACATACATATATTTTTAATGTTGAAAGCTGTTATTTTCTCAAATCAAGGTTGTAAGTATTGATGATAACTGATAACTTAAAATAGAGGAAGAATACTTAATATTATATGTATACGCTCATAAATAAACGTTTTAAATGATTACCCATGTTCTACACTTAAAACTTACAGTTTGATTAAAATTAGAAATGCTTCATTACGATCATTCATAAGCTGATACATAGCAGGCATACGTACTTATTTATCTTACGCACCTCATAATTACGTACGTCATAAGTACCTTTTCATAATTGTAAACTTTTGAAAATAATTTTTTTAATATAATGACAGAACTTGGTTAATATAGAATTGAGGCTGCATTTACTTAAATACTGTAATCGAAGGGGTAGAATCTACTTGAAAGGTGTAGCCATAATTACATTGTTTTTTCATTGTTTAAGATTTGGCAATTGCTCTGTCTATACTAGAAATTTAGGCCTGTTACCCTGTAACATAATTAAACTATACAAGATTATTGTTGTACATTCATATTTTAACAATTTCAAAAGGACGCTCGCAAAATTAAATAAAAATTGAGACCAAAAATTTATGGTTCGTTACGATGAAACTTTTTATAGTGTCGATTTAACCCACTTTTTAAGAAGAAACGTTGCCCACACAAATCGCATCTGAGTCTGCAGTCTTGTGCGTCTCCTCCCCGGCACAGATTTCGAATTCGTGCCTGCGCAGTTGAGGCGGGACGTCGATGTCTGTCCAGATTAACTTGATTGGAAAATGTTCTCTGACAGATGGGACACTGGACGGAAATGTCGCATGGTGAATGTTTCAGGTAAATGTGACGTTTAAGGTGCGTTTTCGTGCTGAGCTTTTGCGAGCAAGTGGGACGTTCAAATATGTTTTGTTTGTTATGTAAATTGCAATTAAATGCGGATCTCGATTTGATTTCTGATCCACTCAAGTTAGAAGATTTTGTTTGATTGGCACGATTTAAATTTTGAATTTTTGCCGCTGCACAAGTAAGATTTGGAACACTAGGAAGATTGTCGAAGTTTCTTGAACTAAACTCTGATAAGAAATTTGTAGCTGATATTTTTTCGATTAATTCATCCCAATTAATCAATTCCTTTGATGGAGTAGTGCTTCCTGCTTCTATGAAAATATTGCAACATTCTTCATACAATTCGTCTTGGTGAATATTGAATTCTGGTAAAATTTCACTGAACAAGTCATCCTCCATGGTTTTAATTTTCACATAAGATTAGATGTGAATTGCGTCTAAAATTTACGCTACTACTATCAACAACTTCGTCTGTAGGGAAAAAAATCGTTTTTTAGAAATATTTATCAAAAAATATATCTACTTTCAATTGAAAATGGGAACCTTGTTTGTCGTCTGGACGCCGCCAAACAGCTTTCAAGTCTGTGAATTTAGTGTGTCGAGTGAATATCCCAAGGTACTTATGCATGTCTGCTAGAATTCGCATCCATGTAATTTTTTATTTGGGAGAACATGTTGCATTCTCTACGGACTAAAAAATTGATAAACAGGTTTGCCATAAGACCTTGTAGACCACAAAGTCTCAAGGTGAATATAAATTTAGACCATTAATTATGGTGCAAATTCATGTCTATTTAGTTTAATAATCTGACTTGAGCCATGTAAATGCTAAGTATGTGCAATGAAAAATGAAGAAATTTTAACTACATAAGTAAATGTGAGTTTAACTACACATTAAGCGTACATAAATATCGATATGAAGGTTCCTGAAAACTTTTATACATATGTATACTTTAAACCATTGTAGACGATTCTTAAAATGAGTACGAAAAATAATTTCAGGAATTGCTAAGGTGCAACTATGGATTGGATGCATATATATTTCTCCTAAGTGTATTCTTGTTAGATTTATTTTATGCAAAGAATTGATATGAAAATGTATTTACAGAAAATGAAAATGTATTTGAAAAATGAAAATATGAAAATATATTTTTCTGTATGTGTAAACATGTAATTGATCTATTTAGTTAAATAATTTAATGGTTGTTTAAAAGTTGTACCAAATATAGCATTCGTGCATTTCTCAATTTTAAATATATGTATGCTTTGTGACTTACAATGGAGATCTCTCAACGTATGCTCACCGATTTGGACCAAACTCGTGTCAATCGATCACGAATATAATTAGTATGAAATTTGCTAATGGAACTATCTGCCAATGTGCAGGTTTTGCGGAGATATTTGCATAAAAAGAGGAGAAAACGCACCAAAAGGCTGGCATATTTTACATTTTCCAAATTTCCTGCGCATTTTTCCTGCCTCGAATGCAAATATCTCCGCCAAACCTGCGTATTGGCAGATAGTTCCATTTACAAATTTCATACTAATTAAGGGGTGAAAGCCCTTTATAAGATCGTTATGTCCGTCTGTCCGTCTGTCTGTCTGTCCGTCTGTCCGTAGCTCCGATAACTTTTGAACGAAAAGACATAAACACTTGAAATTTTGAACATAAACTCCTAACGCCAATGGATAGGACGAGTTCGAAGATGGACACTGTGACATCGTCACCTGTGACGATGACGCCGTCACAGTGACGAAAAAGTGTCACTTGTCGTTTTGGCATGTGACACGTCATTTTTAACTATTTTTCAACGTCGAATTCAATGGTGACCTTCATTTTGACCTCAGAGGTCATCAAAAGGTCATAGGGCATATATATGTCAATTTAACAAGAAATTCATTTTAACGTATGAAACAGTTCTTTCACCCCTTGGTTACATTCGTTGTAACGGTATATTATATTTGTGATCGATTGACACTAGTTTGGTCCAAATCTGTGGGCATACGATGGGAGCCTCCATTGTTAATACACAAGTACACCCGATAAAAATATACTGATGCTCTGTTGCTTGCTAACTCACTTCTCACGTATGCACTAAAGTAGTTGCCCCCATTTGCGTCGTAAAACAATATTATGACCATTTTTATTGGAATGCATTTTTTACTGATAGAATTGCATAGGTACTTCGGATTAGTATATTGTCTTAAAGGCACATGTAAGGCTTTATGTAAAATCTTTGCACGAATGCAGAGCGTGCTTTGAAACAAGTTCGACTACATTGTGACAAGAACAGACAAATTGCATCCTTTCCCTTGCATGTGGAGTGGATACAAGAAAAAAAAACTTTGCCTCGCCATTAGGACATGTAGATTTTTATGCACTTATGTAAATTCATTTTGCACAATGCAAAGCTTGGAACTAGTTCCATACACAAACAAATTCAGTCCTTAGTAACCGGTTATTTAGGCTGAACAACCACATATGCAAACTTTAACTAAATATTATTTAGTTACTACAGTAATTTATTTCATAATAATAGTTAAGGCGACGTATTGTCACTAACAGGAAATAAGTCAAAAACTCGTGTAAAAATAACTTGATGTTAATCGAATGGTGATTTGTCTCCCGAATTACATATGTATTTAGTAGATACATTTGTACATATAAGTACACACAAAATATTGACTTATGAGTATCTTACGCGTGTACCTATTAAGCATTAAGAGTTTGGTTGCAATACATTACTGCATAAATGATGTTTTGCTTCTCGGATTTTTTAAGTACTATCTTGATCGCTTATAAATTGCGATTGAACAAACTAAAGAGGTTTGGGAGTACCTAAACTTGACAAGATTATAAGTAGATAGTAGCTATATTCTATAGCGAATCATGCAGATTATGTATTTAGATGAATAAGTAGATATGTATGCATACATATGTACCTTATAGACGAGAGCTAATACATACATACCTCTGTAATTTAAGAATCTAGACAGTACCACTTATTTATGACATTTCTGGTGCAACCCTTATGCACAACAGGCACGATTCACATTACTCAATTAAAAGACGAATTAATTGAGAACAAATAAAGAAATGCGCTTTCAGCGATATGATGCAAGTGCAAAGATGTATATCTTGCATTGGAGCCACCGATATAGCATGCACGAAGACCCTATAATTACGAAACCAAATATGTTAGCTCCCCAAATAAATTGGAATTATTTCGGGAGGTCTCGAATTTTGCAATCAGCGTTCAGTGCTGACAATAAAAGCGGTTTAATCTTGTAATAATTCTCATTTAGCGTGCCTGAATACACTGTTAAAAATCTAGTAAATGTATCTAATCATGCAGGTATTGATTCCTCAATATTCAAAGTGCTGCACTTTGGTATCAAGTATACAAAAGTTTGCTATGGATATGGACAACTTTAAGGGACTATATTTTGAGGCCATCTAAAAAGGATTGTTTCCCATTTAAATGGATAAAATTCCTGAAGCTACTTTTGGCCATTAACAAATATTTTCGGACCCATCTAAATTTCCATATGGCCACTTAATTAGATATTCAAATTTATAGTAGAAACCATTATAGAAGCATGACAATCAGTTATACATGCATGCTTTCATACTTTTTTGCATTTTTTATAAAATGTCTAACAATCTTAATTGCCAGAGTGAGAAAAACGTTGCTATATGATAGTGACAATGGAACCGGGATTTTGCAACTAGTCATATAAAAAATTGAGCCGAAAATTAGGAATCACATAATGCCCTTTTGAAACAAAATACTCTGGACCAAGTTCAAGTTTTTAGTAAATTTTCTCTTCTCTACACTCTTAGAAATCCAGCATTAAAATAATACCTGGCGGTATTCATATATGACTACCAAAGTGGTATTGATTTGATAAGTACATAATGCCTTGCAATAATAACTAGGTATTAACATTTTACCATTTCGGTATCAAGTTTTTACGGATCATAATAATTTTAATACAAGGGGTAGCAACTTTAATACTGAGAAATCAATACCTGCGTCACGCAGGCTAGCAATACCAGATTTCTAACAGTGTATTGTCCACGAGTGACGGCGAGAAAATCAAGGCATCTTTGCCCCCAATATTTTTTTTTATTCGAAGGGGCCATTCAATGGAAATATGACTCGCATGTGATTCCTAATTTTTGGCTCGATTTTTTGATGTAACTCGCTGCAAAGAATGTTCCAATAGGCAGGGGCTTGGCCCTGACCGGCCTAGAAAAGCTGCAAAGGCTTTGTTAATCATGTAACAATGTAAAATTATCGAAATAAATTTGGATATAAAAATTATACATTGATTATATGGCGAACCATTTAAATGGCCAACATTGGTTATTTAAATGGAAATCTAGGCATAGTTGATGGCAAAAGTATCCAATGGTAAATTTAATCCATTTAAATGGTAAATGTAGCCTTTTCTAATGGTCCCTAAATCCGATGCCAAACTTTAATACTAACCTCTTATTAGATGGTATTACTTACGTATGAATGTCACTTTGCTACATCGCTATGTAAATACGGCTTGGAATGGATTATTTTAACTCTGGATTTCTAAGAGTGTGCAAGATAAACGATCGATCAGTTTACATATGTATATGTAACCTAATTGATCATTTCTCAATACGATTTGTGCAATGTTTCAGTTATTGAAATCAATCATATTGTCAGAAGGTGAGTCTCCATTGTGTTCAATTTTAATTGCGTATATTTGTGGTTCTATTTGTTACTGACCTTTCACACTCTCGTCATGCATTTTCACCACTCTGCAGAACTTTGACAAATCACTTTGAGGTGTAATTTCAGCGGAGAAACTATACCCTACGTGAGAAAGATACAGTAAAAATGAATATTGTGCCACAAAAAAGTATCAAACTTGTTCAGCGGAGCGTTAAGTTTTCAATGATATGCAAAACACTCCCATTTCAAAGGGTCAAGGTAAGTAATAGATAAATTTGAAGGTATTATCTACTAATTTTTAATAAAAATATCTTTTAGGTTGGAAACTCGCTAATTTACAAGACATGTATTCGCTATCCTTCCCTTAATGGGGGTGCACCCATTCGGATGTTTCTGTGCTGGATAAACTTGCTCTTTCAACTGTTTGGAGGATCTTTCTCAACGTATCGCATGATTTGGGCTTTGTTCTATCTAGGAGGGTTTGAACACGTTCCGATCCTTGACTTAGGTGTGTGGTAATCATAAGGCTAATCGATGGCCTTCCGGAAGCAATTTTCGACGCCCGAATGGTGGCTTTTATGCCAGAAATGTGCTGTGACTTCCGGAAGACCATTTTGAAATATTTAGGAACACGCATGTCTAATTATTTCCCTGCCCTGCAGGTTTTGTTACCTATCAATCCGTCGGTTTTGGAATTGGTGCCATTTTCCTGGTCACAATTTGGTGCAAACATGACGAGTACTTAGCATTTCTTAATTTTTTAGTGATGAATCCTGCCCAGGGTGGAGAAAAGCTGCACGACACTTTCTCCAAAATGATTCCCTGGCTAATCCCAGCCGCGTATGGACAATCCCTGTGCAATGTCTTGCTCTTTGTTGGAAGAAGCAACGGGGTGGAGTACATCTGGGGGCTCTTGGACCCGGCTTGGCAAACTGGCAGAATTTTTGTGTTGCATATGTTGTATGAATTTCTAATACCTATGAACTCATGGAATCTCGTGCTGTTCATTTTCTTCACATATTCTTGTTACACGCATTATCTGGGAGTGCGTTTGAAGAACTTGGGGTAATGTTTTAAATAAATTGTTACCTAATTAATCTCAATTTGACTATCCATGTATTTTACATTTTTTTTCAGGAAGATATGTCAAATTCTGCCATCATCAAACTTCAAGGCGTGTCGGACTTATTCGTCATCCTACCGTCACCTTCAAATCGTTGACAAGCTCTACCATTCCTGTTACGGGGCGTATATGATACCTTTGTCAAATTCTGTTTTACTATTTATTGTGTCCTGGATGAGCTTTTCGACGTTCAAATTATCGAAAAATGGTGTATTGACGGTTTCACAGCCGTCGTCATTCATCTTTCCACTTGGAACTTTTGCCTTGAGCATTATGGCATTTTGTATAAATTCTGAAGGGCAATTGCTTTTTGAAGGGTCCACATATCTGCTAACAGAGTGGAAGAAATGTAGGATGATGAAGAAAATGAGAATAGTTCAAAGCTTTGCCCCATTAAAGGCACACATTGGAAATTTATACTTTCTGAAGAGGAGTTCTCCACTAACATTCATGTCAAACACGGTTGGGTTAACGATCAATTTGTTACTAACATTTTAGATGGGCATTAAGACCGCATGATGTGGAAAATGTGGGTAAACTAATTTAAATATAACATTTTTAAAATTCGATTGTTAGGAGTAAAGCGAAATATTACATAATTATTATAAGTAACCCAACAACAGATTAATATAAATATAAATATTAATATAAATATACATATAGGCATCATCAAGGAAACATACAAACGTACCAGCTGCAATAAAAGTTGGAAAAATAATCAAATCACGATTTAATGGAATGTAGACGTGCATTTCCTCATGGAAGTATCCAGCATATACTGATTGTAATTGAAGACATACTTGCAGTACGATGCATGCTACATCAATTTAACAAATAAACAAAGACATTGTTCCAGGTTTTCCGGATCTGGTCATCTTTCACTCGTTTATTAGCTCACCCTGCGTAGCATGAGAGCTATTGAATTCCTCTTGTCCGTCTGTCCGTCCGTCCGTCTGTTCACGAGTTTTTTGCATCAATTGATGCTAATTAAAAATCCCCTTGACCATTATTCAATAAGTTAGACGCACCATTGGTATTAAACACACCGAATCGAATTTTTTAGTAAATAAATAGCACAGTTGATATCTAACAATCGGTAACACAAAATGATGCGAAATAACTGGGGGATCGGATGCAAAACGCACCAATAGTGCAGAATATCCGGGAGAAATGATCCTACAATTTTGACAAGTTTTCAAATTTATGGGGTCCGCATGGTCGCTAATGCGGCACTAATGGTACAAAGCCCTCGCGCGTCTATTGCATCATAGGTGCAAGAATATGTAAGAGTTCTGATCTATTTTGTCGGCTTCTTCCGCACCTTCGGTGCAAAGTTCTGTCTAAATTACTATGACAGGGTGAGGGTGATAGGGTAACTTCTAACGTTACTACGGTTTATTGATTTTTATCAACAATTTAATTTCTGTATCTAAATAATTCTCTACATATCTGTCTTTAATACCTAGAGTTCTCTTTTTTTCCAAGTCGATGTTGACGGAATGTCTAACGATGGATTCTCAACAAAGAAGTTGAATGGTTTTAGCCATACATCACGTGGTCTAAATAATTGAATTTTATAAATCTGCAATGTATTTTGCATTTTGCATTGGCTATACTTACTCGGCGGACATTAAGGGAAAGTCTTCTATAGGGAATAAAATCGAAACCAAAATCAGTCAATTTTGTGACAAGTGGAAAATCTAACTTATGCATTACCTGCTCTAGCAACGTGGACCGCGTTGAACACGTGCCAGAGGACGATATCGGTGTTAACAATTGTTGAATTCGACTCTGCCTCCATCCAGTCTGGTAGACCTAGCTCGCTTTTGTAAAATCCACCCGCAAAAATTTGCCCATCCTTGTAGCGGGTAACCCATAGGTTGTTTCGAGCATGCGAAAATATTGGTCGCAGAATTGGGCTGTCATCCTTCTGCATGAGCTTCGGATCGTGCAGATACATATTTTAGAACTAGTGCCAAACTTAAGCCCTAACTGAATTTAAATACTTACCTTGGGACTGTTAGACGGGATCAACTTGTATCCCACCGGACCACCAGAATGTGGATGGACACTGCCCTCATTTATCACCATCCACACCCTACCCGTTTCCGAGCTCGTATTTACTCCACCTTTTCCTTGAGTTTCTAGCCTATTTTTCCTAACCGTAAAACCTTGACCGTACGGATTTGCCTTTGAACTGGTGGAACCATCTAGCGGCACGACATCCACCGTTTCAACGGTGTTACAGCTTCCATCAATTTCTGTGTCCAGCCTGAGCGCCACGATGTGTTGGTGGTGTTGTGCCATTACCTAAAAATAATTCGCAACATATACATAAATGCACATATGCATTTATTTGCTTCCTTACTTGGGGCAACATGACACCTCCGAATTTCGATCGTGACCCATTTACAGCCATCATATTAGTGCTAACGATGCCCATCAATTTTACATTGAACTGAATACTTGCATCTTGGTAGAACATCCAACTATATGTCAGGTCGTAATTTCCTGTCGTGGCGGTAAACGCAATTACGAGCCGGTGTGATCGCACAGAAGCGGTTTTGCCTGTCCAAGAATCAACATGCTTCCATAGAATACCTAAAATTCAATGGTCGGGTAAAGTAACCATTGTTAAACATTCCACTAAGGAAATAATTTAGCTAATTTTCCTGCTCAAATAAATACCTGCATCCTCTTCTGTGACACAAATCGCGTTTTTTATCTCGACCGGATCACCAGCGTTGTTGTTCACTGTGACGTTAATAAATTTAGTTTCACCAAGGCAATCGTCCGGATTCTTTAATTCATTGGCCCTCCATCCGATCCCAGCGTCGCCCACGTCAAGCCCATATTTTCGATGGTATGGGGGACGCGGGTCACCATAGATAACGCCCATTTCCGAAACAGATGCCCGGTAGAGTAGGGGACGTTTGTTGTACATGACATTATGCAAGACCACACCTTCTCGAGCTGTGAATCTGGGGAAAAATTGCTTTTAGTTTTTTTACGAATTTTGCAGATCCGATATGTTTACTTGTGGCGCACCCAATACGAATTTTGAAATTTTGCCATTCCACCAAATTTCTTCTGAGTGTGTAGCTCGGTCCGTCCGGCATATAAGTAAGGATTGGCTTGTCCGTACGTCGCAGAAAATTTGGAGCCCTCAGGCTCGAGTCGAAGTTGGATGGCATTTTTGGCACTGAGTTCCCTCCTTGATTTTCTCCCATTTTGTAGTCTTCGTCATGGATTGGAACATTTTCGATGGCAATAATCTTAGGACCAACTATGTCAACAATGACGATGAACGGGAGAGGATGGGCTAAGGTTAAGGCATATTTAGATTCTTAAAGATTAAATTGTGTCCGATAATTTAATCTCAAATCGTGATTTTAACAGCTCACCATGTGCGTTGTCACCGTTAAAATTTTGCACGTACATAAACACGTGATACGGCCGTTTCAGTTTTTTATATTCTGGTCTGTCCTCAATATATCCGATTGGCCAAGTCGCCGTGCGAATAAGACTCATATCAAGTATTCCTAAGTCTTTACATCTCTCCTGAACAGTTCGATCTTTGATTAATGCATTGTGCACGAGGTCGTCATCATCCGGTGATATTAGTGGGATTTGAAACTTTTCTGGCATGCGCACCAAACTCTCGAGAATGTCTGAGATTTATTTAACAATTACGTGTTTGTACTGACAAAATATTAATTAAGTATTCATTATGTCTTCGCATCTTGAATATTTTTCGTAACGTAAAATAAGCTGCGACGGTTACGAGGTTTAATAGCCCTCGTAAGATTTTGTCAAAAACAATCGCGTTAATAAGCATACGATTTTTACGAAGCCTGGCCCCTTCTTTTTTCCGTAAGCTATTTTACGATATTAAAAAATTTACGAAGAAATAATAACTACCCTCATTATGTACTTCAATGAAAGCGCACAGATTCCACTGCTCACCCTTATCCAAGTTAACCCTCGCTTCATAAACGTCTCCCGTTTTGGCGTGCCATAAGATGGAGAGGGACTTCCGAACAAATGAATTTCTTGGAGGTGTAGTATCGCTTAAAAAGTACTTGATAATATCCCCCTTTGGCGGTTCGATTAAAGTAATCGTGTTGAATATTAGACCACCTTGGAGACCCTTTTCTGATTCTAAGATGATCCTTTTGCTATTTTTGATCTCATTAGAGGAAAGAGGATCGAGTGGATGTAATACTAAAAACAAGGAATATGAGCTGTATCAATATTAGTAAATATGTGCGTTGTTAGAAATCCGAAATAGCCACCCAGGCATTGTTTCTCGGACAGATACATAAATAAATAGCTGCAACCGTATGGTATCAAAAATTAATCCAGTGCAAAAATTTGCTACCGAAATGGTAAAACTTTAGTACCGAGCTATTACTGTACGGCACTACTAATCAATGCCGCCTGGCATTATTTTAGTACTTACTGGATTTAGTACTTACTGGATTTCTCATTATGTAAGTTAATGCAAGCAAATTTGCCAATTTCTACACCTGAGCCACCCGAAACCGTTGTTTCGTCAATTCCAGACTTATCAATTGGAATGCATTTGTCACTGACAAAGCCAGTGCAATAACATTGCGTAATTTTCATCTTGTCCTCATTTCCTGATTAATTTCATATTAATTAAAACAACCAATTTACTATAAATTTTGCAAGCTAGACATTCAAATTGGTAAGACTTACGTTCATCTCCCCCCACGATTATGACGACGAGACAGCTCACAACAAATAATTTGACTTGTATGACCGAAATTAAGAAATGCAAATTATTGTAAAAATGTCGACACTGCTTGCTGTTCATGTTTCAGACGTATCAATATTTTTGATTAGTGCCTTACTTTCCAATAATTTTAAGTGCACACAGAAAACTGTACGAACGAATGAAAGGATGTTGCACTTGTTAATGACGAATTGTTCTTATGTTCTTGCTTAATTTGCAGTCATTATCGTCTGAGAGGAAGTGATTATGAAAACGAGATATATGCAAACATGTACGTATGTATGTAGTGCTTTAGGGCCATGCATAAAGCAGGTGACAGATTTTCGGAGAATTTTGACCCTCCCATGGCATGGCGTACGTATTTATATGCCCCATGTAATCTTAAACATGCGAAGGATAGGATGCCTTAACCCCGGTCCCCTACGACACCTCAACCCGATTACAGGCTTTGTGCACAGCCCCTTGCCTAATTATTATGTAGACGCCACTTAAGTAAACTTAACCTTATTATTGTACAATACTTAAAGGAAGGAAATGCATAACAAAGAAATTTTTCTTGCAACAAATTAATTTATTTTGCAGAAAATCTAAAATATCTACATATTACAGATTCCATGCATAGTTTTAAGAATTCAATAGCATTGTAATAAATACATACCTAAGTCAAAAGTATATTACTTACATAATTAATTCACTAATGGATTATTGTTCGTTTTTGATTTATCCATCGTTGGCCTGCGAGTTGATAATGGCTGGCGGGTCCGGAACCGGGAGAAAGTCCACGTTCAATATCGAATCTGCGTATAGCGTAAGTGACAAGATTTTTAAATTATGCATCTCTAAGATTTGCACTTAAGGGGACGTTCATAAATTATGCAATGCAAGTTGGGCGGGGGTCTAAGGCTACAATGATATAATGCGACACAAGTTACAGAGGGTCGAGAAAATCGCAATTTTTGCATTACATAATTTATGAACGTCCCCTTATTTCAGACATCACATTTAGTTTGAAAATAAGATGAATATAAATCTGGTGTGACATTTTCGTACCTCGCAATCCTGACCAAATAGTGTTAATTACACGTTCTGGGTCTATGCATTTCAGACGTTTCGATTTCACAAATAGAGGGACTTGTAATTCAGCTACGTTGTCGCCTTCTCGTACTTGCAAAGTGACATTCTCCGTTTCGAATTGTTCCTTCATGAATGCAGATTCAATTAGTGCATGCATAGCTTCCCGAAGTTGTGTTTCAAATTCCGCATTAAACATAGCAATCGAATCCTGTTGTGAAGGCGAGAGGTTTTTGGTTTGATTCCACGATCTGATTTTCTCAGTCTCATGCTGAGGGACCCTTATGCCAAGTTTTCCGTCTTTGGCTACAATAAAAATATATGAGCACAAATGTAAATAACAGATTTCCAAAATGCCCATAGTTTAAATGCAATTGTATTTTGAAAATTCAAAATACCTATTTGCATGCATCGCAGTTGCGTGAAAAGTATGTCGTATTTTCAGAAAAAATACTTATTTTCAAAATATAATTATATTTTGGACTCTGGACTACTCTGGAGTGTACTTATTTGTATTTTGCATCCCTGCTAAATAAATAGCAATTATGCAGTCATTACTTACCTTCACATTTTTCAAAGTTCCACTTGGCGACTTTCCGGTTTGTCATCTCGTCCCCCTGGAATGGTTCATCTCTCGGAGGTAACAAACGGACCCTTGACGAAGCTGCAGAGGAAGATGGTCGTGTCGAAATAGGTGAAGTTGTGTAATGAGGTGATGAGCTTGCAAGTGACCAATTTTCCGGCGTGACTGATCTTCTTTGAGTACCACGGTATCGTGAGTGTCTCAATTTTTCGGTATTTTTCGCAATAGATTTCGCTCTCCTGGATAAAGATTTCGCCGGTCGTCGCTTGGAAGTTAACCCCTCGCGACGGTTTCCCGAAGTAGATTTTGCTTTTGAAATACTTCGTTTCTTCAATTCCGAAATATTTTCAGCGCTACTCACGGATTGCAGTTTTTCACCCAGATTGGAAGATGTCTTCGCTCTTCTGGATGGCTGGTCTCGATGTGGAAGATTGGCTTCGTGCCACACCTTGGCGCTTGATCTCCGGTGGATTATATTGGTTCGCTCAGCTTCATATTTCTCAAGGGCAGCTCGATAGGCAACATGGGCAGGGTCGTTTTGGTACTTTCGTAAGGAATCCTTGTTCGGACGACCACGTGGACGAGGAGGAGGCACAGGAGCATTAATCCGGAGAACCCGATGTGGTCTTCTTGGAAGTTTCGGGAATCGTCCAAAAGCAGTTGGACGTCTTTGAGGTTTTATGATGGATATTTCTTGTCCTTGTTCATCTTCGGATTCTGGGGCGACGTCTCCATTTTCCGTTGAGTTGAGAGGAGTAGATTCGTCGCCGGAACGGTCGATTGTTTCGTACACAATCTGGATTTCTTCATCGCTTTGTGTGTCCGTGTTTTGTTCGGATGTGGCATCGTCACGGTCACAGGTTCTGGTTGACATCACGGTAAATGAAAAAGAACAGGAAGGATCTTCTTGAGACGAGTTTGGCGTATCATCTGAATGAGAAATCTAAAGAAACAGTAAACATTATATTTTAGAAAAGAAATTACAAAAATAATTTACACTTTTTTTGATATGAGGAAAATTACAACTTGTCGTTTGTCAATTGAAGAAAGATTTTTGAGGTCATTGTTGACGCCTGCTCGGTCGAGATCTTCGTCTGCAACGGATCGTTGTCCTTGATGCCGTGGGGAAGGTGTCAATTGTCGTGATCCATTGAAATCCATGACTCAATTGATAATTGAATAAATGATTAAAAATTGTGTTCACTTATCGCCCGGTTTTGTTTACCAAACAAACCATGAATCACTACATAAACGAGAACAGAAGCTACCGCTACAGTGACAGGGTATTGTGACACACATTAGCGGTAGGAATAACCCAGTTGATGTGAGGGGCCGTCCATAAATTATGTCATGCAAGAGGAGGGATTCAAGGCTCCAATGATATTGTGCCTATTTATGTAACATGTGTTAAAGGGGGAGGGGGCCTAGAAAGCCAAGCACAATTTTGGTGTCACATAATTTATGGATGTCCCCTTAATAATTTGTAAAAGTGCTCGAGATTAGTCTACTTTTTTTTCTTACTGGGTCTTCTTTATCAAACCCAGACGATTTATCTTTATCAGAATTTAATTTTCTAGAAATTTGTCTCACTTTCCTCCCTTGTTTCCTCATTTAAAATATGTATGTGTATGACATTTCTATGTGAAGTTGCAGGTTGAAAATGAAGGTTTAGAAATTGCATAAATTAACCATTTATATTTATTCAAAGTTTCAGAAACATAATTTCGTCGATAATTAAATGTACACTTGTTGCGGGGTTTCCCTGAAAACGGATAGCAAATACACGCCAAGAATAAAATTATTCACAAGTTGTGAACAGATATCCGACAACTATTTAATATTCTCCGCGTTTTATAAATATTTCTCGTTTTTCAAACTTTATCTCGGTGAAATAAGACAAGAAATATATACAAACTATGTACAATTCTTGTCTAATAACAAAGTCATGCAAAGTAAATCTCCATTTTCACTGCTGTAGCGTATGGCGTCTAAAGGGTTAAATTTAATGCACCACCGAATAAGCTGAAATTTACCATAAATTTTGGCTGAATTCGCCATCGGATGAATTTTTTCCAATTTTGGCCTTTTTAACCATATATTACGATGGTGGTTACCACAAAATTAGATGACCTGCCAGTAACGTGCTTGGTTTTGATTTGTTCCAATTGAAAGCATCGGTCTCCAGCCTGAGTGAAATAATGGGAACTTTTGCAAAAGTTTTATGGTTCTCATGTATTGGGTCCCTCTGCTCCGACCAATCTTTGGTTTGGCTTAACATGAAGGAAATGAACTCCCCCACTGGCAACCTTGCCCTGAAGGTGCCTTGCTGCTTAATCCAAGCATTGGTTGATTCGAGTCCATTATTTGTGGACGGGTAGCCAGGGGCGTATCCTTCATACCAGTTTGTTCTGCTGTTTAGCCATTCATCTCTGAAGTAATTCACAAAATCTTGAGTTGCGTCTGCAGAGTACTTTTTTATCCACAAACTTTTTGCAACCTCAAACTCCTCGGGGGACCGAGCTAATTGAAGCTTTTTTATGTCCTGCCTTAATTGTTGCCAAATTGCTCGATCCTTAACCAACGATTGTTTTTTATCGATGTTTGAAGTAACATGGAACCAGCAGTGCACCCTTTTGTAGTCTGTTCCGAAGACATCTTCAAACCCAATAGTGATAGCCTGAGCTGAATCTGCAACTAGCACTTTCGGGTCCAAGTCTCCTTTAGTCCCCTTTTTAAGGCCTTCGAATAGAAATTTAAAATCGCTAGATGTCTCTCCAACAGTAACAGCAATAGCGGTTGGGTGAAAAGTTCGGTTTTTGTCAGATACCCCTACTACTAGCACAGGAAACCCCTCCCAATTTAACTTGTAAGTTGCGTCGGTGTGAATCAGCGGAGTCATCTGAGTAATTGTCAAAAGTCTTAGAGTTGATACCAGTATTCCAAAACTTTTATCTTCATAATTAAACATTGAGTGGACTACGAATGGTTGATCAAGGGTACTTGGGATCTGGGAATGGTTTTCTGCCAGTGCCTGGAGAGCTCCAAGGGAAACGATTGGGGGATGGATTTGTGACCGATAATACGCCAAAAATGGTTATTGTGTTATAATCCTGTACCCATGAAATACGTTAGTGGCAGGTCATCTAATTTTGTGGTAACCACCATCGTAATATATGGTTAAAAAGGCCAAAATTGGAAAAAATTCATCCGGTGGAGAATTCAGCCAAAATTTATGGTACATTTCAGCTTATTCGGTGGTGCATTAAATTTAACCCGCGTCTAAAGTGTCTCACCAATCTCGAAAAGTAAAGAAATTGTTTCTTGCAGAAGTAGCACTCTCGCCGATTCGCAAGATTATGACGCCTCACGTGATTGGATAACCTTATCTTCGAGCTGGTCATGAATTCGCATTTGTCGCAGGAGTGAATCTTCTCTGTATTTGTGGGATGACACGCCTCAACGTGACGTCTCAGAATGGATGCTGTCGAGAATATTTTGTCACAAAATGTGCACGGATGATTTTTCCGGTGTTCATGCACATTTTGGACATGTCTTCGTAAGTCAGTTTTTCCGTGGGTAGTCCGAGGACAAAGTTCACACTTGAAATTCCTTGGGTTGGATTTTGCCAAATGTGTAACCTGTAAAATTACATATTTCAGAATCGTAAAAATTTCTAATTAAACCACTTTATTATAGAGTCACATAGATACTCCGCCTGGTAAAAACTTAGTTACCGGGTTTCTAAGAGTGTACATTTATTTGTACCTCGTGACGTTGCATGGCTGTCCTCTGGGAGAAGCTCCTCCTACACGTGGAGCAAATGTAGGCCTTCTCCGTTGTGTGCGTAGAAATGTATTTCTCAAGATTTGGCCTGGTTTTGAATTCTTTCCAGCAAAGTGTGCACGGGAATCGGACTGGATTTGCGGAATGTTCGGTTTTTATGTGCAGTGATACACTTCTCAGGTTCAAGTAAGTTTTTCCACAGCCGGGAAATTCGCATGGAAAACGAGGTCGCTTCAAAGTGGTGTGGACGGTGTCAATGTGTCTCCGTAAGTGCGAAGGTGTAGAACACACCCGGTGACAAACGTTGCAACTTGGTCGTTTCCGATTTGTGTGGATCAATGCCATGTGGGAGGAAAATGTTTTTGAATTTTTTAAAATTTTCCCGCAAATCTAAGCATCACGAAAACAATTAAATGTAAAAAAAATGAAATGAATTGAACTAAAGGAAATGCAAGTAATTGGATAGTCGAAATTGTAATAGTCTCTGCGTTACAAATTTGAATGATTACCTGGCATTTAACCTTCGCCCCGGGGTAGTGCGTTGAAATGTGGTAAGTTAAGCATCGCTTAGTTGTGAACGTTTTTGAGGAGGTGGAACATTTCCAAACCTTTGTTGTCGTTGAACCCATTTTAATTCTGGATTTCCGAATCTGTTAGGCAGATCCGTCCAGGCGTAAGTAGTTTGCAAAACTCTACTTTTCCTGGATTAAGTATGTAGTATAGTTAAGAAATTAAGAAATTATTAGAGATTATTAAGAAATATGTAGAAATTCCCCTATCACCGAAAAACGAACCTTATTCTCTTCGCAGAATTTTAAAACTGGGAAGAAAATAGACGGCAATGTTAGATTTTATTTTCTCTGTGGTGACTTATTCATACATAAGTTTGCTTAGCACAAGTCTCTCTCTATTTTCACAATAAATATATTTTTAGAAGGGTCAAAATGATGAACTGTGCCAGGAGAAATTCATGCGGGACTGGTTTTCAGGAGAACGCATGTGTACCCTTTTCTAACAACAAACCTTTTCACAAGGAACACATACTTATTTACGGACAGAAATAACAACAGGCAGCATGCCATTCAAATATTATGTTGTCAAATCGGCCAGTCCACTTTCTCGTCATATTTTCGTCGCGTCACAATAATGCTTAAATATGTAAATATCAAGTACTTAATTATTTGAAGGATTGATATGACGTTCGTGAAATTTTTGGAAGCTCAATGTCAATATTTGCCGCGAATTTAAGTAGCGTAACTTACAAACTTAAAATTTACCTTTCGCGTATTGGTACCTAAATCAAGCTTATGTAAGTTTCAGAAGTAATTCAAATATGCGCTGTTAACATTACTAAACAATAATGCTCGTCATTACAGTCAAGGAAAGAGGGTAAGATTTAGCCGAAGAAGAGCTAAATTTAGCTCCGGCTTTATTTAGCCGATCCGGAGCAAAATTTAGCTCCGAAGGGTAAGTTTTGCTCCAAATCTTCCGCCAAATTTGAATTAGTCAATCTATAACTATGAATTTAAAATAACCTTCACTTTTAAATTTTTGTAACCACGGTGAGCCAGATCACACAAAGCTGGGCCATTGCTCGTTTGTTAAGTGAAACCTGCTTAATTTACCTAAATTGACAAAAGCAACCGTCGTTGCATAATAAATGCGGTCGGTATTTTCAAAGTCTAACCAAGCTAAATTTAGCCGATGATCAGCTAAATTTAGCTCTTTTTCAGAGTAAAATTGAACTTGAGGAGGTAGATTTAGCTCCGAGAGCTAAATCTAGCTCCAGATCGGCTAAATAAAGCCGGAGCTAAATTTAGCTCTTCTTCGGCTAAATCTTACCCTCTTTCCTTGACTGCATTACCAGTATATCTAAGTAGAGTCATATACCTAAGTATGTACAATGTACATACCCCGTTAGTAATGATTTCAACTAAAAGTGTTGGTGGGGATGGTTTGCGAAATAAAAACAATATAAAAATGCTCATTTGATGTGTAAAATTTACACTGTAAATTTTCAAAAAAAAATCACATGGTTTTCCACCAAAATTTTTCCGAATCACGCAAATTTCGCAAAACTTCGCAAGTTATGTTGTTACCCAATTTGCGAGATATGCGAAGTTGACGTGAGTACGCTCAATATACTTACGAATTTTTAAAGTGGATACTTTCTAAATAAAAATCGGAAAATTTTTATGATACCTATCGTTAAGGATTTAGGGTCCCTCCATATCTCCACATTTTTCACGACGTTTTTTCGTCAACTTTGACCTCAACTTGCACAAAAGCATCACCTCAGATACGTCATTAGTCCTATTGGAGTACTTCAAAATTCGGAAATAATTTCCTGTGCATTTTTCGTTTAAAAGATTTGAGAACCCTTGAAATTTGGCGATTTTTGACAAAAACAACGATCTTCTGTTACCTTTTATTTTCTTGCGAGACAATGGTAAGAGCTAGGGGCATGTATGATACCTCATTTGCATCAAATTCAGGACAAAGTGGGTGTGGTTTCAGGGGCAATTTGAGACTTTTTTGAAATTCCACAAAAACCCCCTTCCTGACCGCACCCCTTTTCGAAAATCAAAGGGAACCACATTTTTATGTTCTCCGGCCCAATGGGAGGAGTTTGAACCTTAAAATAAATTTTGGCACGTATTTAACCTCCCCGGCACATAGTGCTAAACCATAAATTTAAATGGTTACCTGACATTTCACCTTTGCTTCGGGGTTGTGAGTTAAAATGTGATATCTTAAGTTTCGCTTGGCTTTGAACGTTTTCGAGCAGATGGGACATTTCCAATCGCTTGCTTGCCTTGAGGCCATGCTACTTCTTAATTTCAGAACCTGGAAACGCAGGGGCGTCAGGAGTTTATGAAATTCTAACTAAAATGACACTTTTGCTGGATCACTTACAACTGAACCAGGGCGTCTAAGCAAATGGACCTTATTCTTCTCGACTGAGGAGTAAAAAATTGTACTGCAGGATTTTATTTTATGTACATAAATACATATATTGTTCCAATGGTTATTTAAATATCCGTACGTACATACGCATGTATTGAGAGACATTACACAAACCTCTCTCCAATTCGATCCTACATAACTAAATTTTTAGTGAGTGAAGGGCCAATGATGAACTGTGCGAGGCAACCGCCCTGTCCGACTTGTGCATATGCGTGATATGAAATCGCAGACATTTACTTCCATAGAAAAAGAAGACCTTTTTCCTCCAGTAAGCTTATTCCAATGCTTACTATTCATGTTCCAATGCCTGGACAGAAATAACAATGACAGGTCATTCAATCACAATGTTGGTAATGTGCGAATAGAGGATGCTGCCATCATTTCTTTGTTAGCTAGATTTTGATTGACGTTGTGGTTTAATTTATGTCATTTTTTAATTAAAAGTATGGACTTTTCTCAATTTTCCCAATTCTCTTTTGTCAATTGTGTAAATAAAAATCGGTATACGGAAGCAACCCGCCCACGATCTCCCGCCCGCGATCTTCCGCCCACAGACTCCCGCCCGCGTTCTTCCGCCCATGAAAATCTCCCGCCGTAACAATCACCCGCCCGTAGTTTTTTTCGAGTACCAGATTTTTTTGAACATAATAATGATACATAATACAACATATTTAGCTTAATATACCGTAAAAACTCAAATAGTAGCCGGGGGCTACTATTTACAAAATGGGAGGCTGGGACCCGGCTACTATTTGAGCAAGGCTACTATTTGGGCAAGGTCACTATTTTTAAAATTATGAAAAACGGCAGGGCTACTATTTGAGCACAGCTAATATTTCTGTTTCCAGAATCAAGTTCAGAGTAAATTTTAATAAAAGCACCAATTTCTCTCTTAGAATCGTAATCAATTTCAATCCTATTGTTTCGGCCTGCTCATAAGAAATTTCCTCGATATGCTAAATTTCTTGTCACTTCGATTTTGTGCAGCTGAGATTAAATTTAATTGTAATTGAATTGCTTAAATAAGCTGGCTAGGAGATACATATGTGGATGTATTAACATTGGAAGTTGACGCACGGGGATAATTTGAATGGGGCTACTATTTGAGCAAGGCTACTATTTGGGCAAGGTCACTATTTTTAAAATTATGAAAAAAGGCAGGGCTACTATTTGAACACGGCTACTATTTGAGCAAGGGCTACTATTTGAGTTTTTACGGTAAGTATTTATTTAGTCAACAGCGTTTAGCATCACTCATGTAACCCGTAAAAAAGCACAGTCAGTATACTTTTACAAACCCAAAAATAACAACACGGGAAGTAATAATGAATACATTACAAATCGAACAACCTCATTTTAATTAATGAAGAATGATAAAAATCATTACGAAGGAATAATCTAATTATAAAAATTATCGGAATCGGATACGGTAGGCTACTTGTCGAAGATAATCAATATGAGAAAAATCATCCCCAACCCCATATTGCTCAACTATCAGGGATGGTCAAAATACAAAATACAACTACACCTCAGAGCCCAAAATACATTTGTATTTTCAAAATACTTTGAATACTTTTTGTCAAAATACAAAATACAAAATGCAGTATTTAAATACTTTTTGAAATACAAAATATTCCACGCTTTACGGATTTAGTAGATCAAAAAATTTAATATATTTTTTACACTAGTAAAGCTGATTTACTAATTAAAAAAACAAGTTAGCCGGAAATTTCATTTCAAAGTGCTCATTACACTGTTTGTGCGACTTGAGAACAAAGGTGGATGGCAGTGAAATGTCTAAATTAGAATCTCTCAGATCATATCAGATGTGTGTTAAGAAAATCTAGCCCTTCAATGTTAAAACCTCAGTTTCCTCGTTATAAGAATTTTCGAATCCAAATACTCTAAAGGCCTTGACGGAATTACTTCGGTTGTCGGCTACCATTTAAACCTTTTACAAAAGTTATTTTTTTCCTGTGTGCTCGTTCCGCGTCTACTCGGTGGCAAGCTAGTGCGATTAACAGAATTGTATTTTCGAAAAGTGTTTTGTATTTTGAAGTGTCTCGGTTTTATTTAGCGTAGAATGAACTCAAGTCGTAACTCTAATCCTAAGGGGTATGCATGCTCGATAAGGGGTTTGTTTTTAATTGGAGGAAAACATTTATATTTCCTGCGTAATAATTAAGTAAAACAGGCAAGATCACCAACAAGTCTCCTGGATTATCACTGCTCGAGAGTATGACGACGACAGTGTGCCACCAATTTCGAAAAGCAAGAAAACTGATTCTTGCAAAAGTAGCATTCTCGTCGATTTGCTGGATTATGACGCCTCGCGTGTTGGGCTAAATTAACTTTCGAGTGACTCTTATATTCACATTTCTCACAGGAATAAATTTTCTCCTTATTCGGTGTATGTCTCGCCTCCACGTGAAGTTTCATATTGCCCGATGTCGAGAATCTTTTGTCGCAAAATGTGCAGAGATAATTCCTCCGATTTTCATGCACAATTTGGACATGGCTTAGCAAGTCGGGTCTACTTAAGGACTTGTGAGGACAAAGGTCACACTTGAATATCCTGCGAGTGGATTTTGCCAAATGTGTAGCCTGTAAAAAAAGTAATAATGTAGGTATTCTTTCCACGGGGACTTGGTAAACGTCGCTAAACTCGCCTCGTAACCTTCCTTGCGCCTATATCTACGAAGATTTGTACAGAATGTGACGAAAAATCAGGTTTCTTTATTGTTTGCAGAATATGCGAAGCAAAAGGTTATCTACATACATACATATATGTATTTATGTCGTAATCGAATTTCTACAAACTCTTGCTCAGATTTGCGGATTTTTCCAGCCCACGGACCCCAGCTCGTGATTAACTCCAGCCCACTAACTCCAGCCCTTAATTATCTCCAGCCATAATTATTTCCAGCCCATAATTATCTCCTGCCCCCATATATAAATGAATGTAAAAATCAAAACGGGGTTTCGACTATGCTTAATCCTTGCGCCACCACACAAGCTGGAAAACCGAGCCGTCAGCAAGGGAGCCACACCCATTTTGGGTCATAGTGCAAAAAGCACAGTCATTATGTACATATGGGGAGAAAATCCAATCGAGCTGAAATTTGGCAAAGAGGCTGCTATTGACCCCTAATGGAAGAATATGAAGTGAAATTGGTAAAATTTTTGTGTAGAGGGACCCTAAGGGGTGACCCATACCGACTTTTAGAAATCGTCGTAAGAAGTTGAAATTCGGCAGGGTGATAGTTAGTGGATTCTCATGAAATAATATGAAGTCAAATATGAGCAAAAAGTAACCAAAGGTACTAACGGGTGACCAACACCGATTTCTAAGAGTTTATACATTCAGCTCAAATTTAGTATGGAGTCGAAAAATAAATTCCAAATTTGAATATATGAGGGTTGAATTTCAAAATTTTTGAAAATAAAATTTTGAGAAACTTGAGTTTTCTAATAAATCCTGGTTCGAGCTAAGCAAAGCTGTACGGATAGGTTTTTATACACGGGCAGGGGATATTTATGGGCTGGAAATAATTAGGGCTGGAGATAATTAAGGGCTGGAGATCGCGGGCTGGAAATGGTGGGCTGGACTCCAACGGGCTGGGGTCCGTGGGCTGGAGTCTTCCGCACACCCTTGCTCAAGTGAGGTCTTTCTCATTTTCAGTTTACGGATGTCGTTCATCTCATTCTTTTTTGTTCCTCCAATACACTGATTTCAAAAACATCTCAAAATTGTGAGAAAAAAGTGTTGTAAAGCGACATTTGTAAGTGACGTGAATACCATGATTTAAAACCGTCTAATTTGAATAGTGACCAATTTTTTAAATTTTGCTTACAAGAAATTTACAAGGCAACTTCAGTTGTACATACCTCATGATTTTTCAAGCTTGTCCGATGCGCGAAACCCCTCCCACAATTGGGACAAATGTACGCCTTCTCCGTCGTGTGGGTGTTAATGTGTAACTCAAGGTCTCGTTTGGCCTCGAATTCTTTGCCGCAAAGTGTGCACGGAAATCGGATCGGATTTTCGGAGTGTTCTGCTTTTATATGTGTCGATACACCTTCCTTGTTTAAGTAGGTTTTTCCACATCCAGGAAATTCACATGGAAAACGAGGTCGTTTCGTCCTGTTGTGTACAGTACTTATGTGTGCCCGTAAATTTTGAGGTGTGGCAAATACACGATGGCAAATGTTGCAACTGGGTCGGTCCCGCTTGGTATGATGCCGTTTTATGTGTTGGGACAGGACTAGTGGATTTTTCAAAACTTTCCCGCAGATCTAAATAGCGGAGGATAAGCTGATGTGGTTGGATGAATTTTAAAATAATTGTTAATATTATACATAAATTTAGACGATTACCTCGCATTTCGCTTTCGCAAAGGTGTCGTGTGAAAACATGTGGTACCTTAAATTTGCTTTGGTGTTGAACGTTTTTAAGCATTTGGAGCATCTCCATCCGCTTCCGGGAGGTGGCTCCATTCGAAATCTTAGCTAGAAAAATAATTGAGTAAATAAATGCGCACTGCAATTTTCAGTAATGATTTGGTTAAAATTCTTGGAGAGAATCGAAAATATTCTAATAAACAAATTACGTGATTTTGACGAAGGTGCAAGTTTACGTCCTCTGCCAACGTGAAAGTCTTGAGCTAAACTGCTGCAAGTTTACTTTCTAAATTTCAGGTCAAGTGTATTTTTAGGAAGGGAAGGGTACAGAATTCGTACAAGTCATGAAGAGAATGAATGTAAGTGGTCTTCACGCAAGGGTATTGACTTATTTAGAAGAACCTGATTTTTACCGTTATGTAAAGAATCCCTTCGTCCTCCATTTAAATAGCATGGGTAAAATAATGAACAACTGTCAAAGCTGTGTGCGGACGACTGGCATGCATTGATCATTCTGCAGGCACTTAGGGCAGGGCAACCCATCTTTGGAAACGTGCATAAATTATGTAATACAAACTAGGGATTGTGTCACATACGCACAGTGACCTTAGATCCCGCACTATAGAGCGGGCCCAAGGCTCTCGAGTTACATACATAGTTTATGAACGTCCCCTTCCAATAAGAACATGCTTCCCACCACTGGTGGGCCACCAGTCAACCCTTTCTCCTGGTCTGAAATAGCGATGATACCGTTCAAGTATTATGTGCAGTATTAAAACAGTCAATCTTTTTCCTTATATTAATCTTCCCGTATTTAATTTTCCGGCAAAAAATAAAATTTGGGGAAATAATTGTACAAATTTTTAGGGCCATTGCTTACGCATCCCAAGTTAACTCTTCATCTACATATGTTACGTCATTTTTTAGAAATCGAATTTTTAATAACATACATCGAAATGTCTGTACACAAAATGAAGTCACAAGCTCAATGAAGTCACAAGCTCATACAACTTACAATGGAGGTCTCCCAACGTATGCTCACAGATTTGGACCAAACTAGTGTCAATCGATCACAAATAAAATTAGTATGAAATTTGCAAATGGAACTATCTGCCAATGTGCAGGTTTGGCGGAGATATTTGCATAAAAAGAGGAGAAAACGCACCAAAAGGCTGGCATATTTTTCATTTTCCAAATTTCCTGCGCATTTTTTCTGCTTTGAATGCAAATATCTCCGCCAAACCTGCGTATTGGCAGATAGTTCCATTTGCAAATTTCATACTAATTATATTTGTGATCGATTGACGTTAATTTGGTCCAAATCTGTGAGCATACGTTGGGAGACCTCCATTGTTAGTTAAGTTATCCGCAAAAAATCGGTAATACAGACTAATTCATTATGCGATGTGTCATGATTTATTTAAGTAGTGCTATTATTATTTATATTATTTCAAGGAGAGAATTGATTGAATGACAAATTTTGAGAAGCATAATTTCATAAATAACTTAAGGTACATGTTTTTTGGCACGAAATGCATGCATATGTACATAAAGATACGGTTAATCAAATTTCTCAGAAGCACTTAACAGATTTCGGAGGATGATTTATGTTTTGTATCCAACGTTTTGGGAGTTTCTGTTGAATTTTAACATTTTAATTTGGTGTAAATAATAAGACAAGTACCTTCGGCTTAAAAATAAAATCCAACAACACCAACAGCAAATTTCCGAGATTGTCGCCGTTCCAAAGTATGACGACGAAAGTGAGACACCATTTCCACAAAATGGAAAAACTGCTTCTGACAGAAGTAACATTCTCGGCGATTCGGAGGATTGTGACACCTGGCGTGTTGGGCTAGACTTCTTTTTGAACGGCTCCTGAATTCGCATTTGTGACATGTATGAATCTTCGCGGAATGTCTCCTCTCCACATGACGTCTCATACTGCCCGATGTCGAGAATCTTTTGTCACAAAATGTGCAGTGATGATTCCTCTGATTTTCATGCACAGCTTGGACATGACTTTGTAAGTTATATCTCAGCACGAACGTAAGAGGACAAAGCTCACACTTGAAATTCCTACGAGTAGATTTTTCCAAATGTATTGCCTGTAAATAGTGCAAAGAAATATTGACGGATTGTTAAATGTGTCCATCATATTGCCAAACTAAATATTTACAAGGCACATTTATTCGTACTTCGTGACGTCTCATAGCTGACGAATGACCGAAACCCCTCCCACACGTGGAACAAATGTAGGCTTTCTCCGTCGTGTGGGTGGAAATGTGTTCTTCAAGGGAGCACCTGGTTTTGAATTCTTTACCGCAAAGTGTGCACGGGAACCTGGCCGGACTTTCGGAATGTTCAGTTTTTATATGTTTCAATAAACCATTCTTGCTCGAGTAGGTTTTTCCACATCGGCATGGAAAACGAGGTCGTTCGATCGTGCTGTGGACGGTGGCGATATGTTTTCGTAAGTTGGATGGCGTAGAACATACCCGTTGACAAATGTTGCAACTTGGCCCTTTCCGATTAGTGTGATACATTAAAGCATGTATTGACAAGGTTCGTGAGTTTGTCGAAACTTTCCCGCAAACCTAAACATCACAAAAGCCATAAAACGTGAGATTCTGGATGGCCGCAATTACAAAATTTACGTCGGCGTTATAAATTTGCATGGTTACCTGACATTTCACCTTCGTCTCGGGGTCGTGCGTTAAAATGTGATTGGTTAAGTTCCGCTTAGTTTTGAAAGTTTTTGAGCAGGTGGCACAGTTCCAAACGTTTTCTTGTGTTGAGGCCATTTTAATTTTGAGTTTTGAAACATCTAGTTCACATGCGTCAAGTTAGCACGAATGAGTTTGTAAGAAAAACTGCTCTGTTGCTGGATTATGCACTGGTAAAGTGTGGAAATTTCTGTTATCCCAAAACTAACCTTAGTCTTACAAGGGAACATATCGAGGTGTCCAACGAGTTAAGGGTCGACACCTATACCAAAATGACCACAATGCATGACTTGTTAAACAAACTGAAGGAATTTCCGTGTAAAATTCACTTTTCGTCAAGTTGTGACGATATTTGTGACGAGCGTATGACCGTCGGGTCGCCAGCGGGAGAGGTCGGCCGCTGAACGATCAGGTCGACCACAGAGAAGCGTCGTCGTCTTCACGTCGTCTTCACAAATTTCGAATTCTTGCATATTTTGATATTTTGAAGAAATTTTGAAAACATTTTGAAATTTTGAAGGAATTTTAAAAACATTTTGAAATTTTGAAATTTTAAAAACATTTTGAAATCTTGAAAAAATTAGAGGTGTCAGATCGAACACATGTTGTCTTCAGAGATTTCACATTTCAAATAAATTGCACACCTCTATTTTTTCAAAATTTCATAATTGTTTCAAAATTTCAAAATTGCTTCAAAATTTCAAAATTTTTCCAAAATTTCGAAATTTCTTCTAAATTTGAAAAAGTTTTTCTAAATTTCAAAATGTTTTCAAAATTTCTTCAAAATTTCAAAATGGTTTCAAAATTTGAAAGAATTCGAAATCTCTGAGGACGACGTGAAGACGACGCTTCTCTGTGGTCAACCTGATCGTTCAGCGGCCGACGTCTCCCGATGGCAACCCGACGGTCATGCGCTCGTCACAAATATCGTCACAAGTTGACGAAAGGTGAATTTTACGCGGAAATTCCTTCAGTTTGTTTAATAAGTCATGTATTGTGATCATTTTGATCCGGGTGTCGACCCTTAACTCGTTGGACACCTCGGTATGTTCCCTTGTTAGCCTGATTTAATTTTATGGTCATGGAACCTAGATTAACTCTTAACTCGAACCCCTCTATACTTAAACAGTAATTTATTTTTAGCGAGAAAAGGGTTAAAGGGATGAACTGTACCCAGCAAAATCCCTCGGAGGTAAATGCAAGTGAATTCATGTGCACCTTCTTCTAGAATCAACCCTTCTTTCTAACCAAGACTACTTTATTATCACCTACCAGGCATTACTGGGGAGAAATTAGACCGTAATTGAGGATTTTATTTTATTATATGGAGTAATTCTGGAATGGTGACTTAACACAAGCCACTCTCTACCTGAACAATAAATATATTTTAGCGAGAGAAGGGTAAGGGATTAACTGTGGCTTGCAAAAGCCTTGCGAGACTATGTATAAGTATTACAGTTGAAATCAAGGGCACCTTTTTCTAAATGAACCTTTCTCACTGGTGGTGTTGACGAGACGAAAGGGAAAAACTTCAAAGAAAGAAATCAAGGGCAAGGGCACCTTCTTGTGGAAACAACCCTTTCCATGCCTTCACATATTTAAAGAGCACCATGAATGAGGCCATTCGAATATTATGTTATCAAATCCATAAATCCACTTTACATATGTACATGTTTAATTTTTAGCTGGGTAGTTCAATTAAATAATTATTTTTTACATTACAGGTTTTGAGTTTTATAAGTATCCGGGCTTCATTAATCATGTCGAACCCCGACTCTGTTTAATTCAATGTCTCTGAAAAGTGTTTCTGGGCCGTACACAAAGCATGTGATCGATTTTCGGGGAGTTTTGACCCCAACCTCCCTGATGTGGTGTGACTTATATGCGCTAGGTTCTAATTAACACCGGAATGATGGGCTTCCTGGGCCTTTATCATGTAGGACCACAAAAAATCTCCTTGATTGTACCTTTTCTATAGTGTGACGCCTACAGTCTGTCACCAAATTCGAAAAACAAACAAACTGCTTCTTGCAGAAGTAACATTCTCGTCGATTCGCCGGATTGTGACGCCAAGCGTGATTGGCTAAACTTCTTTTCGAGTGGCTCCCAAACTCGCATTTGTCGCAGGAGTGAATCTTCGCGGCATGTTTCGCCTCCTCGTGACGTCTCAAATCAGTTGATGACGAGAATCTCTTCTCACAAAATGTGCACGGGCGATTCCTCCGATTTCCATGTACAATTTGGACGTGCCTCTGTAAATAGCCTTTATGGAGGAAAGTCCGAACACAAAGTTCACGCTTGAAAATTCTTCGAGTAGATTTTTCAAAATGTGTAGCCTGCAAAATAAGCAAATATTTATTCTTAACCCACCAAATTTGCCTGATTAGAATTTCTCGCCAAATTTGTTCTTATCGAATCTTCCTAACAAAACATTAACAAAATATTCATCTTGTACCTCGTGCAGTTTCCTTTTTGAATATGTGGAAAAGCTCCTCCCACAAGTGGCACAAGGGTACGCCTTCTCCGTGGTGTGGGTGAAAATCTCAAGATTTTCTTTGGTTTTGAATTCGTTACCGCAAAGTGTGGTCGGGTTTTCGGTATGTGCAGTTTTGATGTGCTTCGAAACATTGGATTTCGACAGATAGGATTTGTCACAGTCAGGAAATCCGCATGGAAAACGGGGTCGTTCGATCGTGCTGTGGACGGCATTAATGTGTATCCGTAAGGCTGCGGATGTGTAAAACACACGGTGACAGGTGTCGCAACTTGGTCTGTCCCGGTTGGTGTGAATCATTTTGATGTGAGCGGATAAGGCTGGTGGATTTTTCGAGATTTGCCGGCAGGTCTAAAATGTAGAACAAAACAGTTAAATCTAAATCAGTCTAAATACACGTGTTGTTGGTGGAATTTCGACATATTAGAAATATCCATTATTACCTCACATTTCACCCTCGCGGCATGAGTGAACATGTGATTCCTTAAGGTTTTCTTCGTGGTGAAAATTTTCAAGCACGTGGAACATGCCAGCCCGTTTCTTGATGATTCCATTCGAAGTCGGTCTGGTTTAGGTGGATACAAATTTTCACAAATCCACTAAAACCTTCACTTTCGTAATTGATTTAATTATTATTCTTCAGCGGAGTCGTAAATACGAATTTACATATTTCTTCTATATTTTAAGAAATGACGTCGTAAAGAAATTGCGAGCAAGCTTTGTCGACTGACTCGAAAGCCTATTTGTAATATTGAATTATTTTAATCTGCCTGCCCTGAATTTCAGGCCGAGTGTATTTTTAGAACGAGAAGGGTACAGAATGAATGATCCTAAAAATTCTAAAGCATGTTAAAAAATGGGTTAATGGTGTGCATGAATGGACAGTGGCTTAATTGAAGTGGCTTAATTGAAGTAACTATATATGTACATACGCGTTTCCACCATTCAAGGCATCTCTTTCCCTTCATTTAAATAACATGGTAATCTATCTATAGAATTAGAATGTTTCTTAAAGCTTGGAGGCTGACGCTGGCTAGTTTCATACCTACCGACGTATATATGTATGTATCTACATATATATATATCAACGAGATGCCATATGCGGAGTAGGTATGATACATATTATGATACAGTGCTAGCCTGAATAAACGACACCTATAATTTTGTACTATAATTTTTTTTATTAAGCAGTAGTTCGTGTAAACGCAAATCTGAGAATATATCCTACTCAAATTCAGACCAGGTGGTTTGACGTCAAAAATAACGGTTTCAAAAATGCACTAGTAGCATTACTTAAAAATTACAAAAAAGTGTTGGGGATAATCTCTTGTATCTAAATTGATTGAGAGAAAATGTGGATCAAGAATATCATTTTTGACAGGCTGTTTACAGATTTCAGACGATTACTTACTATGATCAACGTCTCATAAATGTCGAATGTTTACATTAGCAATTTGAGCAATAAGATAAGTTCGGGCGATCTAATACAAAATAAAATTAGAAAATATGCAATCCTCTTCGCTTGTTATTATTCCAAAGTAAGACGGCGACAGTGCCTCACCAAACTCGAAAAGGAGACAAGCTGCTTTTTGCAGAAGTAACATTCTCGTCGATACGCAGGATTGTGACGCCTCACATGTTGGACTAAATATTCTTTCGCGGGGGTCATGAATTGGCATTTATTGCAGGAATAGATTTTCTCCTTATTTGCGGGGTGTCTCGCCTCCACGTGATGCCTCAGAACAGTTGCTGTCGAGAATCTTTTGTCGCAAAATGTGCACGGATGATTCCTCCGATTTTCATGCACAACTTGTGAATGCGCATGTAAGGTTGCTTTGCGTAAGAAAGTCTTTGGACAAAGGTTACACTTGAAGATCCTTCTGGTATATTTTTTCATATGTGTAGCCTATAAAATGTGTAACGAAATATTTATTTATGTTGTAGTTTCCAAGCCAAATACTTCTGTATTTATACCTGGTGACTTCTCATGGTTGTACGTTGAGTGAATCTCCTTCCACACGTGCAGCACTTGTAGGCCTTCTCCGTCGTGTGGGTGGAAATGTGGGCCTCAAGGTCGGTCCTCGTTTTGAATTCCTTACTGCAAAGGGTGCACGGAAATCGGGTAGGATTTTCTGAATGTTCAGTTCTTTTGTGTTTCAACATGGCATTTCTAGTCAAGTAGGTTTTCGCACATCCGGGAAATTCACATGGAAAACGAAGTCGTTTAGCCGTATCGTGTACGGTGTCAATGTGGCTCCGTAAATTTCTAGGGCTGGAAAATACACGGTGGCAAATGTCGCAACTGGGTCGGTCCCGGCTGGTGTGAAGCAATTTTTTGTGTTGTGATAAGCTTAGCGGAGTTTTAAAAAATTTCCCGCATATCTTAAAGTTGGAATAACAACTGATGTTAATGCACGGTTGATTAAAATGTAAAACTACATTCAATGTTTTAAGTTTAGAAGATTACCTCACATTTCACCTTCGCATCGGCGTCATGTGTTACCATGTGATACTTCAAGTTTCCTTTAGTGCTGAACGTTTTGAAGCACGTGGAGCATGTCAATTCGTTGCCTTCCCGTGCATCCATTTGAAATCTTTTGTTTAGAATATTTTTTCGTTTTATGTAGAAAAATAATTTGTAAGACGTAAACCCGAACTGCACTTTCCTTTAAGGATTGGATTAACCTTATTCCACTATTTTTCACTGAACCGGGAATTTATAAATATGTATTTATGTATTTCCTACGTATGTATTGTAGTGAACCAATGACGAAGTGTCCAACTTGTACAACAACTTGAAAATATGTGCAGATATAACTAACCTTTTGCTGGTTTTTTTGTGTTGTACACAAATTTCAGGTCAAGTGTATTTTTAGAAGGAGAAGGAATGTTCATACATAGAAGCCCTGTAGCGAGTAAAGGTATGCAAATGGTGTGCAAATAGGGTAGTAACGTGGAGCAGCAGCGTGCTAGAATCTTTAAATTATTTTAGGGTTTCAGCAAAACAGATTTGAGAATGTGGAATGCGAGAACTTTTTTTAAAAAGTCGTTGCATGTCGAAAGTAACAATATGGATGAGGCCATTCGAATATTATGTCATAAAATCAGTCAGTCAACTTTCCGTGCAAATTTTCTCATTCAAAATACGTACGTTGATTGTTGCAAGTCTTAGAATTGTGATGAAAGCTTGCATGGGAAAAATAAGACTGATTTCGGACGATTGTATATTTGCTATGAGCAACGCTTCGGAAATACCTGTCAAATTTTTAGATTTTGATTCAGCTGCATTAGATAAGCATGTATACATATATGCATCTTAATGCGTCTAATAAGTAGGGTTGCCGCGGGTAGCGAAAATACGACCCGTTACCCGACCCGCTACCCTCAGCCCATACCCACACTGGTACCCGTTCCTTGATAGTATCAGGGAACGGGTATCAGGCTGATACCCGTTATGAGAATTAAAATGAAAACTAACCAAGCTCCAAACTAAAATCGATTGAATTATTTGTTTTTTTTGTGGCTTAAGAAGTACTTTGAGATAATGCATGGGACAATTAGGTACAATGTCATTAGTTATTTCTGAAACTGAACTTTATGCTTAATTTGATTTTTTGAAATTTTGATTTAAACTAGCATTGAATCTGGAATATGGATTTATTTCGTTCGTATTGTAACGAACCGTAATAGTTACGACGCTCACGTCCTCCAACTTGAAAGTCTAAAACCTAACTTGTCTCAGCTTGTCTGCAAGTGTATTTTTAGGAAGAGAAAGGTGCAGAATGTTTGTGTGAGTCCTGAACACACAACGGAAGTCTCCCAACGTATGCTCACAGATTTGGACCAAACTGGTGTCAATCAATCACAAATATAATTAGTATGAAACTTGCATATGGCACTAACTGCCAATGCTCAAGTTTAGCGGAGATATTTGCATAAAATGAGGAGGAAACGTACCCCCAAGGCTGGCAAATTTTTAACTTTCCAAATTTGCTGCCAATTTTTCCCGCTTTGGATGCAAATATCTCCGGCAAACTTGCGCATTGGCAGTTAGTGCCATTTCCGAATTGCATACTAAATTTATGATCGATTGACACCAGTTTGGTCCAAATCTGTGAGCATACGTTGGTAGACCTCCACTGATCTGCACTCAAGGTCTTGAGTGCAGATCTCAAACCTGGGCAGAAAATGTACGATTTTGTTTTATACACATCGAATGGTGACTTCTTCAGATACTTAACACAAGACTCTCTAAATATACGTGAACAATGAACATATGTTTAGTGAGAAAGACCAGGGATGAACTATATATGCCTTGTAATAGCCCGTTGAGGCTATAGTGCAGATGAAAGCCTTGGAATCAAGGGCACCTTTTTCTAGAATCAACCCTTTCGTCATGTAACAAAGTCGTTCCACCACTCAACTAATCCCACCCCTTGAACAGAATCAGAAATACATACAAATACAATATGAGTGAGACCATTCGAATATTACGTTGTCAAGTCAGTCATTTCACTTTGCATGAATATCTAATCAGTTTATAAGTTGTATCCTAAGTTTAATACAGCCGTTATTTCCTTGTTTCTGGTCAAATTACAAGTTTCGAAAAATTTCCAGGATTCACTCGCTATGTCGAACCCCTGTCTCTTTTAAATGCATACATATTTATGTATGTACAAATGTATGTTTTATGTCTATGAAACTATTTATGAATCTGGAAAACATTGGCAAATGATCAGATATTGCATATTTACTTAAATAAGGCATGTAAAATTCAGCATCCACTGTACTCACAAATGTATATAAGTAAATAGATATGTGCGTAAATTAATATGCGTAAACCGATACGATCTGTTTAACACTAAGGCGCCGTCCATAAATTACGTAATGCAAGAGGGGCGAGGGGGGGTCTAAGGCCCCAATGATATCGTGCCTATGTTACACATGTTAAAGGGGGGGAGGGGGGTCTAGAAAATCGCGATTTTTGCGTTACGTAATTTATGGACGGCCCCTAAATATGTATTTAAGCACGCGGATCAAATTAAGTTTAACGAAGTTCAAAATTTTTATGAGAAAAATATTAAATTCATACCTTTCCAAACTATTCGTGCTACTCATATGCTCCACCATTCCGGAAAAATTGCAGAAAACGCTGCAGCGAAGGTAAGCTCGCGGATTTTTTAAAATTTTCCCGCAAATCTAAATCACGAAGGCAAAGAAACGTAAGACAATGAATGGTCAAAATCGTTCTCAGAGTTACAAATTTAAATTTTTGCCTGACATTTCACCTTCGCCTCGGGGTCGTTCATACCAATGTCATTGATGAATCGATGCTTAGTTGTGAATGTTTTCGAACAGGTGGAACATTTCCGAACCTTCCTTTTTGTTAAACCCATTTTAATGTGGATACATATAATTCGGCTGTGTCTAGGCGTAAATGAATTTATACAATTCTAAGCAAAACTGCACATTTGGCGGCTTACGCACTAGTGAAACAATGCGGTGAAATTTTTCCGTTACCAGAATACCAAACTTATGGAAATTCATGTCATTCTTAATCACTGATTAAAATCTTTTCATAAGCTGTTAATAGATTTCGCAGCATTATTTATTTTGACCAACGTTTTGGTAATAATTGTAAAATTTGTACATTTTCTCTGCGTGTGACAGGAAAAATAAAAACCAATATGCAAATGTATACCGGCCACGTAAGACCTATGAAAATCTGACAATGGCAACAAGCTTCCTGGATTAACACTGTTCTAGAGTATGGAAACGGAAGTGTTTCACCAAATTCGTAAAAGAGACAAGCTGCCTCCCGCAGAAGTAACATTCTCGTCGATTCGTCGAATTGTGACGCTTCTCGTGTCGGGCAAAATTTACTTTCGAGTGGCTCTTGTACTCGGATTTGTCGCAGGAACGGATTTTCACCGTATTCGTGGGATGTGTCCTCTCCACGTGAGTTCTCATATTGATTAATGTCGAGAATCTCTTGTCACAAAATGCGAATGGATGATTCCTCTGCTTTTCATGCACACTTTGGACATGCGTTCGTAAGTTACCTCTGGAAGAGGAAGTCTGAGGGCACAGTTCACACTTGAAAATCTTTCGGGTACATTTTTCCAAGTGTGTAACCTGTAAAATAAATAAATATTTATGATTCTCTAGACTCTTTCTTCAGTTTATTAAAAAATATATTCCAGGCGTATTTATTAGTACCTCGTGACGTTTCATGGCCGCCCAATCGCCGAAGCCCCTCCCACAAGTGGAACACGTGTGGGCCTTCTCGGTCGTGTGGGTCGCAATGTGCGTCGTAAGGTTTTGTCTGCTTTTGAATTCTTTACCGCAAAGTGTGCACGGAAACCGAACCGGATTTTCGGCATGTTCAGCTCTTATGTGTTTTGAAAGATCGCCTTTCGTTAGGTAGGATCTGTCACAGTCGAGAAACCCACATGGAAAACGAGGCCTTTCTTCCGTGCTGTGAGCAGTGGCAAGGTGCAACCGTAAGTTCCACGGAGTAGAACCTACTCGGTGACAAATGTCACAACTGGTTCGGACCCGGTCGGTGTGAACCATTTTGATGTGGGCAGATAATGTCAGAGGATTTTTTAAAATTTTACCGCAGATCTAAATAAAATGAGAAGAAGTGTTGCAAGTAGTTGTTGATGAGGTTTAAAATTAATATTTTCAACGTCACATACGAATTTGGACGATTACCTTGCATTTGACCTTCGCATCGGCGTCATGCGTGACCATATGATGGTTCAAGTTTTGCTTAGTTGTGCATGTTTTTGAGCACGTAGGGCACACCAAACTATTTCCTCGCTGTGTATTCATTCGAAAACTTTACTTCTTATGTGTATGGAAAAATTGTAATTTAAGCCCAACTGCAGTTTGCGTACACGATTTGATCAAAATTATCCTGTCTGTAGTCTGTGTAGCACACAATCGGAAATATGTGTTTATTTCCTATCTATTTTATGTAATTAATGCCGTAATTGTGAGAAGATGTCAAGTTCTCGTTCTCTGCCGGCTTGAATGTCTAAAACTAATTTTTTTACGCTTCATTTCTTACATTTAGGCTGGATGTCTTTTTAGAAAACTAGGGACAAAGAATGTTCGTGAAGGGTAGTAACCATGCTATGATTGAAAGCATCCTTTCCCCCTTGATTTAATAACATGTTTAATTTCACAATTAGGAATGCTCGTTAAGGCTTTTTGGTGAGTCACATACGTACTTATTTATATCCACACAATTGCAGCTACCTAAACCTACCCTCATTCCAATAAAAACATTCTGAGCACGAAATTCTGACCATTCTTGAGGCACAGCAATAGCAATTTCAAACCGTTGAAGTAGCAGTGCATTCACCATGGAGGTCTCCCAGCGTATGCACCCGGATTTTAATCAAACGTCAGTGCTAATCGATCCAAATTTAGGTAGTATAGAATTTGCATGACACGATCTGTCGATGAGCAAGTTACGCATAGATATCTATTTGAATCCGAACAGGAGAAATCGCGGGTAAATTTGGATAATGTATGTTGTGCGTCAACATTACGGATCACAAGTTTGTCCAAAATCGGCGAGCATCCGCTGGGGGACCTCCATTGTCAGGTTTTTTCCGCAATGAGGAAACGGTGAGGATAAATTCCCATGCCTGTCTTGACGTGTTTAGTTTGTCCATCAAAAATCAAATTAGGCCAAATAATCTTACAAATTCGTGGTTAGAGTAGCTGAATATATTTTCTCACATATTTTGATGTTGTTTTAACGAACATGTTTATTTTTTCTCGGTGATGAGTCTATGCTATGGTTTTAAATTGATATCAGTCTCACGGACATTTCACAGCTACATATGCATTACACTAAATTAAATTCACAATATACGAGAAGCATGACTTCGTCCGAATTATATGTGCAGATCCATATTCATCTTTTAATGGTAAATAGATACTTCTGATTAATTTCATTTGGCGGACCTGTTAATTGATTGCAGATGATCCCTTATTGCTTATGTATGATCAACATTTTGGGCTTATTTGTCTAAATGTTAAATTTTAAGTAATTGGTCTAATATTATTACAGTAATATAATAAGCATGTAAATTTCGCAAGCCAAATCATAAAATTAAACAAGAGCAACAATGTATTTTCTGGATTATTACTGTTCTAGAGTATGACGACGAAAGTGCGGCACCAATTCGTAAAAGTAGACAAACTGCTTCTGGCAAAAGTAACACTCTTGTCGATTACTCGAATTGTGACGCTTCACGTGGTGAACTAAATTGTCTTTCGAGTAGGCCTTGTACTCACATTTGTCGCAGGAATGGACCTTCTCCCTATGTGCGGAATGTCTCGCCTCCACGTGGCGTCTGAGGTTGGCCAATGCCGAGAATCTTTTGTCACACAGTGTACACGGATAATTCCTCTGCTTTTCATGGATAACTTGGATATGGTTTTGTAAGTTAGCCCCATACAAGGAAGTATGAGGACACAGTTTACAATTGAAAATCCTTTGAGTAGATTTTTCCAAGTGTGTGAGCTGCAAATAAATACTTATGAATTGTCTTATTTTTCGTTTATTTTAGCTAACAAATATGTATTTTAGAGGAATATGTAAATACTTATTCATACCTCGTGGCGTTTCATGGCTGTCCGTCGGGCGAAGCTCCTCCCACAAGTGGAACAAGTAAACGCCTTCTCCTTTGTGTGGGTGGGAATGTGCGACTCAAGTACTTGCCTAGTTTTAAATTCTTTTCCGCACAGTGTGCACGGAAATCGGATCGGGTTTTCGGCATGTTCAGTTCTTGTGTGTTTCGACACCCCATTCTTGGTCCAGTAGGTTTTCGCACATTCGGGAAATCCACATGGAAAACGATATCGTTTCGTCATATTGTGCACTGTGTCCATGTGATTCCGTAAGGTTTCGGATGTGGCAAATTCACGGTGACAGGTGTCACAACTGGGTCGATCCCGGCTGGTGTGATGCATTTTTATGTGGAAGGATAGGCTTTGTGGAGTTTTGAAAAATTTTCTGCATATCTTAAAGTAAGAAAAAACTGATGTTCATGTGCGGTTTGTTGAAATGATAAAATGGTTTGTGCTATAAGTTAAGTCGATTAAATACCTCGCATTTCACCTTCGCGTCGGGGTTATGCGTAACCATGTGTCGGTTTAAGTTTGTCTTAGAAATAAATTTTAGGCACGTGGGACATGCCACTTTATTTCTTTCCCGTGGATCCATTCGGACTCTATTTATCTGTCTTATATGACAAAATAATTTAGCAAATAAACCCGAACTGCACTTTCCTTTGATTTCGTTAAACTTCTCCCACCGTTTCGCACCGAATCAGAAATAGCTGTATGTATTTATTATAAATACATGAGAATAAATATTTTATTCCCTCCGTATTTTATTGAAATAATCCCGTAATGGTGGCCAAGTTTCAAGCTTATGTACGCCTTCTGCCCACTAGGAAGTTCAAAATCAAACTTCTATAGTTTCGTTGCAGTCGTATAAATTTCAGACCAAATGTATTTTTAGGATCAGAAGGGTGAATAGTGTTTATGGAGTGAGGAGGCGAGTGAAGGTGTGAAATGTGTGAATGGTCTCAATCCAGTGGTAATGACTTGAAAACACACTGCTGACGACATCGCTACCCTTGGGATTAAATATCATGGTTAACTACCCAAAAATGTTGGTTGACGCCCGTCCTGCGGTGAATGCATATCAATTGCAGCTGCTTAAGGCAACCCTCGCTACAATAAACCATTCTTCCCGTCGTGTCCTCTTATCAATATGTATGAGAATGTCGCCGTTTTTTACGAAACGGTCCTTTATGCAAAAAAGTAAGCATGCAAGTGCATTTCTTTGCTTCGTAATTTATAGAAAAAAGGTAATTTATTAGGGAAATCTTGTAGTTTTGAATTTTATTTTAACGAAAAAAGAAGTGTGCGAAGCATATTTATCTGTACCTCGTGATTTTTCATGGCTGTATGTAGGGCGAAGCTCCTCCCATAAGTGAAGTCCTTCTCCGTCGTGTGGGTGGAAATATGAGTCTCAAGTTTCGGTCTATTCTTGAATTCCTTACCGCAAAGTGAGCATGGAAATCGGACCGGGTTTTCGGTATGTTCGGTTCTTACGTGTTTGGAAACGGAATCTTAAATTATTTACCGCAAAGTGTGCACGGGAATCAGGTCGGATTCTTGGAATGCTCAATTCTGAATTTTGGAATCTGTAATTCAGATACGAAGTAATTGATCAAATTTGAAACAAAACTGCATTTTTTTCTCGATTACGAACTAGTGACGCAGTGGGTTGAAATTTGCGTTTCCTTAAAAAGTAAATTTACTATTGCCCTAGAATTTAAAAACTGGAGGAAAATGTATCGCAAGGTCTGGATTTATTTATGGACGCGGAATTATGACTTATTTATTCACGAACCTTTTCCTGCTTAAGCAATAAGAATATTTTTAGAAGCGTCAAAAGCTCTATTAACTCTGTCTGGCAAAAGTCCGGCGACTGCGAGGTTAGTGTACGTGAAGTAAGAGTCCCTTCTTCTAAAGCATCCCTTTCTTCAATGGGCACATTCTTCTTACCACGGGTACGGGTGGCCTTATCCCTTTCTCCAGATAGTAATAACAATATGAAAGAGGTTATTCAAATATTACACAGTGTAATCTGTCAGTCCACTTTACTGTTTTATTAATTAGATGCAGCTACTTTATGCGAAGACTTTGTCCGTCTGTCTGCCTCACAGATATGGAGAGACATAGATGGAGGAACTATTGAAAAAAGCGTCTCAGCATGGAGAACGATTTGGGTATAATTTGGGTATAATTTGGATATAACTCATATGGACTTCGTTATCAATTTGCCCCACTTTCTCAGTTGGCAGAAGCTGGAGCAGTATTTAGTTTCATTCACAAATTTTGCCAAGTTTTTAACATTGGAGCGATTTGAGATCGGGGATCTATGTCTCTACATATATGTGGTCTGCCTGCAAGCAGGACAACGTGAGAACGGAGCAAAATGATATTTTTACAAAAATTGAATCTATAGACGAAATGCAGTGCCCGATGTATTGGGAGCGGTTGGGGTGAACTAGTCTCAAGCTACTTTATTTTGTGCGTTTATGATGGTTTATTTTATAATTTAACATACCTGATTGGATCTAAGGATCTTGGTTGGATCCCCTTATGTACTTCCGTCGCACGATTTGGTGTCGCGTGTCGCGTCCATGTAATTCTTGTAAGGTTCATGTTTGTGATTGGACTATTAGAAAAAATTAGCCTATATTCATACATATTTATATCTATTGGAGTCTCAGGACAACGTCTTATTTAATCTCATCAAAAAAAGTTACGAAACTCTAAAAATTCATGAGCAAAATATGATCCCCCAAATTTCGCGAATTTATATATTTTACTGTGAAAATACGATAGAGTTGATCACTGTGTGGAACCCAAATTGGCTCAATAGCTGTTGTAAACAACGTGCATTCAATTTCAACGAGACTTAAATATAATCGTTAACCGAAAACATCACTCGAAAAAACTGTAGCTCAAGATGATTATTACGATTTTCTAAATGCGGTTCTGAGACTTTTTATGACATCATGTGCCTGAATGTAAAAAAATTGAGGTTTAAAATTTATATTAAGCAAATCTCCTTAACAACACAGTTTTGAGAGACGTAATTTCATAGCTACTAATTAAGTACCAATGTACATGCTTGAACATTCCTATATACATAAATGGACAGTAAATGGCTGCGATTAGAAATAATTTTTCAGAACCTACACTCTTAGCAACTTGGTAAAGAATTCCTAATAAGCGTCTTTACCGGGCTCTTGGTAAATACGCGTCCTACAAAAATTATACGGGATTATTACCGTATCAATACCAAACGGGTAACTAGCCTTCTACAGCAATATTGTAAGTTATCTTTATAATTTTGGTAATGAATTCCTACGAACCGGTAATTATATCCTTCAAATTTAGATAACACTTTTTACTATAATTTTAATTAAGTGTAGTACAAATTTTTTCCGTTGTGGTTATGATGAGATCTACATTTTGGTGTAGTTTATTACCATAGAGGTAATAATTTTAATACATTTGGTGTGAATTGTGAGACGCTAAACAGTGGCGCGGGTACCGCTCAGCTCAAATCAAGTCAACATGGCGAAATTAGTCCGCGTGTCCAATTCTGCCCTTAGGAAAAAACTTCTGGAAATTATATAGAATTTTTGGAAACATTTAAGTATCAAATTATCAAATGTAGGTGCCTCATCAAGATTGTGGTGGAGCACCATCTTAATACATATAGGGACGAGTAAATAATAATCTTGTGTTTATTTTTTCAGTGAAACAAAAATTTGAGTTGGAAATCGGAGAATACAGAGAGGGTGAGTCCTTAAAGCATTCTTAATATTTAATAATATATTTAATTTGACAAATTAAATTTCAGAGTTTCTCTTATATCCTCCAATTAGACACACTGAGCAGCTGCAATAATTCAGCTACTGCCATCATTGAGATATTCAAGTCAGTGGAGGGTCTAGTGAGTGAAAATTTCGTGAATTATTTAAATGTGCTCTTGTATTGAGAATTTCTAAAAATTGTGAATTTTTAATCTGCAGGTTTGTTTGATGACGTCAACTGATGTGGACTCATCCAAAATGGACTGAAGACGATTCACCGGAATTTGAAGGGGGAACAGACGAGTGTCAAAAAAAGCAGGAGTCGACAATTTCAAATTCCGGGCCTAACAAGAAAATCTCAAGACCAATTCCTGAGAATTTCGAATTTAATGACGAACTTGGGAAAATAAAGCAGATGGTGGATACGCTCGGTCATTGTAATATTTTAAGGAACGCTGGGGATTAGTCGATCTTGAAAATTTACAGAATATTTGCAGAATATAACTTCATGGTATTTACACATTTTTGGAAATATCTAAAATTTGTTTAAGTCGATTATTGTCTAATTTAACATTTAAATAATTTCATAGATGAGTTCTTTCTGATACAGAAAATCTATTTACCGAAAACTGTCCTGGATTAGCAGATTTAATTTTCATGTATACATGTGTATGTATGTAACTCAATAGTTTACATTATACTTAAATTTGATAATTATGTAAGTTACAAAATGCTTTTATAATAAATATAACTGAAAGACTATTTTAAAGAAAAGCAAAAAATCTATTCTTTTCGGTGGAAATCTGCACAACATTTGGTAATAATGGGGTATACGTAATAAAAAGCATTAATACCAGTATGAATAGCACACCGTGTACAAAGTGGTATGGTTTATTACCAGGCGGTAGACATTTTACTACATATTGTAGTACATCTGTCATACATCACGGTATTAATTTTAACCCAAAAAGTGTTCTTTATTACCACTTTGGGTTCAATAAATTTCTTTACCAGCTGGTGGTTATCATTACCGTTTCTGCAGAGTCATATACGTGTGCATTTTGGTAGTGATTTGGTAATGATTTTATTTAGAGTGTATTAACAGATGTCAGACGATTATTTATTACGATCAACTTTTTAGGAATACTTGCTTCAGTTTTAGATTTTAATTGGCCATAATAAAATAACTACATATATATGTACAATTGTACATCTCGTCGGCATAATAATAATATCTGGCATATGTAAACGTGCAACCATAAATGTCCATGATCATCACTGTTCTAGAGTGTGACGACGACCGTGTGTCACCAAACTTGAAAAGTATAAAAACTGCTTATTGCAGAAGTAACATTCCCGTCGATTCGTTGAATTGTGCCGCTTCTCGTGTCGGGCTAAATTTACTTTCGAATGGCTTCTGTACTCACACTTATCGCAGGAATGAAGCTTCTCCGAAGATGTGGGATGTGTTACCTCCACGTGACGTCTCATATTTCCCGATGTCGAGAATCTTTTGTCACAAAATGTACACGTACGATTCCCCCGATTTTCATGCACCATTCGGACGTGCCTTTGTAAATAAACTTTAAGCAGGAAAGTCTGAAGACAAAATTCACACTTGAAAATTCTTCGAGTAGATTTTTCCAAATGTGTAACCTGCAAAATAAACGAATATTAACGAATTTGTCCTTGATCTTCCTAACAAAATATTAACAAAACATTTATTTGTACCTCGTGAAACTTCCTTCTTGAATATGTGGAAAAGCTCCTCACACAATTTGAACACGGGTAGGCCTTTTCCGTGGTGTGGGTGGCAATATGCGACTCAAGGTGGGTCCTGGTTTTAAATTCTTTACCGCATAATGTGCATGGAAATCGGGTCGGATTCTCGGTATGCTAAGTTCTTTTATGTTGCGAAACATCGGATTTAGTCAGGTAGGATTTGTCACAGTCAGGAAACCCGCATGGAAAACGTGGCCGTTCAATCGTGCTGTGTACCGTACTGATGTGTTTCCGTAAGGTTGCGGATGTGTAAAACTCACTGTCACAGCTGTCACATCTAGGTCGATGCCGGTTGGTGTGAACCATTCTTATGTGGTCAGATAAGGCTGGTGGGTTCTTCGAGATTTTCCCGCAAATCTAAAATGTAGGACAAAAACAATTGTATCTAAATATGTTATTGGTGGAATTTCGAAATATTAGAAATGTATATTATTACCTCACATTTCACTTTCGCGTCATGCGTGAACATGTGAATCCTTAAGGTTTGCTTAGAGCTGAAGGTTTTCAAGCATGTGGAACAAGTTAATCCATTTCCTTGCCGTGGAATCCATTGGAATTTAGAAATCCTTCTTTTGCACACGGGAAAATAATTTTGTGTTCCGTCGCACTTTTCCGATATAATATGGTTAACGTTTATCCAGTTTTTCGCATCAAATCAGAATAAATTTGCATGTCCGTATTTTAATGATCCAATGTATTTAGTATTGGGAAAGTTTACATCCTCTCACAACCCGAAAGTCTGAAAGGAAACTGCTGTAGTTTTTTGTATCGTGTAAATTTCGGGTTAAGTGTATTTTTAGGAAAGGGTGGAGAATATTCGTGTTTATTTAGTAGTCATGGAGCGAGTGAAGGGAAACGGTCTGTATGCAAGGGTTGTGACATAAAGCAAACGTGTTTGCCACTATTCAAAGCATCCTTTCTCTTGGATTTGAATAACGTGGTTAAGAATACTTAGCAATCAAGAATATTGGTTCAAGTTCTGAGGAGAGTGCTGGTCAGTGTCATTTACACATGACACTGACATTTTAGGCCACCACAATCGAGTGTACATAGTCTTACCATAAGAAGTGATAGTAGAGCGTAGTTTTTGAACCGGTCAACATAAAATTAAAAGGTCAGTTGCGGTTTGTACATACATTCAGTGCCTATCATTTGTGTTGACCGTTTTTACTTGACGTCACTAGGTCAAAAATAGGAGGAGCTTAGCTACACGCGCGCGGCAATAATTTTTCACTTTTTGCACGAGAAAAAAATGCACGATGTTTGATGTAGTGTAGCAGTCCAAGTACAACTACGATCTGGTTGCCTAAACTATTAAAGTAATCCTAGAGACAGTGTCTATCTTTGGTATAAAGGTTTCGGTGGTCCAAGGTCAAGGAGGACTACAATGATGTCCGAAGCTTTAAACACCAGAATAGCACAAAATCTCTATCTGACGCCGGAGACTTTGGCCACACAAATGACCTTCCAACTTTAGAGATCAGATTAGCACTGAAAAATGACCCTAAGATGAAGGTCTTTTAGATTAGAAAGCGTCACATGCTACAGATTTCCCAAGCCTAAGCAAGGGTAAAAAAATCGACCTCTCTCCTCAAACGGTACGGTGAAAAAACCAAAAAAACTAACGCGTTTACCGATGATAATTTCTTTACGACAGAAACATATGTCAATAAAAAAACTGACACGTTTTATGTCAAATATTCTAAGGGTTAGCTGATTACAAAATAAAGGTCAAAGTGTTATCTTCTCAGGCTCCATTCATGGTTTTGGGGGGAATCGGCGGAATTGAGCAAAAACCACCCAATTTCCTCGATTAAGGAGAGCAGATAGTTTTAAAAAATATTTGATCAACGTGCTGGTGAAGAAGAAACACCCCCTCAACTAGTCCATATTGGGTGAAAAGCCACCGACGTTTTTGAAGGCGTCCACAGTAGCATTTACAGCGAAATTCGTGAAAAATTGGATTAAAATCTATATTTCTGACTTCATTTGTACCTTAGGTTTAATGTTGGAATTTTCGAACCGCAGACAACTTCACCGCCAAATATTGATTAATATTGAGGAAAAGGTCTGTTCTGAGCCCCATATAAGTGTCGGGGTCACAAAAAAATTTCTGACCCGGGAATGATACAGTTTTTCAATTAATTTCGTGCGTATTTTTGATGGAGCTTTCTCTTTCGTGACCAATTTTTCATGGTCACAGGAGGAATATATTTTCAAGTTTAATACATGTTTTCTACTTGAAATTTAACTGGCTTTTCAACGGAATAAGAATAAATTTGAAATTCCTTAAAACTAACCTAATATAGTCGTCTACTCTACTATCACTTTTTAAGTTGAGACTATGTATACACTCGATTGTAGCGGCTTAAAATAGTAGCGCCTTACCTAAGCAAGCTTTTTTAAATTATTCTAGAGTCCTTAAGGTCAATCAAAAAACTGCGGCATATGTAGTAAAATGACGTGCAAGTTCGGCCTTATCTAAATCAGTTCTGAGAATTTTTATGAAATCAAGTGTTTGTATGTTGAAAATTGAGGTTTACAATTTATATGTATTAACGAAAAAACTCCGGTTTAATCATACAATTTTGAGAAACAATTTTATCATTAATTACATACACAAATATTCATCTTTAAAGGAAGATTAAATATCTGAGCTTAATATTAATTTTTCAGACATTATTAACAGATTTCGGACAATGCTTTATTACGATCAACATTTTAGGAATGTTTGCTTAATTTTTAAATTGGTGTAATAGAATGCGTAAATATCTGCATATTGGCAGACGAATAACACATCTGAAAACAACAAAATTCCTTCATTTGCACTGTTTCAGAGTATGACGACGGCAGTGTGTCAGTGACCTCAAGCAACTTTTCTTGGAATAAAAATAAATAAATTCCTCCCTGCAGGTTGCCCTTCTGCTTGGATCGAAATAATAAAGAGACCGTGCAAGTATTACGTCAATCCTTTTCGTCATACTTACAGATCTTCCTCGCGTTTAAATAGTTTTTGTTAAGAAGAACATTTCGGATACAAAAAATCAATTACATAAAAGATATCAAAATTTTAATTTGACTATGAAAACTTAGGAAATACCAATGTTGGCGAAGTTAATAAACTCTTTAGGACTCTTAAATAGTTTATTAATGTTTGTGCATTTCTTCTCTTTCGCAGACTGGGGTAGCTGATTTTTCTCCGAAGTTACTCTAGATATTTCGTTTGCCTTTTTGAGTAGCATATGCACAAATCAATTTTGTGCCTGCATCCACCATTTGGCACTTTCAAATTCAAATCTGACACCAAAACATTGTACGTTGAAATGACAAGCTTTAAAATTGTAGCAATTAAGCATGTTGCTTTATTAGCTGTGTAAAATTTAACATAATTTCATCGACAATTACAAATGCATGGAATTACAAGGTGGGGATATTGCCTAGTAAATTGACAGGATCTCCATGTAATTAATAATCGCTAATTATGTAATATTCATTTCTCATGCTGTTAGTTTTTCTATATTTTGCATTTTTATAAACAGACAATTCTCACCAGCCTAAAATAAAATGAGACAACACCAAATTTCCAAGATTGTCACATTTCAAGGGCATGACGATGGAAGTGTCTCACTAATTCGGTGAAGTAGAAAAACTGCTTCTGGCAAAAGTAGCATTCTCGTCGATTCGCAGGATTGTGACGCCTCACATGTTTAGCTAAACTTTTTTGTGAGCGACTCATAAATTCGCATCGATCACAAGAATGAATCTTCTCCTTATTCGCGGGATGTCGTGCCTCCAGGTGAAGCCTCATATCGCTTGATCGCAAGAAGCTTTTGTCACAAAATGTGCAATGATGATTCCTCTGTTTTTCATGTACAATTCGGATATGCATTCGTAAGTCACGTCTACTTAAAGAAATATGAGAGCAATGTTCACACTTGAAAATCCTTCGGGCTGATTTTTCCAAATGTGTAGCCTGTAAGGTGCGCAAAAAGAAATATTTATGAATCGTTACAGATATTTTTATACAACGGTACGCCTTCTCCGTCGTATGAGTGGAAATGTGCGCCTCAAGGTAATGTCTGAATTTAAATTCTTTACCGCAAAGTGTGCACGGAAATCGGGTCGGATTCTCGGTGTGTTCAGTTTTTACGTGTAGTGATGTGATACACTTTCAGAGTTTAAGTAGGTTTTTCCACATCCGGGAAACCCACATGGTAAACGGGGCCATTTCAGCGCGGTGTGTTTGCTAAAAATGTATCTCTGTAAATTTCCAGATGTGCAAAATTCACGGTGACAGAGGCCGCAACGTGGTCGGTCCCGCTTGGTGTGAGACATTTTTGTGTGGATGGATAAGGTTTGTTGATTTTTAAGCATTTTCCTGCAGATCTGAAACGTAATGCAAAATGGGTCGATGTGGTTGGGAGAATTTTAAAATAATTTAGATGATTACCTCACACTTCACCTTCGCAGCTGGGTCATGCGTCAACATGTGAAGGTTTAAGTTTCTCTTAGAGCTCAACGTTTTTGAGCACTTTGAACATGCCCATTTAGTTCCTGGCCGTAGATCCATTCGAAATCCTGAAGTTTTGTGTGGAAATCAATTTAGTAAATGCATCCGTAGTGCAATGTCGTATACTGATCTAGTTTATATTTCGTCAGCGTTTCGCCCCGAATCGGTGATATGTATTTATTTATTTTCGCTATATATTAACGAACAAAAACTGTAAAGTGACGAATTTGCAAGGTGAAACCTCTCCCAGCTTTGAAAGGCTAAAATCGTACTTACATGGTATAAATTTGAGTCTTATTTTTAGAAATGGAAGGGCAAAGAAGGTTCACAGAAGTCCTCAGGCGAGTGAAGGTGAATGGCTCCATGCAAGGGTAGGTACTAACTGATGCCACCATTCAAAGCAACCCTTCCACTGGTTTATGTAGTATCTTCTTCCATGGGTTTTATATAGCATGGCTACGTTAACAAGATAGTTTATTTTCGCAATTAAGAATGCTCGTTCAAGCCCGGAGGCGATTGTCGCGTAAAGGTAAATGCCTTTTGTCGTAAATTGCCTCAAATGCAGCAGGTTTATAAAATCATCGTAACAAGAAGCAACATTTTTCCAACAGTCAACCCTTTCACCTGGACAGAAATAGCATTTGGACACCGTTCAAGTATTATGGTATCAAAGGAGGTCTTCCGGCGTATGCTCACAGATTTCGAATAAATTAGTAGCAAGCGATAACAAATTTACTTCATATGAGATTTGAAAAAAACATTATCTATCAATGTGCAGGTTAGATATTGACGTCGAAAGAGGAGAAATCGTGCAGTAAATTTGCAAAGTAAATTTGTAAAGTGCGAGAGTTGTCAATCTGAGGGAACGATGGCGATGGACTGTCTATTTGACATTAGAATGCTCAAAATCGGAAAGTATATGCTGGAAGACCTCCATTGTTGCAGGAAAAATAAATTAGATTTATCGGCGGTAGTGAAGCAGTGGCGTACAATCGGCGGCGTTGACCTCTGCTCTATCAGTATTAGTATTTGTCATCCATAAAATTTTCAAACCAATTGCTCCAATACTTTGGGATCTATCACCAGAAATGCTTGTGTGGGAACTTACGCATCGACTATGTATATTTATTTATTTAGATGTTGGTTGGTGTAACCCCTGTTTACATGCAAATCTGAGAATATTTATGACCCCAAATCTTTCCGTATTAAAAATGAAGGCTTACAAATTATATCAATTTATTATTTTGTTTTACTCATGCATTCTTTACTAAAATTTGACATTCTCCTAGAATTTCAAAACTGAAATGAACAGCAACGTCTGATTTTATTTCGTGTAATGGAATAGTGGCTTGTTCGTAGATTTAACTCTTTCTCCTTGAACAGGGAATATATTTTTAGAAAGGTCAAAAGGATGAACTGTTGAAATGAAGGGCACCTTCTTTTAGAAACAACCCTTTTGTCAAGGCCCAGATTCTTACTCCGAGTCAACTTGTCCCATCCAATGGACAGAAATATCAATGATACCATTTGAATAGTATGTTATCAAATCAGTCAGTCCAATTTCTTCACACAGAATCACATATAAAACGACTTAATTAGAAGTATGGGAACGTCCATATAATACTTCATCAAAAAACTTCAATTTTTAGGCCATCCTCAGTTGTCATTGACAACTGAGCATTACCAGTGGTGGGGGAAGCAGGAAGGCAGTCTCCCCAGAAAATGGGCCACGGGGACAAGCCAGTTAATCTCCCCCGGGAAAACTTATGACTTGCATGATCTAGTTCACATTGTATGCATAATTAATACTTAAAACTTAAATAATATTTTGTGTCCATTGAAATGATGAAATCTGATTATTAATGACATTAAATGCATGCATGTGAAGATTATCCTTCTCAAAAAGTTGCAAATAGAATTTAATTATTATTAATTATGATCAAAATTTTAGAAATATTTGTACAATTTTTAAATTTTAATTGACTACTATAGATATTTGAGTACATATATATGTACATATTACCGGCCTAATAATAAAATCAGACATGAGCAAATTGCTCAGAAACAAATTTACCGGGCTAACAATATTCAAATGTATGCTGTCGACTGTGTTTCGCCAATCTCGAAAAGTAGACAAACTGCTTTTTACAGAAGTAGCATTCTCGAAAGGGTGGTGACTTGAAGCAGCCAAATTCTTGCCATGGAATAGCAATCCGTACAAGATCGCTCATATATGCATTCTTGCTACCGTTCATTGCATCCCTTCGCCTGGATTTAAACAATGTGTATAACTAAGCAATTAAGGATATTCGTTAAAGCCGGGGGGCGAGTGCTGACCAGTGGGATATGTAAATATGCATACATAAATATGCATAGGTATATCCGCCCCACGAGTCCTCCCTTCCTCCTAACGGAAAGCGATGGCACGATTCAAGTTTTACGGTACAATCTGCCTGCATGGTTATCTCCCCTGCTAAATTTCAAGCACACAATAAAATTTAGAGTAAAAATCAAATTTAAGAATTATGACAATTCAATTGTTGACAACTAAAGTTTCAGAAATTTGAGTTCTTTGTCTCACCTAAGAAATATCGGAAACTGGACTTTTATTGTGCACACTTTAAATATAGATTTGAAAATTATTATGCCACCAAGTGGAAGCATGTTAACAATAAAGGTTTCCAAATTTATATTAACTAACTGCTTCATTTTATTCATCGAAACTTTTTAAAAACACAATTTCAATACGATAATACAAGTGGATTGGTAATTACATGCGCATGTGTTAAGGACATTTTCCTGTAAACTTGTATTTTAAAAATCCATTTATGCTGGGAGAGTTTGGTTGTCAAAAAAATAAAATATTCCACAAAACCTCACAAATAATTTTTACGCGAATAATTTTTACGTGCCATTTTTGATCCGGATTTAACTATTAGTTCAATTATTTTATAACTATTTTAATTTGCCGTTAAATTAAATTGTTAGAATCTTTTGACGTTATGTAGGGTATTTTATTTTACTTTACAACCAAACTCTTTCAGCATAAATCATCCATATTTTCAAACTTTAAAATCTGTAAAGAAATTGAAGAAATTTTGAACTGACATGACCCTGCCTAGAAAGGAGTAGTGATCTTTTTGTGTGCTGGCGGGCCACGGCTTTTTATTATTTAATTTTAAAGATTACTATAGGGCAATAATAAATAACTAATATAAAGTTGAAAAAAGTTCCCTCCAACCACTTTTGGGGCTCGAAAACCGAAAATTTTGACACTTTAGCTTTCTACGCCTTCCGGGCTAATATTTCCAAACCGGTTACAAATCTCTGAATACAACCAATTAGGGAAATAAAGGTACTTACATAAGGTCAATAAAAATACAGTCCTAATCAAACATCTCATAGGGGAAGAAAAAATATTTAAATATAGGCCAAAGTTAATGATTTTTTTCAATTTATTTATTTATTTACTTTTGTGATTTCTGGTTAAAAAAGTGTGGAACCCCCCATTGGGGTTATTATTTCATTTGACTTACAAGGGTAGTAGGTGCGCCAGGAAGTCAATAGTTAAGAGCAAATCATGTGCAAAAAAATCAAATGCCCACCAGTCCCCAAAAAGTTAACTTGTCCTTCTCCAAAGATAAAGTCAAAGGACCCTACTTTGATCATATCGTCACTCTAAGATTTAAACAGACAATAGAAAAGAAACAAAGTTCCTGCCTTATCATTGTTCAAGCGTGTGACGACGAAAGTGTGTCACCAATTCAGAAAAAAAGAAAAACTGCTTCTTGCAGAAGTAGCAGTCTCGTCGATTCGCAGGATTGTGACGTCTCTCATGATTGGATAAACTTTGTTTAGAATGGGTTATGAATTCGCATTTCTCGCAGGAATAAATCTTCCTTTTACTCGCCGGATGTCTCGCTTCCACGTGATTTCTCATATTGCTCGATGTCGATAATCTCTTGCCACAGAATTGACAGGGATGGTTCCTCTGATTTTCATGCACAGATTGGACATGTGTTTGTAGGTGAGCTTTACGAAAAGAAGCGTGAGGACAAAGTTCACACTTGAAAATCCTTCTGGTCGATGTTTCCAAATGTGTAACCTATGAAATAAATAAAGATTTATTTATGAATCGATAAATTCTTCGTTTATTTCAACCGACAAAATATTTCATAGGAATATAAATTTGCACCTCGTGACGTGTAAGAGTTGTCCGATGGCCAAAGCTCCTTCCACAAGTGGAGCAAGTGTACGTCTTTTCCGTCGTGTGGGTGGAGATGTGTCTCTCAAGGTCGCTTTTGGCCTTGCATTCTTTCCCGCAAAGTGTGCACGGGAATCGGGTCGGATTTTCGGCATGTTCAGCTCTCATGTGGATTGACAAAGCATTCTTGCTCGAGTAGGTTTTTCCGCATCCGGGAAATCCGCATGGAAAACGAGGTCGTTCGGTTTTGTTGTGGACGGTGTTAACATGTTTCCGTAAGTTGGATGGCGTAGAACACACCCGGTGACATATGTCGCAACTTGGTCGGTTTCGGATGGCATGATGCATTGACAAGACTCGTGGGTTTTCAAAACTTCCCCGCTAACCTAAGAATCATGGAAACTATAAAATTTTAGTTACTCGAGGAAATTTTAAAATTGTGTAGTCTTGTGGGAAAAAATTTAAACTGCTAAGGGACATTTTAGTTGCAAATCTTTTTCAACAACTAAAACATTTTGAAACCTCTTATTAAACCCATTGTAATTTGGATTTCCGAACCTTCAGATGTTTTGATGCGTAAAAGAATTTATAAAATTCGAAGCAAAACTGCACATTTGATGAATTAAGCACCATGATAGTCAAGCGATAGAGTGAAATTTAATTCGTTATCCAAATACCAACCTTATTCTTCTCCTAGGATTTCAAACTTTAGCAGAAAAATAGAAAATGCACGATTTTGTTTTATACACATCGAATGGTGACTTATTCAGATACTTAACACAGGCCTCTCTAAATATACGTGATCAATGAACATATTTTTAATGAGAGAAGGATGAACTATGTATATATCCCTTGTAAAAGCTCTGTAAGGCTAGAGTGCAGATGAAAGCTTTGGAATCAAGGGTACCTTTTTCCAGAATCAACCCTTTTGCCAAGTAACGGATTCTTTCCACCACTCAACTAATTCCATCCCTTGAACAGAAACAGAAATATTAGTGGAACCATTCGAATATTACGTTGTCAAGTCCACTTTGCATGCATATCTATTTAATTGATAAAGTAGTTGCCTAAGCTTAATCCAACCGTTATTTCCTTATTTCTGGTCAAATTATAAATTGTGAGTGGTAAAAATATCCAGGATCCGCTCACTATGTTGAGTCCTCGTCTCTTTCTAATCCATACACACAACTGCATGCATGTACATACATCCAGTATGTACACATGTTCCATTTCCATGTCTATGCAAAACTATTTAGATACATATACCAACCAGATGCATGTATCATTATGAGGAGTAGGTAGGATATACGACACCTATAATTTTTTACTAACCAGTAGTTCGTGTAAACGCAAATCTGAGAATAATTTTTACTCAAAGTCAGTCAAGGTGGTTGGACGTCAAAAATAGCGGATTAAAAAATTATTAGCATTACTCAAAAAAACTTTATTAATAATTACATATGCAAGTGTTTGGACTAATCTACTGTGTTCAAATGGCGAGAATATGCGTATCAAGAATGTCATTTTTGACAGGCTGCTTACATTTTGCAGACGATGGTTTGCTATTATCAATGTCTTGTAAATGTCGAATTTTTACATTAGCAATTGGAGTAATAAGATAAGTATCGGCGACCTAATAAAACATGAAATTAGAAAACAAGTACTCAATCCTCTTCGCTTGTTACTATTCCAAAGTATGACGGCGACAGTGTGTCACCAATTTCGAAAAGTCGACAAAATACTTCTGGCAGAAGTAACATTCTCTTCGGTTCGCACGATTGTGAGTCCTCGCGTGCCTGGCTAAATAAAATTTTGCGTGGGTCTTGAATTCGCACTTGTCGCAGGAGAGATTCTTCTCCTCATTCTCGGGATGCCTCGCATCCATGTGACGTCTCATAGTGCATAACATCGAGAATCTTTTGTCACAAAATGTGCACGGATAGTTCCTCCGTTTTTCATGCACAAATTGGATGTGCGTTTGTAAGCTGGTCCTACTCAGAGAAATCTGAGGACAAAGTTGACACTTGAAAATGCGTCGGGTAGATTTCTCCAAATGTGTAGCCTGAAAAACTAAGAAATACTTATGATTCGTTAAATTTTTCGTTCGTTTGACCCAACAAAATATTTTCATGGCCTATTAATTGGTACCTCGTGGCGTTTCATGCCTGAAAAATTGGTGAAGCTCCTCCCACAAGTGGAGCAACTGTGTGTCTTCTCCGTCGTGTGGGTGGAAATGTGCGCCCCAAGTTTGTATCTGGTTTTGAATTCTTTACCGCAAAGAGAGCACGGCAATCGGACCGGATTCTCGGAATGTTCAGTTTTTATGTGCCGTGATACACTTTCACGATTTAAGTAGGTTTTTCCACATCCGGGAAGTTCACATGGAAAGCGAGGTCGTTTTACCGTGCTGTGAATGTTCTTTATGTGGTTGCGTAAAGTTTCGGGCTTGTAAAATATACGCTGACAGATCTCGCAACGTGGTCGGTCCCGGTTGGTGTGATTCATTTTTATGTGGATTGATAAGGCTAGTGGGTGTTTCGAAATTTTCCCGCATGTCTGAAAAGTAACAAACAAACTGATGTATGTGATTGGTTGAGCTTTTAAATTACTTTCAGGATATGAGCTTATGTAGACGATTACCCCGCATTTCACTTTCGCGTTGGCATCATGCCTTATCATGTGATGCTGCAAGCTTCCTTTGGTGGTGAACGATTTGGAGCACGTGACACATGTCCAAACATTTTTAGGACGGGGATCCATTCGAAATCTTATTTGGAAAAAATCTAGCACGCAACCCGAAGTACACTTTCTTTTAATGATTTGGTTAAAATTGTACGGGTTTTGAATCGGAAATATGGATTTATTTCGTTCGTATTTCAATGAACCGTAATAGTTAGTCGTCCAACATGAAAGTCTAAAACCTTACCTCTCGCAGTATGTCTGCTTTTACATAAACTTGAGACCATATTTATTTTTAGAAAGAAAAAGGTGCAGAATGTATGTGAGAGTCCTGAAGCGAGTGAAGTTGTACATAAATGGTCTGCATACATGGGTGGCCTCGCTTTCAATGACCAGGTTAACTAAAGGATAAAAATATTCGTTAAAGCCCAGAGGTGAGTGTAGGAAGTTTCTAGTAGAAACATGTTTATTAATACCTATCTTCATGCACTAAATTGTGGCGACTTGTAGCAAGCTTCTCTAAAGTAAACACATTTTCAGTCAACTTTTATTTCAACTTATTTATTTTGAGAATATTTGTCGAAAAATAATTGCTCACACACAAGATCTATCGATTTACATAATTCTGGATTTTCAAAAAGATTATTATTAGTCTCGAAATATGTTTTTTTTTTGTATTTTTTTGTAAAATACTCAATGCACAAAAAGTCCATTATATCTAGTGTTAAGCAGCCGACCTCGCGCGGGCCCCTTCGGGCCGCAGGCCTGACCATGATATACCACCGTTGGTACGCTACTGCTGCCATGGCCAAATTTCCGCCGCAACGCCCCCTCAAAGCTTTGAAAACCACGGAAAATGCTTTATTGTCATGTGCTTCAACTTCACTTTTGGAATCTGCGCATCTTCATAAGCTGGACCGCGAGAGGTGCGAGGCGCCGTCGGCAATACGATCCACTCGTTCGTCTTTATGAAACATACGTATTTAGAAATTTATTAAAAAATCCTCTCCACCACACTCAAAAAAACAACTCACCATCCTCCTCGACTTCATCGGCCCAGCTGGACATGGACATGCCTCCTTCTCCTCATGATTTTGATGAAAGTTACATTTTTGTGATCCCAGATTCCTGTGTGATCATACCCAGCAACAATCTCAACTTTTTTGTACAAACATGTAGAAACAATTATCCTGCTTCACTTTTATTTTACACGATAGAAAAATTTAGAAATTTCAGCAGTGAAATTTTTATTGGGAAGAGCAAGAAGGAACAAATAAGTCTGCAAATTATTTTTTTGTTTAGCTCACATTAAAAATTCAAAATTTCAGTCAAATAATTGTTTTTAGTTGAACCAGGAGAATAATAGCGAGAGACGTGGCAATATGAGCAAGGGCAACCAATTGTGGATTAAGATTCTTTTTTTTTTGCCCGGGCAAGATCGGGGCCTAGATGTAGTGTAAGTACGTTAAGCATGTAAACGTAAAACCGACCACACACAGTGGTTGCATTTTTAAAATGTAGCCTCAAAAATTACACTAAATTACCCCGGTTTATTCAAGAAATTCGAAAAATAATTAAATCAACAATTACATGTACATTTGTTGGGGATATTCCCCGGAATGTAAAAGAGCTGAATTTTCATGCAAAATATATAAGTTTTTTAAAAGCTGTAACAGCTTCTCAAATTGAAAGTCTCAATGCAATCTGTTATAACAGATTAGGGACGATACCAACTGCAGGTATATTTACATACGATCGACATTTCCGAAAAAATTGTCGAGTTTTTGAATCTTAATCTGCTGGGGGATCAGTATTCCAAAGTGTGACGACGGACGTGTGACACCATGTCCGAAGAATAGAACAGCTCTTTTATTGATAGGTTATATATGTCAAGGATACCACTTTTCAGAAGCGGTGTACACATATGTACAGATTTCAGATTATTTATTTTGACCAACGTCTTAGAAAAACTTGCTCAATAATTAAATTTTAAATGAGTGTAACAAGTAAGTTTAGTTTGTTCATATCGCCGCCCTAATCATAAAAAATCAGACAAGAGTAACAGGAAATTTCCTCGATTTCTACTGTTCCAAAGTATGACAGCGAAAGTGTACAACCAAATCCGAAAAGTAGAAAAACCCCTTCTTGCAAAAGTAACATTCTTCTCGCTTCCAAGAATTAAATAGGTATGTACAGTTTTAATTTTCACATGGGAGTCGTAAGGAAGACGAGTATGTATGTACATATGTAAACACATGCATATCACAACTCGCCTGACATTAAAATCGAAAAATACATATTTTCTCAATTCTCACTTCTCTAGGGTATGATGACGAAAGTGTTGCACAAGTGCCGAAGAGTGGAAAAATTCTTTTCTGCAGAAGTAACATTCTCGTCGATGCGCAGGATTATGACGCCTCGCGTGTTGAACTAAATATTGTTTCATGTGGGTCATGAATTCACATTTGTCGCAGGAATGAATCTTCTCACTATTCGCGGGATGTCTCGCCGCCACGTGGCGCCGCATATCGGAAGAGGTCGAGAATCGTTGGTGACAAAATGTACAAGGATGATTCCTGCGATTTTCATGCACAAATTGAACATGTCGTCGTAAGTCAGCTCCAGAAAAGAAAGTGCGAGGACAAAGTTCACACTTTAGAATCTTTCGCAGCGACTTTTCCAAATGTGTCACCTGTCAAATATATTCATAAGTATTTATGAGGCTTTTTTACAATACGAGGCCAATTTATTGCTACCTCGTGAGCATTCATGGCTGACCGTTGGGCGAACCTCCTCCCACACGTGGAGCAAATGTGCGCCTTCTCCGTCGTGTGGGTGGAAATGTGTGCCTGAAGGTATCGTCGGATTTTGAATTCTCTGCCGCAAAGAGTGCACGGAAATCGGGTCGGATTCTCGGTGTGTTCAGATTTTATGTGTTGCGATGCATCTTCCTTGTTCAAGTAGGTTTTCCCACATCCTGGAAATTCGCATGTAAATCGAGGCCGTTCGGTCCTGCGGTGGACTGCGTCAATGTGTTTCCAGAGGTAGGAAGGTGAACAGAACACCCGGTGACAAAGGGTACAACTTGGTCGTTTCCTATTACTATGAAGCCTTGACATGTGGGATGATAAGGTTTGAGGATTTTTGAAGAATTTTCCGCAAATCTAAACATCACGAGGGCAATGAGATGTGTCATCCTGGTCCAAATTGTAAAATTAGTCTCAGCGTTGCAAATTCAAATGGTTACCTGACATTTCACCTTCGCCTCGGGGTCGTGCGTGACAATATGATTGGTTAATCTCTGCTTAGTTGGAAATGTTTTTGAGCAGGTGGAGCATTTCCAAACTTTTTCTTGTTTTGAGCCCATTTTCTTAATTCTGCATTTCCAAATCAGTTTAAATGAGTTTACGAATTTATAAGCAAAACTGCACTTTTCCTGAATTACGCACGGCGTCGAAATGTCTACGTTATCCGAATACCGACCTTATGATTGTCCAACATTTTCAAAACAGACGACAAAATGGACCGGAAGAGCTGATTTTTGAGTGTGTGTGCATAGAATGCTGACTGATTCGTAAGTGTGCTTAACACAAACCCTTGTCTATGTACGTGCACAAGAAATATATTTTTAGAAGGGTCAGAAGGATGAACTGAGGAGCCTGACCAAAGTCCAGGCAGGTGAATGCTATAGAGCAAAGGGACCGTTCGTCTTGAAACAAGCTTTCTTACAAGGAACACGACCTTGCCACTAGTCAACTATGTAATCCCATCCAAGGAAATGGAAATAAGAAGGAGGCCATTCGAAAATTACGTTGTTGAATATCTCACAAGGGACACTCACAACCTGTCGTTTGAGTCCAGCGTTCTCGTCGATGCACAGGATTATGACATCTCTCATGATTGGATAAACTTTGTTTACAATGGGTTATGAATTCGAATTTCTCGCATGAATAAACCTTCCTTTTACTCATCGGATGTCTCGCTTCCACGTGGTTCCTCAGTCATTGTGGATGACAACTGATGAACAGTAGTACCATGTCTCAATTCAGGAAACAGGTACATTGTTGAGGGAGCAGACCTACTACCCGTAGATAAGTCCTCACTTAAAAATTGCCGAGTGGAATGCGGTGTATGACTTTAAAACTCTTCTCGTGACTTATGATTCTTGCGATTCTTTACTTTAAAATCAAAGCTGGAACTAGTAAAGCCAATTACATTTACTAAACCACTTTATTTAATTAGAATCAATTAATTCGTTGGAACATTAATTTTACATGACTTCTCATGACCAACTCAAACCCAAGAATAATCCATACAATTATTCACTCACACAGCAACAGAAAAAATAGTGGCCCAAGCCCAAGAGAACCGGAAAACTCAAAATCACGAGGTTATGAGACACTCAATTACAATACAAAGAAATAAAGGCATTTTCATACAACTACAAAATATCATTACTTATGAAACCTTATACTAAATTCTACATACATACTCAGAAAAATCAGGGGCCCACCAAAGTGCTCCAAAACCTTTTCATTCTTAATATTTAAATTACTTTGAGTATCCTTGACAAGTCCGATCTAAATATATGTAATTGCACTTGATTTTCAGTCTTTTTCCGGTCATTTTATTAGGGGGTAAAAAATCAATTACGTGGGCGCAAAAATCAATGTGGGTTCATTTCCGCAATTTAGGGGACAAAAACCTTAACATTAGGGGGGTCGTTAATTATATCCCGCCCAAAATTTATAGTTCCGCGACTGAATGACGTCCAATTATTGAAGGGGGAAAATTATATTTCAAAAATTAAAGCAATTAACCTCTTCGTTTTATTCATAACAAATTTTGAAAAATGTAATTTCGTCCATAACAATTTATGTACATGCATGTGCATTTGTTGGGTACATAAATTACTGCATAAATTGTCAGGAAATGCATGTGGTTAATGTGATTTTTCAAAAGCTTTTAACAAATATCGGATGATCATTTATTATGATCTGCTTAGGGAAATTTGGAAACACCTGCGCGCAATACTACAACTTAATATGAGAAATTTTCAAACGCTCGCGCGAAAAAACTGGCACAACTTACGCAAACCCGGCCTAAACTGTTTGATAGACAAACAAATTAGATAAGACTCTGATTTTTTTCTACTCTAAATTCTGAAAAATGGCTCCACCATGACCATTTTAAGTTGAGGTACACTGAAAAAGTTTTCCAGTCAGAATTTCACCGGAAATGTGATAAAAAAGGCTTAATTCACGTGGGCATGAAATTTCTTTGGCCTCAATTTATAGAATAATAAATGTAGGACGTGTTAGAAGACGAGTCATTAATCAGGGACTCCCTCCTCCCCCTATAAACCGCCCCCTAGTAAATCGGCCGAAAAAGCTAAAAACGAAGCTCAACCGTTTGATCGACCAGGAAATCCCAAAGAGCATTCGCAGTATGGCGAAACTACTAGACCCGAATCCCACAACTATTCAAAGGGTCATGAAAAGAGATTGGGACAAAATCAAACGGACAAAGACAAAACTGCATGCGTTGAACCAGCGTCACACGGCTAATGGCAAGTTTTAGCGCTAAAAAGCGCTAAGGGAACTACCCTGCTGGAGTTGCGGACGAATAGGGGGTCACAATCGACGACGCTTTGTCCAAGGTAGATGACCGTAACGGGAGATGGTCAATCTGCTGCGCGTCGTGGAGAAAATGTACAAATTAGGTACGACTTTATATGGACTTTGGAAAAGTTTTTTGGACGAGTGGTTAAAAATAAGCCTTAAAATGTGTAAGGAAGTGTTTTCATCGAAGAATAAGCGCTGCAGACTTGTAGCCCAGAATAAGGGGCATCCGATAGAGCAAGTTAATCACCCAAAAAAAATCATATGTAGGTACGAAAAATAGCTGAATTCTTCTCAAAATAAGTGGTACACCCTCTGTAAAATCCGACAGGAACAACAGCAAATTTCCATCATTTAAACTGTTCCAAAGTGTGACGACGACAGTGTGTCACCAATTTCGAAAAGTAGAAAAACTGCTTCTGGCAGAAGTAGCATTCTCGTCGATTCGCCGGATTGTGACGCTTCGCGTGGTGGGCTAAAGTTCCTTTCGAATGGCTCCTAAAATTGCATTTGTCACATGAATGAATTTTCTCATTTCCGGTATGGGTCGCTTCAACGTGACGTCGCAAGTTGTCTGATCTCGAGAATCTCTTGTCGCAAAATGTGCAAGGATGATTCCTCCGATTTTCATGCACAGCTTGGATATGCCTTTGTAAATAACCTTTAAGCAAGAAAGTCTGATCACAAATTTCACACTTGAAAATTCTCCGGGCAAATTGTTCCAAATGTGTAACCTGTAAAATAACGAAGTATTTATGGATGAGTGGCTAAATAAATTGTTTCTTCACTAGCATAACCAAATTGTTCACAGTAAAAATGTACATACATACTTTTTTTTACCTCATGTATTTTTAATTTGTATGCATTTGAGAAATGCCTCCCACAAGTGAAACAACTGTACGGCTTCTCCGTCGTGTGGGTGGAAATGTGGGCGTCAAGGTTGTGCTTGCTTCTAAATTCTTTACCGCAAAGTGTGCACGGAAATCGTGCCGGATTCTCGGCGTGTTCTATTTTTATGTGCTTCGACACATCGGCTTTCGTAAGGTAGGATTTGTCACAGGCAGGAAATCCGCATGGAAAACGAGGCCTTGTAATCGTGCAGTGAACCGCACTAATGTGTCTTCTCAGATTGTCAGGGCTGAAAAATCCGCGGTGACAGACGTCGCAAATGGCTCGGTCCCGGTTGGTGTGAAGCCTTTTTATATGGTTGGATAAGGTTCGTGGATTTCTAAAAATTCTTGCGCAGATCTGAAGAGTAGAACAAAAACTGATGTGCATCTGTGGTTGGTTTAAATTTGAAAATGTTACATTTAAATTCAGACGAGTACCTCGCATTTGACCTTCGCGTCGAGGTTATGTGTTGACATGTGACGGGTTAAATTTGCTTTAGTGCGGAATGTTTTTAAGCACGTAGAGCATGACGATTCATTTCCTCCACGTCGAGCCATTTGCAATCTTTCTATCCTAAGTGGAAAAATAGTTTAGCGAGAAACCCTACATACACCTTCCTTTAATTATTTGGTTAAAATTCTTACCTGGAATTCGAAACTTTATTTATTTTTTTCGTATTTTGACCTTAATCCCTTAGTGGTGAGGAAGCTCCAAGTTTGCATTGCCTGCCAACGAAAACTAAACTTCTTTAAGTTTACTTGTGTTGTAAATTTCATACCAAGAATATTTTTAGAAAGAGAAGGGTTCAGATTAATAAGAAGGGCACATGCATAAATTACGTCGTTATAAAAACGGCGATTTTTAGACCACTCACCCACCCCTTCCCCACTCTATTCATGTAAAGCTTAACACTAGTAAGATAGGCTAATCAAAACCACCGACCAACCGTTTCAATGACGTAATATATGAATGTTCCCGAAGTCCTGAAGCGAGTGAAGGTACGTCGCCTGCTTGCAAGGGCAATAACTTGAAAGAACCACATGCCTACGGCCATTCAAAGCCTCTGGATTTAAAAATAGCATGGATAACTTAGGTCCTTAATTAAGAATATTTGTCAGAGCTGGTGCCCGACTGACCGAGATTTACTGAAGCTGGGCTCCGTTCTGCCTCCTCTAAAAAGTCCTGTTTGATGGGTTTTGAGCGTGCACGCACTCTCGCCTACTTTTGCACGGAGTCATGTGAAATTTTCAACTTTGTCCTAGAGATGCGAAATTTGGCATGCACATGCACCAACATATGCTGCATCATGATATAACATCAATTCCCGTTCCGTTCGCTATAAATTTTTCAGAAAACATCGAAAACCAAATGTCACCCCTATTCCGTTTGGTTTTTGATTTTTCCTGAAAAATTTATAGCGAACGGAACGGGAATTGATGTTATATCATGATGCAGCATATGTTGGTGCATGTGCATGCCAAATTTCGCATCTCTAGGACAAAGTTGAAAATTTCACATGACTCCGTGCAAAAGTAGGCGAGAGTGCGTGCACGCTCAAAACCCATCAAACAGGACTTTTTAGAGGAGGCAGAACGGAGCCCAGCTTCAGTATAACCGCTCAATTCGCAACCATCACAAGGGAAATAAATTATGGTAAGGAAAATAGTGAGATTTTCTTTCCCCCATCCCTCCTGAATCAGGAGCCCTGATATGTACCACATGGGCACGATGTCATTGGAGCTTTGGGCACCCTCTCGAGTTACATAATTTATGAATGTCCCCTTCCAAAAGAACATTTTCCCCACCAGGCCCCGATCTAGCCCGAAATCTTACCTGGGCAAAGAAATTAGGCGCCCCAAGCCGGATTCGCAGGATTGTGGCGCTTCGCGTGATGGGCCAAACTGGGTTTTGAGTTGGTCTTGAGTTCACAATTGTTGCATGAATCTTCTCGGTATTTCCGGTATGTATCGCCTCGACGTGAAGTCTCAGCTTGGCTGATGTCGAAAATCTTTGGTCGCAAAATGTGCACGGATACTTCTTCTGATCTTCATGCACAAATTGGATATGCTTTTTTAAGTCAGATCCACGTAAGGAAATATAAGGACAAATTGCACAATTGAAAATCCTCCGGGTCGATTTTTCCAAATGTATAACCTGTAAAGTACGCATATACATATAAATATACAGGGTGGTTTAAATGTCACGCAACAATGGAAAATTTTTCAATGGAAGAAATCCCTAAATCCCCATTAGTTACAAGATTTTGGATTAAGATTTTTATAATTATTATCAAAACTGATGGAAAACTGATGACGAAATTCTTAAAACATTGAATTTTAGAGACAAAATTTCGGTAACTAATGGAAATTTACAAATTTTTCTCATCGAAAAATTTTCCATTGTAGCGTGACATTTTAACCACCCTGTATATTATAGCGTCACAATTTTTTTTTAAATTTTATCCAATAAAGTATTTTCGTGTGAGACACATAATTTTACCTCGTGACTGTTTAAATTGCTCGCACTTGCGAAGCTCCTCCCACACGTGGAACAAATGTGCGCCTTCTCAGTCGTGTGAGTGGAAATGTGCGTCTCAAGGTTTTGTCTGGTTTTACTTTCTTTCCCGCAAAGAGTGCACCGAAATCGGGTCGGATTCTCGGCATGTTCAGTTTTCATATGGGTCGAAGCATCGCTTTTCCTTAGGTAGGATTTGCCGCAGTCAGGAAACCCACATAAAACACGAGGCCGTTTCAACGTGCTGTGCACGGCACTAATGTGTTTCAATAAATTTGCAGACGTGTGCACGGTGACAAATAGTACAACGGGGTCGGTCCCGGTCGGTGTGAAACATTTTTATGTGAACGGCCAAGGTTGTTGGATTTTTAGAAATTTTCCCGCAGATCTGAAAAGTAGGACGAAAACTCTGGTTGGTTGAATTATAAAATTTCGCTTGAAGTTTGTAAATTTGGAAAGTTACCTCACATTTCACCTTCGCATCGGAGTCATGCGTGACCATGTGACGGTTTAAGTTTTGCTTATTGCTGAACGTTTTTACGCACGTGGAACACGTCAATTCGTTTCCTTTCCTTTCGTCCATTCGAAATAGTTTGAATGAAATATTTTTCGCACTATCTAGAAAAATAATTAGGGAAATGCGTAAACCCGAACTGAGCTTTCCTTTAAAGATGGAATTATAATTATTCCACCGGTTTTCACTGAATCGTAAATATGCATTTATTTCCTACGTATGTATTTTAGTGAACCAATGCCGTAATAGTGTCGAAGGATCCAACTTGAGCAACAACTTGAAAATGTGTGCATAGCTAACCTTCTGATGTTTTTTTTGTGTTGTACATAAATTTCAGGTCAAGTGTATTTTTAGGAAGAGAAGGGAAAAGAATGTTCGTAGAAGCCCTGAAGCGAGTGAAGGTAAATATGCAAATGGTCTGCAGGTAAGGGTAATGACTTGGAGCAGCAGCGTACCCGAATATGTAAATTATTTTAGGGTTTCATCAAAATAGATGTGATAATGTGAAATGTGATAATTTTGTATATAAAACATGTCGAAACTTAAGGTTTAACAATTATGGAAATTTTGATTTATTTTGATTTATTTTACTTAGATTTATTGCTTAGAAATTTTACCACGCATAATTGTTTTCAGTACCTGTATAAATATTGTGGATATTCTCATGTAAATGGATAGGATGTGCATGTGAGGAATATCATTTTTCAAAAGGTTACCATAAATTGTTAAACAGTAATGCTCATTTATTTTAGTTTAACATTATTTACAATATATGCACTTACATAAGTACGACATTTCTAAAGTGGGCTATTCTCTAAGCACCAATCTGAGAATTTTTATGACTCCAAGCGGTTGTATGTCGAGAATAAAGGACTATAGCATTTATTTCAACCCAGCTACATACTGCGACTTCTTTCAAGTGCATGCGCTGGGGATATTAAGCTGCACCTACATATGTAGATAGTTAGATAAAAAAACACGTAAAGAATATTCAGAACCTGATAGAACAGATATTAGACGATTAATTTTTACTAATATGTAAATATGTAAATTTAATCAGCCGATCTGAAAAATGTGTCCAATTTTTGTATTTTATGTAATTGTTGTGTTCAGATGAGTACATATCGGCGGCCTAAATTAAATCAGACAAGATCCAAAAACAAATTTCCTTAGTTCTCACTGTTCCAGAGTATGACGACGACAGTGTGCCACCAATTTTGTAAAGTAGAAAAACGGCTTCTTGCAGAAGTAGCACTCTCGTCGATTCGCAGGGTTGTGGCGCCTAACGTGATGGGCTAAATTGTTTCTGGAATGACTCTGGTACTCGCATTTGTCACAGGAATGAACTTTCTCCTTGTTCGCGGGATGCTTCGCCTCCACGTGACGTCGCATGTCCCTAGATGTCGAGAATGGTTTGTCACAGTATGTGCACGGATGATTCCTCCGATTTTCATGTACAATTTGGGTATGCCGTAGTAAGTCGGCTTTCCTTGAGACAGTTTGGGGACAAAGTTCGCATTTAAAAATCCTACGGTTAGATTTTTCGAGATGTGTAACCTGTAAATTAAAAATAAATTCGTGTTTCATTTCAATTGATTAATATTGTCTTCATCGTTTTATCCTTCCTGATTTGGCATTCATTTATAAATACCTCGTGACATTTCATCACGGAAAACTGGCCGAAGCTCCTCCCACAAGTGGAACAAACGTGGGTTTTCTCCGTCGTGTGGGTAGAAATGTGCCGCTCAAGATTTCCTTTGGATTTGAATTCTCGGCCGCATAGTGGACACGAAAATCGGGTCGGCTTGTTGGCATGCTCAGTTTTTACGTGTTGCGATAGACTTCGACTGCTCGAGTAGGTTTTTCCACATCCGGGAAATTCACATGGAAAACGAGGTCGTTCGAGCGTGCTGTGGACGGTGGTAATGTGTCTCCGCAAAGTTGTAGATCTGGAAAATACCCGGTGGCAGATGTCGCAACTTGGTCGGTCGCGGCAGGTGTGAAGCCTTTTTATGTGGGAGGATAAAGTGACTGGATTTTTAGAAATTTTCCCGCAGATCTAAAAAGTAGGGCACAAAGGGATGGACGTACTTGGTTTTGAAATCACTTTACGTTATGTTGCGATTACATACCTCACATTTCACCTTTGCATGGGCATCATGCGTGACCACGTGACGATTTAAGTGAGATTTAGTGGTGAACGTTTTTAAGCACGTCGAACATGTCCATCCATTCTCTGGAGGTAGATCCATTCTAAGTCCACATTATAATGTGGAAAAAAATTAGCCAACAAACTCGAACTGTACTTTCTCCAACGGTTCGCTTCATATGACTTGGTAATAAGTATTTTTATGTATGTGTGTACAAATATTTGTATATATCTATTTTCCCGAAAAAGTTGAGTAATTCAGTGTCGTACATATGTAGTAGCGACGTAGCTGACGTCCTGTGCCAAATTGTGAGCCTAGAACCAAGCCTCTTCTGTAGCTTTGCTGGTATCCGTTAAATTTCAGACCCAGTGTATTTTTAGAAGAGAAGGGTAACGAATGCTTGTGAGATTCGAGTGAAGGTGTAAATGGTCTACGGGCAGGGGCAATGACTTGAAGAAACATGTGTGATACCATTCAAGGGATCCCTTCCCTGAGGTTTACCTAACACGGGGGCCATACATAAATCACGTGGTAGATTTTCGGGAAATTTTGACCCCCATCCCCCCGGTGTGCCCTATCGTTATAATTAACATGGCAAAGATAGGATGCCTTGACCTTTGATTTGCATGTACCTAAACAGAGTTTAGACACATATGTACGTGCAACTCTGAAAATTTTTATGTAAATCAAGGATTTCCTGAATAATTCAAATGTTTACTAATTATCGCCATTAACAACGTCAATTTATTCGCTTTATACAATTTTGAGAAACATAATTTCATCAATAATTACGCGTACAAAGCATTACACTATGTGTATATTCAAGATAGTCCCCTGTAAATGGGGAGAAAATGTGATCCTTATCATTTTTCAGGAAAATTTAAACGAATTTCACTCGTAATGTGATGAGTACATATTCACAATATCGCTGGTCTAATAATAAATCAGACAAGACTAACAACAACTATCCTCCGCTATGTACACTATTCTAAAGTATGACGACGACAGTGTCTCACCAGTTTCGAGAAACAGACGAGCAGCTTCTGGCAGAAGTAGCATTCTCGTCGATTCGCAGGATTGTGACGCCGCCTGTGGTATGCCAAATTTACTTTCGAGTGACTCTTGTATTCGCACTGGTCACAGGAATGAATTTTCTCCGTATCCACAGGATGTCTCGCTTCCACGTGATTTCTCATATTGCTCGATGTCGAGAATCTTTTGCCACAAAATTTACATGGATGATTCCTCTGATTTTCATGCACAATGTGGATATGATTTGCTAAGTGTGACCTTCGTAAGAAAGCCTCAGAACAGAGTTCACACTTGAAAATCCTCTTGGTAGATTTTTCCAAATGTGTTGCCTGTAAAATCATGCAGGTATTTATGTAAACGGCACAAGCATTGTTAACCTTTAGCTTTGCGGCATTTCACAACTTTAAGTAGTTACGTATGCAATTCTTTTGATAATTTCGTTTTCAAAGCAAAAGTTGTTCGTGTTTTTTTTAGCATAGTCGACTTTTACGTGTACACAGCATGCTATCATTATATAGTTGTAATAACACTGTTACATACATAGTATACAATCTGGATGGCGACATTGTTTCCAATGTGCCCTGAAAGACATGACTATATACGAAACGGTCACTATGAACTGCAAGACACTGTGAAAACGGTGAGACTCCTATATTTTGTAACTTCTTTATTAAGTAGCGCAAGCTACTTTATGCGATGAGTTAGTTAGTCTGTCTGTCTGTCTGTCTGTCTGTCAACACGATAACAGGAGAACGGATCGAGATAATCGAAATCGGTTTGCGGCATCATACAAACGACCCCAGGGGGAGGTTCCCCCCACATTTTGGGGTCAACCGGACCCCAAAATGCCGGTGGTTGAGGCAAAGTGAGATTTTTAGAAGAATTGAATCTATCGATGAAGTAGAGTTGAATTAAGTGTTCCCGAGTTGTGTCACACCCCTCGGGCGCCAGGGGTTGTGGTCGGGGCAAAATGAGATTTTTACAAAAATTGAATCTATGTATGAAATAGAGTTAAATTAAGTGTACCCGAGTTGTGCCACACCCCCTCGCAACCAGGGATTGTGGTTGGGGCAAAATGAGAATTTTCAAAAATTGAAACTAACATGTAGGACATATGAAACAGTAGGATTGATTAATTAATAAGGATTGATAAAATAGTAAAACATGTAAGATGCATAATTTTTCAGAGTAGCAAGATAGAATGAGGAAATCTCAATTATTTTGTTATTTTTAAATAATTCAGATTCGGCAATCTTTGGTTTCTTTATTTTGTATCGCATTCTCAGCACTCTTGCGCTACTTGTGTACCCTGCGTTGCTTCAGTTTATTTTGTTGCGGAAATATTCGAGGAAAAAGAGCATCGCTTCTCAAACTTCTTTAATTTTCCAAAAAAAACATGGTGCGAAGCGACGCTTTTAAGTGATGTGAATAACCACACTCAAAATAAAAATATGTAGAATGGACATATTCAAAGTTGATATAAAGGAGGATGACACATCCAGAAGCTCTTTGTCCTACATACGCTTGTGCAAAATTGGTCCAAAATATAAGATGACACCGTTTGTTGAATTTAGCAAACTTTTGGAAATTACCTTTTAGTTGTGTCATTCATCTTTTTATTAAACCTGAAGTATATTTTACTTGCTTCATTTAGAGCGCACATGAATTATTACACTCTAAATAAAGTTGAGTAAAGCTAGTTGAGTAAAATGAGGTTGGTCAAATTTTTTACAACATTGGACAAAGTTTAAACTTCATGTGAGTAAAATTTACACAACAAAGTTGAGTAAAGCAGATTTTTGCTAACCTTGAGCAAAATTTGACTTTTTGTTGATTAAATATACAATTAATCAATGTTGGGTGAAAAATGCCAAAGAGTTGATCAATTTTTACTCAACATTTGAGTAAACCTACTCTGTCCACTTGGTGTCGCTATCAGCCACGTCATGCCGCCAGTTGGTTACTCGAGTCACAAAAGAAACATCAGTAAATTTATTCGCTTTTTTGAAATTAACTAAAAACGACCCAACGATTGGAATTCTTTAACCCTTTAACGTGTATGATTAACGACAAGAAAAGGCATTAAATCGGGGACGCTATAAGTATGTTGTGGTCATGGCGCGGGAGGAGAAATTCAGGAGTTTTTAATAAAACTCGAAAAACTGGAAAATAAAAAATTTAACGTTGAGTTGTATAGGGAAATATCCAAATTTTTGGGAAGAAAATCTTCAAATTTAGCATTGTGTTGGCATAGGAGAAATCCCTCAAAATTGCAACAAATTTTAGGCCGCGGAGAGAAAATGGTGAAAATCAATGACCTCCTAGAAACGACAATTGTCGTCCTTCCGCGCCATGACCACGATTTTTTAGGACGACTTTTGTCGTACTCCCGAATTAAACCATTTCTTATAAAACGACTATTGTCGTCGTTACAGTTTTAAGGGTTAAATTGCCAACTACATAAGTTCAATATACAGCTATGTAAGTTAAAAGGTAAGGCGTTTTGATTAAGTTTTTTCACATTTAATAATATGCTAATAATTTTATTTTAAAACAAAATATTGATTTGTACCTATTTTTTTTACAGAAAACGATGTTACAAAATAATATTTTTAAAGCTTCTGGACAAGTCCGCTGGATCAACGTTTGCTGAAATACCTCCATCAATTGGTGACATATTTAACTTAACAACCGCAGCTAGAGAGGTTGGTAGATTAGTAGTCAGAGTTTTTGCAGATTATGTCTCAAAATTTTAATTTTATATATTTACACTCTAAAGAAAGTTGTAGAAAATTTCTACAAGGTTGTGTAAAATTTTGTCCAACATTGGGTAAAAAAGAGGATGACACAACCGTTGGTTAAATTTTACTCAACTTGGTTGAGTAATTTTTGCTCAACAAGTTGTGGAATTTTTTCTCAACACGTTGTGGAATTTTTACTCAACAAGTTGTGGAATTTTTACTCAACTGAATGATTAAAATTTACTCTTTGGTTGATCAAAGGTTGCTTTTTATGCTGATTAAAATAGATTATTTACCTTATTAAAACTCAGTTTTCGCCACGACTTATGTCTTGTGTACAAGCCCGTGGAGGAAATTGTGAAAACGAAGTTATGATTTCTAAACAAGATTAATACCTTGTTCATCCACAAAAATTTCTATCAGATAGCTCTAATACTTTGGGCTTTATCACCGGAAATGCATTCACGGGAACTTATGGTCGGACTATGTAATCTCTGCAAAATAAACAAGTCAAATATTTTTTTAGTTTGCAGATCTAGGCAATTTCGGCTATATTTTTTACGGTTTAAAAAAATTCCTGTTGTTAAACTAGACGAGACCCGGTCAATCTTCTTTTTTAGGATGATACTCTAGCATGAACTACTTGGAACACCACGTATTAGAACCCCCGAGTTTGGTCGCGTAGTCCGCGACATGGTCGCAAAGTCGGCGCAAAATTCAAAATTTTGATGTTCGAAAGGCTATAACTTTTTACCGGAGTATAGTGGATAGGTAAATGCTATATTATTTTGGATCAGGGTTCGAAGATCTGTCGATTGCAATTAATTTCAGAGCCACACCCCCCCCCAGGGGGGTCAACTCCTCCCCCAGGGGGTGTGGTCACCCAAAATTTTTCAAATGTTGAGCTTGAGCCCCCAAACCGCCATATATGCAAAAATATTTTGGAAATAGTCTTCGTGGAATTGATTCCACTTCCGGCCATAAGGCCGCCGCATTGTGCGTCCAGTACACCTTGCATGCATATCTATTCAGTTGACAAAGTAATTATCTAAGTTCAATACAACCGTTATTTCCTTATTTCTGGTCAAATTATAAATTTTGAGTGGTAAAAATATCCAGGATCCCCTCACTATGTCGAGTCCTCGTCTCTTTCTTATGCATACACACCAGAGGTCAACGCCGACCAATTTAGCGGCGGCGGCGGCGCCAATTTTTGTGACTTTTCGGCGCGGCGGCGCGGCGTCTCAATGTTAAAGGAATAGGAAATTAGATTTATCGGCGGCGGATGCGCGTAAAATTCGATCAGCGTATGGCAGCCCGGCGGCGTGAGATCGGCGGCGTTGACCTCTGATGCACACAAGTTCATGCATGTACATACATACAGTATGTACACATGTTCCATTTCCATGTCTACGCAAACTATTTAGATATGTGAGTGAAAAGCATTGTGAAGTGATCAGGTATTGCATACATAAGTGGAGCAAGCCAATCCATTTCGGTGCCGTGAATGGATTCAGTGTTCTACGGGAACATAATTTTTCACCCGAACTGCACTTTTCCTTAATGATATAATTAAAAAATTGTCCAATTTCTCGCACAAAATCAGAGTCCGTATTTATTTCCTTGAAAATCAATCAAAAAACTGTGGCGTGTGTAGTAAGATGATGTTTGCTTTGAATCATTTTAAATGCAATTCTGAGAATTTTTATGGCACAAGGAGCAGGAATGTTCGAAATTGAGGTTGAAAATTTATGGTAATTAGCACTGCTTTATTTATATGATATTGCCTAACAATATTCCATCATTAATTACAAGTACAGATATTCATTTCTTCTTTTCCTCATTCTACTTAAACGGATAGTAAATTATAGCGATTAATATTATATAATATTTTTCAGAAGTTGTGAACAGATCTCTGACAGTTTTAAGCATGAACAGCGTTTGGTGAAAACTTGTCGAAATTTTAAATTCTAATTGATTGTTACAAGAGAAATATGTATGTACACATCGCCGATCAAATAATAAAATCATACAGGACCAGCAACAAATTTCCTGAATTGTAATTTTTCTAGAGTGTGACGTCGACAGTGTGTCACCAAATTCGAAAAACAGACAAACTGCTTCTTGCAGAAGTAACATTCTCGTCGATTCGCCGGATTGTGACGCCAAGCGTGATTGGCTAAACTTCTTTTCGAGTCGCTCCTGAATTCGCATTTGTCGCAGGAGTGATTGTTCGCGGCATGTTTCGCCTCCACGTGACGTCTCAAATCAGTTGATGACGAGAATCTCTTCTCACAAAATGTGCACGGGCGATTCCTCCGATTTCCATGTACAATTTGGACGTGCCTCTGTAAATAGCCTTTATGGAGGAAAGTCCGAACACAAAGTTCACGCTTGAAAATTCTTCGAGTAGATTTTTCAAAATGTGTAGCCTGCAAAATAAGCAAATATTTATTCTTAACCCACCAAATTTGCCTGATTAGAATTTCTCGCCAAATTTGTTCTTATCGAATCTTCCTAACAAAACATTAACAAAATATTCATCTTGTACCTCGTGCAGTTTCCTTTTTGAATATGTGGAAAAGCTCCTCCCACAAGTTGAACACGTGAAGGCTTTCTCCGTGGTGTGGGTGAAAATGTGCCTCTCAAGATTTTGTTTGGTTTTGAATTCCCTACCGCGAAGTGTGCAAGAAAATCGGGTCGGATTCTCGGTGTGTTCAGTTTCAATGTGTTTCAAAACATGGTGTTTCGACAGATAGGATTTGTCACAATCAGGAAATCCGCATGGAAAACGGGGTCGTTCGATCGTGCTGTGGACGGTGCTAATGTGTTTCCGTAAAGTGGCGGATGTGTAAAACACACGGTGACAAGTGTCGCAACTTGGTCTGTCCCGGTTGCTGTGAATCATTCTTATTTGAGCGGATAAGGCTGGTGGATTTTTCGAGATTTGTCCGCAAATCTAAAATGCAGAACAAAAATAGGTCCATCTATGTGGTAGATGGAATTTCGACATAATAGAAACTTCCATGATTACCTCACATTTCACCTTCGCGTCGTCGTCATGAGTGAACATGTGAATCCTTAAGGTTTGCTTAGTGGTGAAAGTTTTCAAGCACGTGGAGCATGCTAGCACGTTTCTGGATGATTCCATTCGAAGTCTGTCTGGTTTATTTGGAGACAAATTTTTACAAATGCAGTAAAACCTTCACTTTCCTAACTGATTTAATTCAATTGATTCAAAAGTATAATTCTTCAGCGGAGTCTGAAATATGAATTTACGTATTTGTTTCGTATTTTAAGAAATAATGTCGTAAAGAAGCTGCGAGTTTGCTTTATCGACCAACTCGAAAGCCTAATTGTAACGTTGAACTATTTTACGCTTTCTGTCCTGAATTTCAAGCCATGTATATTTTTAGAACGAGAAAGGTACACAATGAAAGATCCTAAAAGTTCTACTTAAAGCGTTTGAAAAGATTGGTAAATGGTGTGCATGAATGGACAGTCACTATGTTCATATACGTTTCAACCACTCAAGGCATCCCTTTCCCTGCATTTGAATTACATGGTGATGTATAGAATTAGAATGCTCCTTAAAGCCCGGAGGCAGACGCTGGCTAGTTTCATCCCCACGTACATACGTATGTATGTACATAATGAAGAGTAGGTATGATATTATGATACAGTGCTGGCCTGAATATACGACACCTATAATTTTTTACTAACCAGTACATAGTTCATGTAAACGCAAATCTGAGAATATTTTTTACTCAAAGTCAGTCAAAGTGGTTGGACGTCAAAAATAACGGTTTGAAAAATACACTAACTAATAGCATTACTCAGAAAATTACAAAAAAGTGTTTGGGATAATCTCTTTTATGCAAATGGAGAGAATATGTATATCAAGAATATCATTTTTAACAGATTTCAGACGATGATTTACTATAATCTTGGAAATGTCGAATTTTTACATTAGCAAACGGAGGAATAAGATAAGTATTGGGGACCTACATAATAAAACATAAAATTATAAAATATTAAATCCCCTTGGCTTGTTAGAATTCCAAAGTATGATGACGACAGTGCGTCACCAATTTCGAAAAGTTGACAAACTGCTTCCTGCAGAAATAGAATTCTCGTCGATTTGCATGGTTGTGGCGCCTAACGTGTTGGGCTAAATTTTCTTTCGAGTGGCTCCTGTATTCACACTTGTCACAGGAATGGACTTTCTCCTTATTCGCGGAATGGAACGCTTCCACGTGATATCGTATATTGGTCGATGTCGAGAATCTCTTGCCACAAAATGAGCATGGATGATTCCTCCGATTTTCGTGAACAGCATGGATATGTTGCCGTAAGCTGGCTCTGGCTAAGAATGTCTGAGCACAAAGTTCACACCTGAATATCTTTTGGGAAGATTTTTCCAAATGTGTAGCCTGTAAAAGAAGTAAATTTTTACATATCGTAAAGTCATCCTTCATTTCATTCAACCCGATATTTGCGACACTTATGTATGAATCACTCAGCACGAGGCTCATATAATTATTTCTACCTCGTGATGTTTCATGGCTGTCTGCTGTGCATAGCTCCTCCCACAAGTGGAACACGTGTAGGCCTTCTCCGTCGTGTGGCTGGATATGTGCATCTCAAGGTTTTTTCTGATTTTAAATTCTTTGCCGCAAAGGGTGCACGGAAATCGGGTCGGATTTTCGGTGTGTTCAGTTGTTTTATGTACCGAAAGATCACCTTTCCTTAGGTAGGATTTCTCACAGTTAGGAAATTCACATGGAAAACGAGGTCGTTTAATCTTGCTGTGAACGGTGTCAATGTGTATCCGTAAACTTGCAGATGTGGAAACTATTTTATGACAGGTGTCGCAAGTGGGTCGGTCCAGCTTTGTGTGAAGTGTTCTCACGTGGATGGACAAGGTTGCTGGGTTTTTCAACATTTTCCCGCAGATCTAAAAAGTTAGGTGAAAATTGTGAATTTGCTTAGCTAAATTTTAAAGCTATTTTTATTAATAGGGTGTCCCAACTTTGTAAGAAAAATCGCTTTTTCCGCTCACGATTTTTTCGCTCTTTTTGTAAACCGCACTGCGTATGCGATTCCGATCTTTTTTCCGCTTTTTCTGCTCAAAAATAAAATCTACTTTAAGATGATTTTTTCGCTCTTTTTACTACTTTGTGAGTGAAAAATCAGTCTCTCAGAGACATGTTTAAGGGGACATCGCCCGATTTTGATGCCCTATGGAATATATTGCAATATCAGGTGAGTGTATGAAAAGTGAGGGAGATTTTATTCCATTGCCCCACCTGCGCCCGCCACACCCCCTGAAAAGCATTGCAACCACTAAAACTACCGCATTCAAACCTTTGCCAAAAATCCTATTTTCATCCTATTTTGGTAATTTTTGGATTTACATGATCTTAGATAGTTGTTTTATCATATCCAACATGAAGCAAATTTAAATTTTAAAAGAAACTCGAAAGTTTCCTGACCACCCATTCTCTGCTCCTGAGTATTCAAGCGATAAAAAATCGGGACAGTCAAGTATTGAGCGAAAAAAGCGGATTTCAGATTTTTTAGCTTTTCGCTTTTTCAGATCTTTTTTACAAACTTGGGAGACCCTAATGTTGCGTATAAGTTTGGAAGATTACCTCACATTTCACCTTCGCGTCTGGGTCATGCGTGAACATGTGACGTTTGAGGTCGTTCTTATTGCTGAACGGTTTTGAGCACGTGGAGCATGTCAACTCATTTCCTCGCCGTGTATCCATTCGAAGTCCTACGTGAAAAAAAACAATTAACAGATTAACCGGACTGCCTTGTTAGTAAAGGATTTAGTTAAAATTCATCCAAAATTTCGCACCGAATTTGCGGTAGGTAATTATTTTTTTCTTTCGTTTTTTGTGACAAAATGTCGCAAATGTGGCGAAGCTTGAAGCTTAAATCGTCAACTAACTTGAAAGCCTAAAATCAAACTAAACTTGTTTAAAGCTTCTTTTCGAAATATGACACAAGTTTTATTTTTGGAAAGAGAAGGTTGAAGAATGATGGTGGTACATATGTAATCCTATAGCGAATGAAGGTAAAAGGTCTCCTCGCAAAGCAAAGGTATGTAGTGACATATCCCACCATAATGCAACTTACCCATTCTCACATTACGTGGCACGTGGCACATGGCCATCCACTCCCTCGTTTTGAATTCGAAATTTGAAATCTTTCAGTCTTGGGGGGAGATAATATAAAGAATAACCCTGAACTGCCCTTTTCCTTAATGATTTGGTTCAAGGGTTTCGCACCGGATCGGAAATAATTCAGTATTTGTTTCCTCCCATTTTAATGTAGCAATGCCACAAGCTAGCATCTTCTGCTGACTCGATCGAATAAAACCAAACTTTGGTAACCTTTTAGTGGTATAAATTTCAGACCAAATGTATTTTTAGGAAAGGAAGGGTAAACAATGCCTGTGGGAGTCCTGAGGCAAGTGAATGGTCTAGATGCATTGGTGGTGCCTTGTGCCCCATTCATGGGATTCTTTAGTTTAAATAACATGGTTAACTTGATAATTAAAAATGTTCGTTACACCCGAAGGCGAGTGCAGGGAAGTGTCCTAGATTAACTAAATTGTGTTTACTTCAGAAGGTAAGCATGGTTACAATAGAAACATTCCTCTCTCTAGTCCATCATTTCTCCTGGACCGTAATAGCGATGGGACCGTTCAAGCCTAACGGTATCAAGGCAATCAATCTTTCCCCTTATACTCATGTAGCCCCACGTGTTCAATTTTTCAATAAAAACAAAAATCTGAGGATAAGATTCTTAGGGTCACATTTTTTGGCTATAAAATTTTCGCCAAATTTTCAAGTTTTTTCCTCCACCTTAGCAAATCTCGGAAATTTTTCGGAATTAAGCAGAGTAAATGTGGCATTATGTAGATTTACGTTAGCATGAGCACCTTTTTAACACGATGCTGAATATTTTTGTTAAAACAGTTGGAGGCATGTTAAGGATGAAGGTGTACAAATTATGGCATAAAAATTAAGTGAACTATGTACGCAGTGAGCTTTGTTTGGAAATTTTTAGGAGCATAATCTTATCAGTAACAACCTGTATTTGGGATATTCCCATGTAAATCGGTAGGAAATGAATTGGACAATGTAATTTTTCAGTAGCTGGTAACATATTTCGAATCATTGTTTATTATGATTAATGTTATGGAAATATTGCTTGAATTTCTAACTTTTAAGTAATTGTAGTAATAATAATTTTAATTATCATTATCATTTTAGTAATGAAACAAGTATGCGCATATGCAAAGAATTGGTTTATAAATCAGTTGCAGTTGTTCCATCTACAGGGCATGGGGCACTTGTACTAAGAAAAATTCAAACGCTCGCGCGAAAAAAGTGGGACAACTTAAACAAACACGTCCTACACTATTTCATAGACAAACCAATTTGATATGACTCTGATTTTTTTTGCTCGAAATTCTGAAAAATGGCTCCTCTCTGACCATTTTAAGGAAGGTACTAGTGAAAAAGTTTTCCAGCCATGATTGATTCGTGGAGAAAATGTACAAATTAGCTACGACTTTAGATGGACTTTGGAAAAGTTTTAACGGCAAGTGGTAAAAACATGAGCTTCAAAAATTGTCAGGAAGTGTTTTCATCAAAGAAAAGACGTTGCAAACTTGTAGCCCAGAATAAGGGGAATCATATCGAGCAAGTTAATTATCCCAAAAAAACATCATATATAGGTTAGAACAATTTTTAAACACCTCTCGGTATAAGTGACCCACTCTCTGTATAAGGGAGTTTAATTTTTGGGTACAAACTTGATTCTGACAAATTCACGAATTTTTTCATCAGCGTCGTTCAACGTTTCGGCAGCTACGTTAAATACGCTTTTAAAACAATTTGTAACTTGGTGCTGTTTCGTTTGTGCTCGATTTTTTTCCTACTTTATGAGGGTTTCCTACTTTTTTCCTACTTCCCACTGCGTTCGCCCTACAAATCGTGCCCCAAAGTTTTGTGGGCAATGTCTTCAGCAAAAATAGTCTTCCTTCTTCTGATGGTGAACACAAGGTCGGATTAAATCATCATGTGAAATGTTTCTATATGGACTTTGCAGAAGGGTACACATCTTTCGACGAATAATGAAGACAAGGCCATGCTTCGTCGAATGTTAAATCTTGACTCTTTAAGTAGGTTCGGAATTAATTTTTGTACGCATTTTCCAACCAAATTTCAATCCATATAAGTAGGGTTGCCGCGGGTAACGGGTCGGGTACCCGTTACCCGCATACCCGCACGATTCATGCGGGTACCCGTTATCTGCGGGTAGTGAGAACTACCCGCACGGGTAACGGGTAGTTCAGTTTTTATTTAATTTTCAATATAAATCAGGTCACAAAAAACTTAGCAGCAAGTTAGTTAACTTACCAACAAAAGCGTCAATTTATTATTTATAAAATTCAAAATTTGCTATATTCCAGCAACTAACGTTTATATCGAGCGAGTCTTTTCGGAAGCCACAGAAGCCTACGGCAGCCTCAAATGCTTTTCACGTCCCGAAAATGAGGAGAAATTATTGCTACTCAAGTACAATTTGCCTGCTCTAAAATATCAGTAATACTTTAACTTGTATTTAGTTGTGCGTATTTATGCAAGACTGCCGAGATTTTAATTTGTGCTTTGAAAGGGAAAAACCTGAATCCGATTGAAACCAAAAATTTTACTTGTAGACAATTTTTTTAAATCAAAATTTTATTTAAATCAAAATTTAAAAAAATCAAACTAAAAATTAGCCTTTTTTCAAGCTACACCACGACACACGATGGTCTAGGGGGTCGGCGGAAAGTACAAACCGCTCGTTACAAATCCCTCATTTCAAACCGCTCATTACAAACCCGGCTCCTTACAAACCGCTTATTACAAACCCGCTCAATACAAACCCGGATCATTACAAACCCCGCTCATTACAAACCCGGATCATGACAAACCCCGCTCATTACAAACCATGCTCATTATAAACCCAGGGCACATAATCCCAAACATTAAGTTCGTAAAATGTCTAAATATTCAAAGAAGTGTTCCCAATGTTTTTTTTAAATAGTATTTTATGAATTCATTTTAAAAATTCGATTTTAGACTTCTCAAAGGAGCGAACTCCCAAATGAAATGAAGTGTTACGGACATAGAGGTGAATAGATTACGGAATAACAGAATACCTCACACTGTACACTCTTCATATTTTCATACTGTGATTTCAAGTACAAATTAAGTCCTTAAAAAATATAACTACTGTAAAAAATCCTGGATATTCACAGGTGTACGCTCTTAGGCTCATCACTGGCCGGAGAACGTATATGACGCTACCATATGTTTTACAGTCTATGCACGTTTATCCTCCATACTGGATTGGTAGTAATTTCCTATCGAGTTGGTGATAGTCTGTTTCTGAATGGTAAAATTTTCAAAAGGTAACGCTCGTTATTACCATACCAGACCGGTCTATGTACATATGTATGTACTTCGGCCAGTAATGATTTAATCTCAGTTTCCTAAGAGTGTACTTCCATTGTTTAATATTTTTGGGACATACTACTCATCCATCATGTGAATGAATTAAAGTGATTTTTATAGGAAATTTGAAACAAACAACCTGGGGCACTAAAAAATTGATCATTTTTGGCAAGCCAGAAATTAAACACGAATACATTTCTGCCCTTCTCCCTCACTGCTAATGTAGCTTTACGTTCGGAGATAAAAAGTTTGCCCAAAATTTCATGTTTTATATACAAATTAATTCATGCAATCCGATTTGTAAACATTTTGAATATTTGATTATTTTACAACTCACCACCTTTTCGGGTTTATAGTGTCCAGGGTTTGTAATGCGCAGGGTTTGTAATGGGCGGGTTTGTAATAAGCGGTTTGTAAGGAGCCGGGTTTGAAAGGAGCGGTTTGTAATGCGGGGTTTGTAATGAGCGGTTTGTACTTTCCTACAATCGTCTAGGGAGTATATCAAAAAGTCAAGCCAAAAATAAGGAATCGCGTGATACCTTCCGTCGAATGTCCACTTTGAAAAAAAATATTTGCGCAAAGCTCAATTTTTAAGTAAATGGTCTGCACCTTTTTCCTCCACTGGACGCAAACTATGATGGACTTTGAACTCTGCCCCCAATAGTTATCGTTAATCGGGCTATTCAATGGAAAGTTAAGTGATAATTCCTAATTTTTGAGTTGATTTTTTTATATAATTCGCTAAGAGATTCAGGTGTAGCTTGAAAAAGTTTCCATTCTAAGCCAAAAATCTGGTTTCAGAAACATGTAATGGCATCTAGCAAATTATGGCATTCGTAACTTGCACAGCATTATCTCAAACTACTGAACACCCCAAATGAGCAAATAATTGATTAAGAGTTTACTATATTTTATGTTAAACCAATCCTCATAAATCACATAGTGGCGAAACTGATGAACTCGGTGGGGTAAAAAGTTCACAAGTTTCGGTGGGAATTTTGAATTTTTTGCAAAAAACTGCAAATATCATCTGGCATTGTTTATGTTTTTAGTGGTTTCCAGTGGGAAGAGTATGTGTGGTGGTGGCTTCCCACCACGCATACTCTATGACAAGTTGAGACGAATCATGAAAAAATGCAAAATCTTGACCTGGTCATTCTAATTCCGAGATTAAATGTGCACTCAAAAATGTGGAATTTGTTGAATTACAACTAGTGATAGTTGCGCAACAAGAAAATAAGGCCCTTTGAGGAATTGATATGCTACTTTTATTTATATTAAATGCCGAAAATCAATTTCCATCAAAATTTTGTTTTTCTCGAGATTAATTGATTAATATAAATAAAAGTAGCATATCAATTCCTCAAAGGGCCTTATTTTCTTGTTGCGCAACTATCACTAGTTGTAATTCAACAAATTCCACATTTTTGAGTGCACATTTAATCTCGGTATAAGAATGACAAGGTAAAAAAGCTGTGCAAAAAATTATGTATGTTGTCAACATACGGAGAAATATTGAGCGAGGGACTGTATTGGCTGATAGAGCGGCCAGAGCAAACTATAATGCCCCGTTAAATAAAATTTATTAGGAAGGTGTTAGGTTTTAACTTAATTCTTTATAACGGGTAGCGGGTACGGGTCGTTGGGCTGCGGTAACGGGTAGCATTTTCGCTACTTGCGGCAACCCTAAATGTAAGTATGCTGTCGTTATAAAAATAGGGATAACCAGGAGCCTATACAATGCCTTTTCGTACTTTGACGTGACCGCAAATTGCATCTTTAGGGTAACAACCTTCTTTTTGCGGTAGTACACTACCAAAGTGTTAGTAGTACACTTGGAAAATTGTGTAAGATTTTCCAGGGTTGATGCCAGGGCTAAAATCCAAAACTGACAAATGAATCTCACGCAAGTTGGACAGTTTGGGGAAACCCCGCTTGGCGAAAAAAATTCGCCAAAACAAAATCCCATTTGGGGAAAAAAATTCACCCATTGTAAATAATTTTTACTAAAGGTCATTTGCCGAAAAACATGTCCCGTTTTGCGAAAATAACGATTATACTCTAAATTATAAAGATAATACCACAAAAATTTACCATTCTCTTAAATTTCGTGATATATTTGACTTAGCATTTTATTCTTTAATCTTCCTTCTGGACAATTCCTCAACAACTTAATTATGTATGGACTTGATACATATGTACATATGCATGCAGTTTTTCTGCAGTCCAACAGTACTTATGGCTGAACTTGTCGAGCTTACCAGTAGAGCAAATACTTTCATGGATAGATTTACAGAATAGGCCATATAATTATCTATTACTATAAGAATTTATTTTAATTTTAAGGTATTTGATATACCTTATATATTAAATACCTAATCATCATATAATCATCAAATCACACAGGCGAAACAACAATTTCTTGGATTAATTCCATTATTAGTATGGTAGGGATACGAAAGCGGGAATCAAATTTTGGATAAATTAAATCTGAGTCAGTAGTAGTTATCTAGTAGGGTAAGCACTATTTTAACGCAAATCTGAAAATATTTATTTACGCAAAGAGACAACAATTTGAAATATGCAGTAGTTCAAAAAGTACACTAGTTAGCTACCCGCTTTACATTATCAAACAATTTTAGAAATAATGTCATCAATAATTGAATGTGCACGTGGTGGAGATAATCTCTTGTATTTATTTAAATGGGTAGAATAAATATGCACGGAAGAATATAATTTGAGTCACGGGGAACAGTAGTAATGCGAAATCTATGGAAATTAAAAAATTTCGCTTAATGCTAATGCATGCATAAATTTATGCTTGCATATGTACTTTCGCTGTTGGATATAAGAAAACAACTATCTGGAGTATAATGGTGAAAGAAATTTCAAAAAAAGAGTAAAATCGGATTTTTGACGTAAATTTTAATGAGTGAAAGCGGGGGTGAAAGCATTTTTTTAACATCTTTGAGTGGGTGTGGCGGCCGCAAATGTGGCCACGGAGTCAAAGCACTTCAGGATTGTTGTTCATTCATGGGACACTATAACAAATACAGGGGACCTTGAGATCCGTGAGTTGATAAGTACATAACCTCCCCTCCTAAGTATGTATGAAGCCAGGATAAAATTATCTTTAACATCCACATTGACCAAGTAAATATGTTGAGCTCGCAGGAGATTAAGTGATAAAGTAAATATTTCAAACCTTTTCAAAATTTTCAACTCCATCACTCGTCACTCAGCTTCACTCTCCTTCACTCCCTCATCGTGAATGAAGCTTCAAATTACCTAAATTGAGTGAAGCAACAGAGGTATGATATTCAGGCATTATTGTCAACCTGGATACTTTCCGACATCGTACAGATATTCGTCTCCCAAAGCGCAGGAAATGGATGTGATTATTATCATTTTTCAGAAGCTGTTGACAGATATCTAATGATTTTTATAATACATAATCAGTGTTTTGGAAATAATGGTTGCATTTTTAAATTTTAATTGGGCATAAGTGGTACATATCTTAATACTCTTGATTATAAAACCAGACAAGTCCAATGACAAATCTAATCGATTCTCACTGTTCGAGAGTATGACGACGACAGTGTCTCACCAAATTCGAAAAACATACAAATTTACTCTTGCAAAAGTAACATTCTCGTCGATTCGCAGAATTGTGACGACTCACATGATTGGCTAAACTTCCTTTCGAGTGAGTCATGAATTTGCATTTGCTGCAGCAATGAATCTTCTCCTTATTCGCGGCATGTCTCGCACCCACGTGACGTCGCATATCGCTTGAGGCCGAGAATCTTTTGTTACAAAATGAGCATGGATAATTCCTCTCATTTTCATGCAAAACTTGGATGTGTTTTTTTAAGTCACGTCGATTTAAGAAAATCTGATGGCAAAGTTCACACTTGAAATTCCGCCTGATAGATTTTTCCAAATGTGTAATCTGAAAAATACACAAAAAAAGAAATACTTCTGAATCTCGAAAATTATTTTTTCATTTTGCCCACAGAATATAGATTCTACCAGAAGAATCGATCTTATGTATTCGAGTGATGCTTATGGAAGAACGGGGAGGGCCAACCAAATAACTCGGTGTACATTTGGCCCACCTGGGGGATGGCACCTCCGCATCATCATCATCACCACATCTCCTGGCATCAAAAAATGATGATGAAAGCACATAGGTGGCGGTGGCACCCCGATTTCTGCACCAGAACACACCCTCGTAGAGCATCAAATTCGTGGAGACGCAGCTCAGAATGGTGTGTTCTGGTGCACAAATCGAGGTGCCACCGCCACCTATGTGCTTTCATCATCATTTTTTGATGCCAGGAGATGTGGTGATGATGATGATGCGGAGGTGCCATCCCCCAGGTGGGCCAAATGTACACCGAGTTATTTGGTTGGCTCTCCCCGTTCTTCCATAAGCATCACTCGAATACATAAGATCGATTCTTCTGGTAGAATCTATATTCTGTGCATTTTGCCCAGAGCCGGGAAAATAAAATCTTGAAGATCAACATGGAGAGTTATCAACTAGATAATTTGTATCCGTAACCCTAAGTATGTAAGATTTTTTTTTAGAAATCTTGTTAAGCGATAATTCTAATCTAATCTCAATCTAATCTCATCTCTAATCTAAGCTACTCTAATCTGCAAGTGGCAGGTCCATTTAATCTTTAGTCTTTTTAGTCCTTCGAATCCTTAAATTTAATCAGGATTGATGTCACGATTAAAATCGGGACATCATGACAGGCCCCAAGCTTCCTAAATCTGTAAATTTCAGACGCGGTTAACGGGACTTGTGCTGGTTATCATTTTAATTTTAATTTTTGATTTGCGAATTTGTAATGGCAAATCTCTTATTATTCTGGAAACTCACTAATTTCACGGCTTTGATTTCACCCAATAAAATATCTGCGAGGCAAATGTATTTATGAGTACCTTGTGTCTTCTCATGGTTGACAAATGGGCGAATCTCCTCCCACGAACAAGTGGACGTCTTCTCCGTCGTGTGGGTGGAAATGTGTGACTCAAGGTCTCGCCTCGTTTTAAATTCTTTACCGCAAAGTGTGCACGGAAATCGGGTCGGATTTTCGGAATGTTCTGTTCTCACATGTTTCGAAGCATCATTTTTCGTTAAGTAAGATTTGTCACAGCCAGGATATCCACATGGAAAGCGAGGTCGTTCAATCGTGCTGTGAACGGCAGTAATGTGGCTCCGTAAATTTTCAGATGAGGAAAAAACACGGTGACAGGTGTCGCAGCTGGGTCGGTTCCGGTCCGTGTGCATCAGCAACATGTGGGCTGATAGGGTTTTTGGATTTTTCGAAATTTTCCCGCAAATCTACGTATTAATAAAACAAACAATTTGAGATAGATATTCGACGATGGAAGTCGAAATATAGGTCGCAGAGTTATAAGCTTAAATGGGCTCATCAAGTTGTTATTTTGAAATTTTAGGCCTTTTAAGATGGCCTTATAGATTTGTCAAGATGTCTGTCTGTCCGTCTGAAAGTCTGTAGGGCCTGGTTCGGGCTAAAAATTATATGTCAATCGTTCATTAGTGTCTGGCTTTTAGATCATAATGCCGTCTTAAGAGGCCCCGCAAAGTTGCTTGAAGTAGGTTTTTTTAATGTTCATACATAATTCTGAAATAAATCTTTATACATTTTTATAATAATTTTTGCACAGGTACAATTTTACTTTAGATAGTGGTGTTCGTTCTTAATATCTTTAACTGGGGAATCAGATTAACGGAGTATGGACAACCACTAGATAAATAGGTGGTTAAAAACCCACGTGTTGGAGGTTTTAGCTAGTGGTAGGTAATGCCAAAAAAGTTTCAGCTAATTCAGTGGGGCATTAAATTTAAAAGTTTATGTAAAGTGTTACCTGACATTTCACCTTCGCCTCGTGGTCGTGCGTATAAAAGTGATTGGTTAAATTTTGCTTTGTTGTGAACCTTTTTGAGTAACTGGGACATTTTAAAACGCTTTCTTGCGTGGAGCCCATTTTAGTTCCGAATTTTCGAACCTGAAATTTAAATGGTTTGTTTATTTATGAAATTGTAGGATAAACTGTACTTTTTCAAGATAACGTTCTAATGAAGAAGTACGGCGAAATTTCTGTTATCCGAATACCGACCTTATGCTTCTCTTCTTAGAATTTCAAAACTACGGAGAAACTGTACTGAATTGCCTCTAACTTTATTTTCTGTGCGTGCAATGGTGACTTATTTATAGACTAACCACAAACCTCTCTCTACATACTTGAGTTCTAAATTTACTGTAGTGAGAGAAGGGTCAAGAATGAACTGTGCCTGGCAATATCCCAGCGACGCTAGTGAAGGTGGAGGCAGGGGCACCTTCTTCTAAAAATAAGGATTTTGACAATGAGCACATTTTTTCTAGTGTTTCTTTATCATGGGTTGACTTATTTAAACCCTTGGACATATGACTGGGGCCACTTGAACATTCTGTTATTAAGTGGGTCAGTCTACTTTGCTCCCACAAGTGGCGCACCAACCCGCTTATTGCGTCATGTTTAAATACCTAGTTCGAATTTTTAAACAATCTACCATGAGTGATAAAATTGGCTATCCTCCTCCCTGGGTGTGGATTAAAACCATACTTGTTCAAGCGAGTGTCATTCAGGGTGGTTTAAAGGTCTCGGTACAATTTAAAATTTGTCAATGGGTAAAATTCATAAGTTTTGTTAAATTTCAGAAATTTTGTCACTGAAATTCAACATTCTAAGAATTTTGTCATCAATATCCCATCAATTTTGGCAATAATTAATAAATATCTCAATCCGAAATCCTCGTAACTAATTAAGATTGATTGATGAAATTTTCCCATTTCAAGATTTTCAATTGCTACGAGACATTTAAACCACCCTGTATGCAGGGCCCGGGCTGGACATATTTGCGCCCTAGGCAAATTTTTTCTGGCGCCCCGGTGCAGAAATCCCTCGTGAGAAAATTCCTTTGTTAACCATCGGCTATTACTAGATTCAGCGGCACTTCTCATATATTTTAAACATTTATTAAGGGTTATTTATTATTATTTCTCCTTTAAGTTATGCACACTATTTTTAATTAAATCCAATATTTGAACTGTAAGTGCAAATTATAATTTGCATGGGAATAGCTGCAGAAATATTAATTAGTGCGCAAATGACATATTCCATGATTCGTGAAATTAAAGGTGAATCTATGTTGTATACCGGAATTCATAAATGCGTTTTATAATTATGAAATACGTGTGAAGATTAATTTGAGGAAAAAGAATAGAGGTGGACTTTGATTCCTCCGTGTTCCAAATTTTTAAAATTGACCCGAAGTATTTTATAAATTCTGACCATCGCACCAGCGCCCGATATTGGATCGCGACGGCACCGGGGTGATCCAATTAATTGTTCAAGCAGTATATATTTTAAATGGTTTATTTGCCATCTTCTAGTTAGTGTTCTCAATGGTCCGGTTCGGTCCGGTCCTGTGCAGAACCGGGACCGGACCGAAAACCGAAAACCTTGGACCGAAACCGGACCGAAGTTTTTTGAGAGGACCGAGACCGGACCGGACCGAATTTTATCCGTCGGTCGGGTATAATTTCGTTCTGCAATATTGTAGTGCTAATTCTAACAAGATCGAGCAGTCGAACCTTTTTTAAGCTATTGTTGAATTTTTTAAAATACAAAAAACGTTATTTGTTTTAAAATTATAATGTTTTTAGAAATGAATTTTCATATTTTCAGGGAAGTAATTCTTGGCATAAATTATGTTAAATTTTTGTAATCGGATTAAAATTCGAAAAGTTACAGCCTTTTAAAAAATCCAGATTTTGGGTAAAAGTTTTTTGTGAAAATTCCGCCACGGGCGAAAACATGCCCATTCTGGAAAACGAAAAAATACGAGTCCGCTTATTTCTGACTGTGAAAAATTTAAAATTAGTCCGGTCAAGATTTACCACCTGCACCTCTACATTATAAGTATGCATTTACCCCACCCAAAACAGTGAAATGCCAATATGATAATTCTATTGGTTAGTAATTCTATTTCTCGACCATTTCTCAACCGATTTTGATAAAATTTTGCACAGACCATTATTAGGAAATGTGAAAACGACTTTTGGTCCGACTAACAATACGATGGTGTAAAGTGTAACCTTCCGATTTGGTTGAAATTTTAAAATAATCTGGTCTAAGTCAATATAACCAGTATTTCTTGAGCAGTTTATGCGATAGGTTTCAATTTGCCAAAATATTTGAGGTCAAAGTTGAAAAACGGACGATTTTTACCAGGCGGAGGAAGCGAACTCAATGTAATTGATGTGATTACATAAATCAACTTATGTAATTCCCCCGTGATTTCTAATCTTTAGCCTAATTTTTTGCACAACTCGCAAATCAATACATGGTAGGTAGGCAAAATTTTCCCTTGTCTTCAGAATTAGCACGATGATATTACGTTTCCATAAATCTTTTGATTTGGAAAATTTGAAAAAGAAATATAAAGGTTATAGTAAGAAACATCGGATGAGATCAAAAAATTTAAAATTCTAAATCATCAATAGTTCAAAGTTTCCAAAAAATTTTGAATGTTAGAAGTGGTTAAGAACTGCATAAATGGCTCAAATTTAAAATTCCAACACTTTCAGAGTCTTTCCAACACATACGAGATAAGTGTCTCAGAAAAATTCTCAACTAAAATGCGGTTTTAATGAATTATGTTTAGCGATAAAAGTTATCGGTCGGACCGGTCCGGTCCGGTCCTGGGAATCAGGACCGAGACCGGACCGAATTTTTGATTTCGGTTTCGGTTCGGTCCAGCCTAGGACCGAGACCGGACCGGACCGGAGTTTTCAGTCCGGTCCCGGTCCTGGACCGGACCGATTGAGAACACTACTTCTAGTCGATTTAATTTTTTCACAGGAGCTAATTTTTCCGCAGATTTTAATTTTTATAAATTGTATGTCGATATCGTTGTAGAGATTATATTACATAATGAGAAATGCCCGTGCGACTCTATTTTTCGCTTTTTATTGAAATATTCAGATGTTTTCTTTTAAATACCCAGTACTAGCAAAAGAACTGTTACAAGAAAAACTCAATGTAGCAATCACAGTTTGTCGAATTTTGAAAACATAACTACATCACTGAAAAGCCAATGAGATTCTATATACGAAACATTATACACCTTTCAAAAGTTTAATCTCATAATAATAATAATAATTTATTACAATGAGATACCCCACAAGTGGGACATTACATCTCAAGGAAAGCAAATATGGTTACATATTATTACATATTATGTCAAATTCATATGCATCAATTAATTCAAATATCACTCTCAGTCTATCATCACATTGATTGTTGACAAAATGTTTCTTTACACGTTGTTTAAATACTTGGAAGCTGACCACTCTACTAGACTGTACAATAGGCTCAAGTAGATTGGACCATACTTTTGAGGCCCTATATAAAAATGATTTTTTACCAAATTTACTGTTATATTTGAGGCTTGGTTCATTATATGTCATATTTCTAGTTGATAAGCTACTATTAGTTTCACATATGTAATTATTGAACAAAGTTGGCCCAGCAATAGTAACCATTTTGCATGCAAGTTTGCACATTTCAAGTTTGCAAGCATTTTTCGCTGTTAACCACTCAATTTCATTGATGTTGTCAGATATTGAATCATATTTAGATTTTCCAAATATAAAGTGAGCTTTTATCATTCGATCAACTACATCAACATTTTTCCTCCCATGTAACCACACAGGGGCAGCATACAAGTAGATGGACTGTACCGACGCGTTGACATATGTAAGGCGACACGAGCCCAGAGTCTTAGTCTTGGTTTCCACTTCGCGATTGCTGTACGCCTACATGCGTTCCACGGGATATTTGTGGTATTTCTAGACGACAGATTTTTTTTCGGAGTCCAAACCTGTGTTTTTGCACATGTATCTAGCTTCAGTTTTGATCATACATATATCGTATTCCAGAAAGTTGAGGTTTCGGTGATGATGAATTGTATTCTCTCTAAAATGGAGGCAGGAATTTTTTATTTCAACCACTTATCTGATATTTTGGCTTCATGAGTAGGACCTGAGCGTCCTTAAAGGTCTAGTGGATATTTTTGAATAGAGTGTGGTTCATCCGTAACCCAATTTGCTCGATAACTTCAAAAATATTTTTCTGACGAAATTTCACCCTCAGAGGAAGAAAATTCACTTTTCCGACGACATTCAAATAAAAAATCACAGAAGCAGGATGGTGGATGGGCCAATTATTATTTTTGAAATTTTTTGAATAATACGGACTGGCAATATGTTGACACAGTGCTTTTGCTTATTTTATATCGCATCAATGGTTAAAGTTGGCTCATCTTTTCAAAATATTTATTTTAATTCTTCAAGCGAGTGCCGCATGATCAGCGCCTGCCTTCTTATAGGTCTATTTTTACTACAAGTGCGGTTAGTAGGTACTTCTCCTCACATCTTAAAGACTTATGTCAAATGTTTAGTTTCAGGGCCAGGGAAATAGTTTTTCTTAACCCGTTTATTTGTAGGGAAATTTTTCTTATGGTCCGGCATGAATTCGGACGAATTCAAGTTTTCATTAACTTCATGATTTTTTATGAGCTCTTTGACTGTTCCCTTCCACTTTTGTTTCACCTATTAACACTTCCAGTGTCAGGGGACTGTTTTACAGTACTGTCTGTCATCTTGCGATCAGTTCGGATTTTTACTCAGCAATTGAAGAAGTGGGGATTTTCTTGCTTACCGAAATGTTGCTAAAAATACTATTTATAGCAACATTTTTAAAATAGCAATATATCATCTTCGCCATTCTACAATTTGGTAGAAAGGCCTTGGGTCACACAAATTTTTGAAACAGTTTCTGACAGATAATTGTTTGGAGATTTCAATAAAAAAATAGTACAACTCTCTAAAAAATTGTGTAGCCTGCTTAATTTACCCGGACAATCTTGTAACAGTTCTTTTGTGAGTACTAGGTAGGTTAAAAAAACAGTCGTAATCATATCTGCAAGTTTTGTAAAAAATTAATTTTTTGATGTTGACTAGCAAATCTCGTGGGAAATCCGATGATTCAAACTACATATCTTTTAAACTTAAAATTAATTTTTGAACGAGACCAATTTTATTTTGTTCACCTTAAACAAAACCTACAGAATACCTGTAATATTTTTGTTACATCAATTTCGCATAAATGTACTACTTTGAGCCCAAGGCTCTAAGTCTAACTGAATTCCAGATAAAAGCTCGGGTCCTTAAAATCCATGGAACATCTAAAATTTTAGGGTCAATTAAAATATTATGAAACATGATCCATCGGAATGGCTTACTTGATTTATTAGAAATCCACCTGAAATATTGTATGAAATTTTTAGATTTTACGGTAGTTTGTACTAACGTCAGAACGTTATATAAAATCTTAAAATTAAAATTACGCGATAGTTAGATTTTTAATAATTCAAATAAGTCTTTCATAGAATCATGTTTTCGAATTTTTGACTTCGGACTAAGGTTCGAAAAGTAAAGTTCAGGTTCTTCATAACTCGAGGTTTTGCTTGGAAGGCAGCTTAAAATTAACGCATTTTGGAAAATACGCTAATATGCTTATATCTTGTAGTAAACAAACTTATTGTTAGATTGGTCCCATGTAGATCTGCCTTGTATATGTTTGAGGAAACGCATGCGTTTGAGATAATTCAGTTGAATTTTGGCACCTCAACTTTCGAAGAAAGAGATTCATTATCGTATCACGCTTAAACCCAAAAATATTGTTCGAAAAGCCTTCTATGAAACCCGAAGTCTGGGGCCTTCTCTGTGGCTTCGAAGTGTTCTTGCAAGATTTTTTTGGGGTGGAGGGGAAATGGTGGAAATTATGTCCATGATATTAAAAATAATAATAAAGTAAATACTTAATATACCATATTTTATCCGCGACGCCCTCTTGCGCCCTTTGCCCTTACCCCTCCCTGGGGCCCTCTAGGAACGCGATGATTTAAATTACATATGTATGTATTGTATATGTGCTCCGAATCACTTTGAAGACAAGAAATTAAGATTCGAACTTGAGATTAGTACTTATAAAATTGTTTTTACAATTTCCAAATTTAAACCAATTTCGTTAACATCAATTAATTTTTTTGTACACGAATAAGAAACTTTTGCCAAAGGGCGCCCTCAGAATTTTCCGCCCTGAGCAATTACCCCTACCAAAATTCTGGGCCTGCCTGTTGAGGGCAAAATTTATTTGCCCAAAACTATGTTAAATAAAGTAGAGCTGTAAGTTTGTCAAATGGTCCTCATAGATCGTTTCACAGCATTATTTATATGTTTTTCTACTGACAACTCATTCTGAACGGATTTAAGAAAATTATTTACCAATTTTCGAATTTGTCGTTTTTATCTAGTACACAGCCGGGCGCCTCACGGCGCCCCTGACAATTTGGCGCCCTAGGCAGTTGCCTAGGCCGCCTGACCCTTAAACGGGCCCTGCCTGTATGTATATCCACTAAATTGCAGGACTTAAACAACACTCGTGATAATGAAAGCATTCTTCATGCCATTGTACACTTTCTCTTTGTTGTCATTCAAAAATCAGTCTTCCCGATTTCTGACTGAAGATTTTCATTTACATTCAGTCATTTTCGTTCAAATTCATTTCACTTCATCGGACTTCATTTCTTACAAATGTATAGGGTAAAAAATGTGAGGAGTGAAAAATCCTTCCATTCACAATAATTCATCTGAAATGGTAGAATCTTTCCGTAATTTTCATACAAATAACATGAATCTTATTTTTATTCACTATTATTATCAGTTAAATGAACGAAAGTGAACACGTATTTTCTTGAATACTTACATAAATATATACATATGATTACGTTTCACATGCAGATTTGAGCATAATTTTGTCATACCAAGTAGTTGCATGTTAAAAACATAAATTTAGAAATTATATTTATGTAGCTAAACACCTTTGACTTTATTCGCTTCATTAAAATTCTGAGGAACATAATCTCATCAATAATTACATGCTCATCTGTTATTCTCCTCTAAATGGATATGACATGCGATTAATATTATTTTTTAGAAAGTCGTAACGTATTTCGACGATCACTTATTATGCATGATTACATTATATGAACGTTATATATACGTTTTGAGCATATTTGAAATTTAAAAATTAATAATTAAAAAATTTAATTGGGCTTAATAAAACAAGTTTATGCATATCGCCGACCTAATAATAAAATAAGATAACAACAGCAACAAATTTCCAGGATTCTCACAATTCTAGAGTATGACGACGACAATGTTTCACTAATACCGATAAGTGGAAAAACTGCTTCTTGCAGAAGTAACAGTCTCGTCGATTCGCAGGGTTGTGACGCCTCGCGTGATTCGCTAAATTTGCTTTCGAGTGGCTACTGTACTCGCACTTGTCGCAGGAATGGATCTTCTCCTTATTCGCGGAATGTTTCGCCTCCACGTGATTTCTCATATTGCTTGATGTCGAGAATCTCTTGTCACAAAATGCGCACGGATGATTCCTCTGAGTTTCATGCACAACTTGGACATGTTGTTGTAAGTTGCTTCTTCGTAAGAAAGTCTGATGACAACTTTCACACTTGAAACTCCTTCGGGTCGATTTTTCCAAATGTGTAACCTTAAACGTAAAGAAATATTCTGGAGTAAATTTTAAATCACATTTTTTCATTTTTTCATGCCTTTGTAAGGGCGTTCTACGTAAGGAAATATGAGGACAAAGTCCACACTTGAAAATTCTTCTGGCCGATTTTTTTAAATGTGTAACCTGAAAATTTAGAAAATTTTTTAAATATATACATTTGATAATGTCAATGTTTTTGTATTTCACAACTTAACCGTGCCGGGTACAGTGAATTTCTAAAAAATGGTGTAAAGGGCTAATTTTTGGAAAGAATAGGAAACGGATCGGTAATTCTGTGGAGAAATCCATTCCCGACATATTTACCGATCCATTTTCCATTCTGCCCAAAAATGAGCCCTAAACATCATTATTAAGAAATTATTTTTGCGCCTGCGTCCCAGAAAGCCTTAAGGGGTATTATGCAAAAAACAAGTACATACATACATAAGTGCATTTATTCGAAATGGATTGAGAAAAAAGTGTTACATAATTTACTATGGAAATTTTGGAGTGAAAACATTTATTTATTTTTATACAGACGGCCCAAAAGCTGCTGTCGAGGCATAAATATTAATGTTTACCTCGTGATTTTTCATTGTTGTCCGGTGGCAAAAGCTCCTCCCACAAGTGGAACAAATGTAAGCTTTCTCTGTCGTGTGGGTGGAAATGTGCGCCTCAAGTTGCTCTCTGGTTTTAAATTCTTTACTGCAAAGTGTGCACGGAAATCGGGTCGGGTTCTCGGCATGCTCAATTTTCATGTGATGCGATACACCATCCGGGGTCAAGTAAGTTTTTCCACATCCGAGAAATCCGCATGGAAAACGAGGTCGTTCTTTACTGCCGTGGACGGTAACAATGTGTCTGCGTAGGTGACATCGGGTAGAATACACCCGGTGACAAAGATCGCAACTAGATCGTTGTCGATTGGTATCAAGCATTTTTATAGGGATGGATAAAATTAGTGGATTTTTCTGCAAATCTAAAGATCAGGAAAGCAATTAAATGTGGATTATTGAATGGTGCAAAGTGTAAAATAATCGTTACAAATTTAAACGTATGACATTTCACCTTCGCTCCGGCCCCGTGCGTATGCGTTGGATTTCTTAGAAAATTGTGAATTTGAACGTTTTTCAGAAGGTACAAATGTTTCTTTGCCTTGAGCCAATTTTAAGCCTGGATTTCCTAGACAAATTGAAACGAGTCCAATTCGTAAGTTTCGGGAAAAACTTCACTTTTCCTGGATTATGTACGTACCTTGAATCAGTGCGGCGAACTTTCTCTGTAACCGAATATTGACGATTTTCTTCTGATTGAATTTTAAAACGGGTGGGTAAAAATGTCGGATTTTATTTTATGCCCATTTATGTAAATGTAATGGTGGTTTGTGTATGATATGTATTGGCAGACTTACGACAAAACTTCTCTCTATTTGAACAACGAATTTATTTTTAGTGAGAGAAGGTCAAGAATGGAATGTGCCTGGGCAAAGCCCTGCCTGGCAAAATAAATAGTTTACGCATACTAAAAGTATACGAAATCAAGCACCTTCCTTCCAAAAAACAACTCTTATAAGACATCCTTACCAACAGTCAAGTTATTCCATATCTGAACAGGAATACTGAGGATGAGTATTATCCGCGCGCTTTAACTTGTCCCCGTGTCATACACATTTTAACGGTGTAGTCTCCGTGCTGTAGAGTGTAGAGCGTGTATACTGCCTGCGTTGTAGAGACCGTTAATTTGTGTATGAGACGGGGACAAGTAATAGCGCGCGGCTAATAGCCATGTGAATGAGGCCATTCACATATTAAGTGATCAACAAACTCCACTTTCCTTTCAAATTTTCTCACTTTGAAGATATGTCTATTATTACTATGTAATTGTAATTGTATTATCTATATAAGTAGAAGATTCGTCGCGGAAATTTTAGCATTTCTACATACATAGTTACATAAGTGTAAAAGTTACTTGAGTTTAATTGCAAATTGTTTCGGTCATAAATAAGTAAACTATTTAACTATTTATTTAAATCCAAAATTTCACAAGTATAGCAACTAAATAAATATTTAATAAATTTAGTCATATTTTCTAAAAACTTAAGTAAATTGTTTCTTTTCGTAGAACAGCCCTCTCCTGGTAATTCCCCCTTTTGGGGTGGAACGGCCACTATGTTTCCCGTCAAATTCGCTCCCTTCTTCCTCTTCACTGGGCTCGGTCACATATTCGCTCGAACTTCTCGTGTCCTTCAGCTGAAATCAAGCGAATTACGTTACATGTAATCGTATTTTGCGTTAAATGCACTCTGAATAAAGTTGTCTAACATTTAAGCGAAATAGCGAATAGCACAACAATTTGGTAAATTTTTCCAACATTGTTTAAATTTTTATGCAACCGTGGGATAAATTTTACCAAATTGTTGTCTTCCACAAGTTTTACTGCTGAAAACTTGAATAATTTTTACGAAACTTTATTTAGAGTGTAAAAAATAAAAATTGCAGCCCCTTCCTTACTTCCGTGGCGTTCATGGACAACGCGTTGTAAACATAGATGGCGATGAAATAAGTCCAAAACACGTGCAGGCAGAAGAGCAAGATTAGCATCCCGTTGAATATGTAGTACGCGGAAAACATTGGGATTATTTTGGGTGCCTCGAATAGCGTGCTGTAAGAAAATTGATATGGTAAAAATTAGCTTTTTTTAAACTGAATTTTAAACTGATTTTTTTAAACTGAACTGAACTGAATTTTTTTTAAAGTAACAAGTGTCAAAATTGAGTTAAGATTAGTCAACCAAATTCATAAATATTCTTCTTAAAAGATAAATACATATCGGATTGAATTTTACACCTGTAAATATATACTCACCTGTTAATGATGTGCATAGGAAATAGCGTAATCCTTGTCGCAATCCAAGCAAGAATAAACATGATTGAGACAACATCCCCGATTCCGTTGTGTTTAGAATACTTGCATAATTTAGAGCCCTAGAAGTAGTCTTAAATTTATTTACCGACTAGTGGTTAATAAGTATAAATATTTTTAGTAGGGTTCCGTAACTTAACCAAAAAATATAGCGCATATTTAAGTTTCTTTGACATTTCATATTCACACTTCAATTATTACCGTTACCATTATAGTAACGAAATATCGAGTAGTTATTACCGATTTAAATTGGAGTATCATTGTTTAGAAACTACGAGCCCCCCGTTTGTCGTGATTACACGTAGATTAATTAAATTTATATATTTCACCTCGAGCCAAGGTTCGACAAAATCGTGCAGGAGGAGGACCAGGGTTCCCACGCGGGTCAAGTTACACGTCCAGGAGAATGCGAGGAGACAAAGGGTGGCCACGTGGTGGAGCGACATTTCCCAGAAATCCTTCCGCTTCGCGTCGTACGCCAAAGTGATGAGCAAACTCCAATAGAAACTTGACCCATAGACGTAATACCACCAAATGTCGGTCGTGACACTCTGAAAATTTAAATTCTAATGGTTCGTAAAATTGTTAAACCCCCATTCAATAAAACAGGGTTCCAAATACGCCGGTTAAAGAAAATTAAAAATTTTGCATACTACTAACTTTAATCTAACAGTGTAAATACTACAAATCACAAATTAGTGTATTGTTTTGAATTTATTAACTGCAAGTATTTTGAGAACCCTAGTTCATGTAAAACAAGTTCCCCAAATTACGTCCTTAATTTGCACTCACATGATGCGGGTAGTCATACCAACAATGAAGAATATCCCACAACCAAGGTTTATCCCACAGGACGTAAACTCCAATTAAAAATGAGATTAGATAGCAAAGAAATCTCCAACTAGATAATTAAAAATTTAAACGGTTTCGTATAAAATATTTATATTATGACATTTACCCAAAAATTTACGTACCAGGATTCGCTAAATTTAGCCAGCGTGGTTGGTTTTCCTTGCGCTGCCCTTCGTCTCATCCATCTTTCGACTTGCCGAACTTGCAAATCCGTCTTTTTTCCGAGCTCTTCAAGCTCCTTGTGGGTAAATAATTTAGCTTTCTTCCCTTTTCCGGTGAAAGCTTTCTCCAGAGTGGGATTGGCTGGAAGGATGCGAAGCTTTTTTTGTTCTTTAATCCCAAGCAGGTGTCCCAGTGGATAGAAGAGAGTCCTATTTATGACACCAATTTACACAAGTTGTAACATAGTAACATTTTCACTAAACAGCTTTCAAAATCTGCCCATTGTTTTCGAACTTGTTCTAAAAATTTGTGTCCTCTATTTGCAACATAAATTGTCGGCTGAATTGGTGGAATTATGCAATAATTTTATACTTTTAGACCCTCATGCATGATGTGGTAATTTTTTTAAGAATTTCGACTTGATGCTATGAAACTCGCTGCATCAAATTTGCATGAAAATGATAAAACAAAAATTGTGATCTCCAAATGTTTGACCTCCGAATTGGAAGTACCAATACTTCAATAAAGATATTGGTTGCATCCAAAGAGGAGAAAGCACGCAGAAATTTGGAAAATGTAAAGTTTGTGAACTTTTGGGTGCGTATTTTCCTCTCTCAAGATACAAATATCTCTGACGCAATAACGGATAGTGTGTTTTGGAAAGGTTATGTTCATTAATTTGTACTCGATTGACACAATTCTGGTCAAAATCGGAGAGCAAACGCTGGGCGAGCTCCATGACAAGTCACTAATTAAATTGATCACATTTATGAAGTACGCACAATGACTCACCTCTCTAGGAAATATCTCACAAAAACCATTCCAATTCCGATCGGAATGGCGTACAAAAGATCGTAGGGGACAGCATACTTAACCTCTTCCGTGGGGACGATGTCCTTCCAGTCAAAACCGGGTGGCAACCAGACATCCGGATTCCAAAACCAGTCTAAAAATTGCCTCACCACCATTTCAAATAACTAAACTGTACAAACTTGGAGTTTATTCTGGGAAGAATATTTTATTATTTGGGTTAAAGCGTAAAAGTAAACCTTGTGACTGGGCAAAAACTTGGAGTGTAGTGATGCAGAATCGGTATGATGACATTACAAAAGGTATGCATTTATTATTTGTTTTACGATAAGATAACGTAAGGTATGTAAATAGTGGGGTGACTCGTTGAGTTAATTTGGCTGTGTCATGTCTATACAATTTTTTTTCCAGGTGTGCACAGATGCATTAGTACATGCGTGCATACCTACATACGTACATTCATAAATTGGTTTCATCTGCCAAATAACCTAACTATGAGAACTTGGATCTATGTATGTACCTATCCATGTAAATCACAAATTCACAGAGTTCCGTGATTAACGGAATAATCCCTAATTCAAAATCTTCCAGAAAAATTATACAATTAATCCTTCATCATTGTTCCTGACGGAACATGTTCACCCCATTAATATGTACTTAATCTTTAATCGCGACGAAGCGTGGCTAAATTATTAAACCTACATCACGTCTAGACTTAAGTTGATTGCAATCATCAAATGCAGAATCAAACATATTTCTACATTACTACATATTTCGGCTGATCCTTAATCAAGAATTAATCTGGATTGATTTATCCTTAATTCAAGGGCATTGAAAATTAATCATTAATCCCAGCAAATTTATGTAATTATTTTGTTAATATTACATTAATCTATATACATAATACCGGAATAAAAATTATCCTCAACAACCAAAAAAATTCACTAATCACATTTCTCTGCGAACACAATACAACTAAATTTACATGCATCATATCGATTTCTCTGAATTAAAGTTAATCATACTGGTCTGTAAAAATGTGATGATGAGGTAAAACTTTAATATATATGTATGTAGTTATTACACGGCATTACTTATCAATACCAGGGTTGTAGAGTCACATGCATATTTCCGAATAATCTTAATACTGGATTTCTAAGGGTGTTTGGTGGAGCATATTTACATGCACTGGGCACCACCCGTATGGTTACGTGAGTACATATGTACGTATCTATATACCGTTGTGCATAAGTGTACATATTTATTTGCATAAACATACCTGCCCATAAAAATATGTCTGTAGTGATTCACCCGGTGACAAATCAATCAAAGTACTTATCGCATCACTCGGCTACGACTAATTAAATTATGCACATAAGTAATTACTCTGCCCTTTTAGAAATCTGAAGTCGTTAGACAGGTATTGATTTCTCCGTATTAAATTTAACCAAGTTTATTTTTTTCCTCAAAAATTGTAACATTCTTTCAATATTTATGTATCTCTAAAAGAATATGCGCATCCTCCACATCACTTGAGCGAAATGTCTAGCAGAATTTGCAACTTGGTAACGGTGGAAGCTTCATCTTTTACCGCTCTTTTTAGGTATAGCCGCCGTATCGATAGGGGAAAATGAATCGATCTGCTTCGGATCACCTTTTCCCATTTTGGAAATATTATGTTCAGTTTTGAAAAAAATTGGAGGTGTGCAAATCATTTGAAATTTGAAAAAATTCGACTAATCTGTGAAGACTTTTTCAGATAATATTTATCATCGTTAATTGGAATTCAATGCCTGGTTTCTTCAAAATGATTGCCGGGAACTTCAATGATTTTCCCAGACGAGTAGCGGTGGAAATTGTTCCAGTTGATGGAAATACCACATGTGTAAAGTTTCCCTACGGAAGACAACATGGTTTCCCAATCATTACTTTTTCTGCGAATAGATGGGATAGCAGAAATTTCCGAAATCTGAAATTGTTGGCATTTCAATCACATCAATTACAAAACCAAGGAATTCAAATTATTTTATTAAAGTACGATAATTACCTCATGCAAATTTTTTAGCACAAATGCGGAAAGCACCGGGTGTGGTCCTATTTCAAGGAACATGGTCAACCCTTCTCTCCCAGCCGACTTGCATGCTTGAAGAAAGCAAACTTTCTCCCTAGTGTGTCTCCACCAATAGTTTTTATCAACTTCCGATATAATTCGTCCCTCCACGCCAGATATAAACTTGCATTTCGATGGCTTCCGAAATTTCACACTCGATAGTAATGCATCATAATCACGTTCTATGGGATCCATAAGTTTGGAGTGAAATGCATGAGAGGAGTCAAGCACAAGCGTCGTGATTCCATTATTCTCACAGAATATTTTAAATTCATTAATCATTTTGTGTGATCCAGAAACAACAGTTTGCTGTTGGGAATTAACCGCAGCAATGTCCAAATACTGGTTTGAATTGCCAAATGCACGACTCATTTCCATTTTACAGGTACCCAGGTCACGAGCAACTACCAACATCCCCGAAGACGGTAGGACATTGATAAGTTTAGATCTGGTGGCTACCATCTTCAGAGCGTCCAGCGGCTTCAACATGCCAGCCGCTACCGCGGCAACAAATTCCCCCAAGCTGTGGCCCATGACAGCTTCCGGGATGACGCCCCACGATTCCCACAACCGGAGCAGACCAAATTCCACACAGAAAATGCCAATCTGACTGTACAATGTAGAACTGAGAAGATGAGCAAATTCATCTTCCAAAATGGCTCGCTTAATATTTAAGCCATACTCCAAGCTCAGAACGGAGTCACACCAGTCGAACGTTGACCGGAAAACAACGCTTTCGAAGTAAAGAGATTTAGCCATACCCCCATACTGCGAACCCTGACCAGTAAATAGAAAACAGAGACGCGGTGGTGTCCCAGGAATTTGTTTTGGTTTCTGTAGAGATTCAAGTGACGATATGATATTTTCGTTGGTTGATCCTACAACAACTTGTCGCACAGGAAAGTGTGTTCGGGATGTGTGCATTGTGTATTCCATGTCTTCTAGCGAAACATTTTTTGATGGTTCGAGTAAATCCTTGTACAGGTTTAACTGGGCCTGTAATGCTGTCTCAGTTTTAGCGGAAAACGTTAGAATTCTGTGTTGCCTGGAATCAGCGAGCGTAATGACCGGAGAAAGTTTGGTTTGCGGGGGTTCCTCGAGAATTAAATGAGCCTGAGCTCCGGTTATCCCGAAAGAGTTGATTCCAGCAATCCGAGGTTTACCACACATTTTTCTTTCCCATGGAATTGCTTGCATAGAGAGTTCGGCGGGTATCGCTGTCAGATCAATTTCGGGGTTTAGTTTAGTGATATGCAAATGTCTCGGTATGAGATTGTGGTGCATGGATAGAAGCGTTTTCTGTATTCCAGCAATCCCGCTAACTGATTCTGTGTGACCGATATTGGTCTCTGCCGATCCAATTATCAGCTTATCACGACAAGGGGAAGAGTACGCTTTTGAAATGGCAGCCAACTCGATCGGGTCGCCAAATATTGTTCCATGAGGTTCCACAAAATCTACATCATCAGGATGGATCCAGGCCCGTTCAAGTGCTAACTGCAAATTTAAAGCAAATATGGATTCAAAAAAATTGCAGTTAAATAGGTCGCTTTCCATGGAACTATTAATTGGTATGATGTTTAGAAAGGTTTAAGACCTATAGGGCTGGAATTATCCATGCTACATGTTTAAAGATAAGACATAAAAAGTCTTATCGAAATCAATTTCTACACACATTTGCAAGTGAGGTTTGTACCTGCATAGCGTTAGTTTCCACATTTGCAGTGGATGTGCCCATGGTTCTGCTCTTTCCTTCCCCCACCACTGCTGAACTACGAATCACGCCCCATATCCTGTCCCCATTCGAAACCGCATCCGACAGTCGCTTCAGAATTAGAACACCAACCCCTTCCGCCCTGCCAATTTCGTCCGTACTGGCGTCAACTGTCTCGCACCTACCATTCGGAGCGAGTGATCCCTCTACTATTCCCGGTGTAAAGGGGTCCAAAAGAAGGTTGGCTCCTAGAACGATAGCGAGGTCGCAAGCTTCGTTTCGCAATTTGTCGCAGGCCATGTCCACCCCCTCAATGGAGGTAGAACAACCACTCTCTGTAGAATAGCTGGGCCCGATTAATTCAAGAAAGTAAGATATTTTTGCAGTAAGCGGTCCAAGTTCAGTCCTCATATTGTTACAGAGGTCTTTTTCACTGCCTTCCGCTTTCTGCATAATGTCACGGTAATCGTTCCACGACCTGTTGTTAATATTCAAACCATTTTAATTTCGGTGCCGTGAAGGGTGGCTGGATTTGGACTGCATATGTGCATGTGATAACAAGTTGGACGTAAGGCATGCATTCTTAAAAGTAGTGTTATCCTTCCGTAAAAGTACTTTGTACTGTTAATTGAGCAGGCTATACCAAATGCAGAGTAAAATTAACCTGCTTACTAACGAGTTAAGTTTACTCTGAATTATCATAGTTTAATTAATACTGAATTAAGAGTGCAATTATTTTTCAAATGGATAGCAATATTTTTTAAAGAGTGCGGACTTGTTTTTTAAATTGTATCTACCTTTTCATATCCAGCTCAAAACAGTAGTTAATCTCATTCAGGGCCGGCTCTGTAGTCTCATTACCATAAAGGCCACCTGCAGCAAAGGTAATATTGTACAAAATTTTGTTTACTTATAATATCTCATAAAGTTATTAAGTTATTCATAGTTGCTTCTTTTTCTTACTTTTCAATGTTTCCCGTCCAACCACAAGTCGCATGACCGTGTCAAGATCACCGTCTCTCATCAACGTTGAATTCGCCACTATCGCAGCAAACTCCTCGCCAGTTTCCCCTAATTCGGACCACTGGACGCCATTTAGCCGGAAAAGGTCGTCACAGTTCTTGATTGGAAGACAGTTGCAATCCAGCAGAACGAATCGCTGCTGACGCTCACCAGCCATCAATTGCTGCAGTTTGAGTTTAGCCAACGATCGGAATGATAAATTCTCGACCGGTTTCGAAAAGTAAACTTTGTCCACTTCATCTTGCAGCAGAAAACTGAATCAAAAATTGCATATCAGGATAAAATACAAAAATGTGTCGGATATCCGATTTTTTAAAAATAATCCGTTCCCCAATTCGATCGGGTCGGATAGAATAAATATTTCTGCAAATTAAAAAAAAAACTATCGGATCGGTTATTTATTAAAATTCAAACAACGGAGTTTCTGAAAACCTTAATCGGACTAAATGCTGATAAAAAATGGAGAGAAAAAAATACACTTCAAACCTTAAGACACTCTAAAAGCTGTCTTTCCCTTCTGAAAACTAAATGAACTCCGAATTCCAACTTAAACAAGCTTTACTAAAATCAGAATAAAGTTCACTCGACAATTAATAAAGGTTAGGTACCCTGGATTCAGTGTAGCTTATTTAATACTGAATTTAGAGTGAGTTTACCCTTAAAAATTGTAACATTATTTTTAAGGGTGGACAAAGATAAATAAATATTCTCACCTGATTTCTCTCCTAACCTGATTACTCGCAATGACCATGAATGGCCTTGTGGTCAGCGTTCTCCTCAACGCTCTCGCCAAGCCGATGCATTTCCAGGCTTCAAAGTCATCCGAAGCGTAACTGACCCACCACCCGAGACCGTTAAGACCACCCATGTCTCAAAAAATAAGTTTTGAACTCAAGATTTCTGAAGTTTTGAATTTATATATTTTGTAAAAACAAAATTACTATCGTGTAGAAATATACAGCTTTACAAATGTACTATTGTCAAGAGCAGGATATGCAGGGTTTATATAACTTTTTGGGGAATTTTATTTCCTACCTCTTACAACTACCGTCGACATAAATATGTAATTTAGTTAACAAATTTTAAGCTAATTAAGAAATGCAACAAGGACTTAGATAGTAATGTGATTTAAGGTTATAAATTATCACTGGGCTTGTTCAAGATACGGATGTGAAGATAAACATGTTTTAGTTAGGAATTTATTTATTTTGGAAGAGCGAGGTAGAATTAAAACCGCACAGTCAGTTTATTTAGCCCGAGTCAGGTTGAACTTAAAATTAATTTAGTATTTGTACAATACCACCACTTCAACCGTTTTTATTATTCCACATATTCTTCCACATATCATCTTCGAACTTGATTCTTAATTTTTGATATGTACATATTCCATGTGTGTGAAATATTTCTAGTTTTACTAGCGTAATCGATAGGGAGTCAGACAGACGGACAACAATGATGGGCACATAAGCCATAACTCGAGCTAACAAAGCAGCCAAGGTGCAGGATTTCATGGTCCAGTAATTTGCCATTCTCGGTTGAGAAGTTTAGGCACGATTTCCATGAAACTTGTGCGCTGATAAAAATCCCTGGGTCAAACACATGATCCTCGTTGTTATTGATTTGGTAATAAATTTATACCGGATTGATTGTAGTTTGTTTTTGACTGGTAAATTTGTCATCACAGAAGTACACGTTATTATCATGACTGTGAACACACATTTGTACTGGAGCAAGTAGTAATTTCATACACGTTTATTAAGAGCGTAAATACAGATAAATTATGAACGTGTAAAGTTTTATCTAACTAGGGATACCCTATCTATGATAGTTGAAAAATGAGTTCTAGTTCAACTTTTTGCATGCACCAAGATATGTTTTGATTGCAAAGTGCAAAAATTTTTCTGCAAAACCAATTTGCTAATTTTTTAATAGCCTTCAAAGTTGGCGAAAATGGGGGGGGGAATAGGTGGAGTGGGAGCGGGTGGAGATGGGGGCGGTCGTGCCCCCCACTATACACTAACCACCTGTGACGGTCATTATTATCTGTGTGACCCAAGGAAATCCATCAGTAACTTATGTTTGATAAATTTAGTAACTTATGTATGTTTACTTGAAATTTAATTAATTGTAAGAAGATTTAGTTAAGTGAATGAAAAAAATTGATGCATGTTGAAGGCATTGTGCGCAGTGGTAAGATCAGTTTGCCCAGTTTGCGCACCAAATACTTACATCCTATTGTTATTTTAGTCATCTGCTCTTTCTCTTTTGTTAACAATTCTCTGAAAATTGTTCAATTAAGTAATCATATTAGCAATTACCACTCTAAATATGGCGAAAATCATTAAAGTGTGCGAATTGTTACTAGAATTAGTAAAACTAAAATATGACACCGCTGGAGTACCCGCTGGATAATTGACAGTGGCTTAAATCTTAACGACTTAGCAAGTGAAGGACTGATTTTAATCGTAAATTTACCTAATTTTTCAACCAGTACATGTGAAACGCTCGATGCATTGGAAATTTCCAGTGACGATGAAATTGACATTTACGGTGACAGTGCAGCTCAAACCGACGCAATTTCCGAAGAATCGTCATCGCAGGAATGGGAGGTTGAAAGTATCGAACATAATAATTATAATCTCGAAGAAATGATAAAGATTTAAAGTTTTACGACAGTGTTAAGTCAAATAAATTGTTTAAAACTAGACGACGTTTCCCTAAAATATCAACTTATGCAACAATTTCTCGGATGAAGACGTACATCGACCAGAATGGCAACAAACTGAAGAAGTTAAAAGATATAGAAGATTTTGTGTTCGAAAGATTTAATTTTGCAAGAGAATCTCTAATACACATTGGTGAAGTGGATTTAAAACGCTGGGGAATTATAAAATCTAAAGAATTATCTTTGCCATTCAAAGCTAGTTCAACTTGGGTCCATAATTTTAAGATTAAACATTGAATTGTGTCGCGAAAAATAACCAGATCATAATGACCGTAACAGGTGGTGGTAGTGTATAGCGAGGGATACGACCGCCCCCATCTCCACACACTCCCACTCTGCCTATTCCACCCCCACTTTCGCCAACTTTGAAGGCTATTAAAAAATTAGCAAATTGGTTTTGCAGAAAAATTTTTGCACTTTGTAATCAAAACATATCATGGTGCATACGAAAAGTTAAATTAGAACTCATTTTTCAACTATCATAGAAAAGGTATCCCTAGTAAGAGGAGTATTTTAAGCTCAAGGTTGTGGCCAAGTTATTCATTTTTCGGCAAGGAATGGTTTTCAGGTAGTTTGAGTGATATTATCACAAACTTTGGAAGGACGATGCAATTCATTCCATAAACTTTGAAGGTTACCCAGATCGTAAAGCCACTCTTAATAAGTCTGGACAAAATTAAAATTTGATGTGCCGCTACTGAGTAAATACTCAGTAAATGCTCATTTTGTACAGTTTAATGCAAAACTAAAATCTAGTCATCACTCCAGAATTTTCGGTCAACCTTGAGTATATTTTACATAGTTTAGTCTGGAAAGTTATAAATAAAAACAGCTATGTCATTTCAAATTTGATACGACTTTGTTTAGAGTGTGAAAATAATATATGTATAACTTGGAACATCATGTGCTGGATTCTGGTACATCGTATGAGCATATTTCAAACCAATCAAGTTCCGGCTTTCTCGTGTCATGAGTAGACAGAATTCATAATCATTATGATTTTGGTATTTACCAAAATCTGCAAAACTTATGTACGCAATGCATAATACGTATTTATACGTAAGCATACTAATTGGCATCATAATCAGTGTTGGTCTGTTGAAAGATAAAAGGATGATTCGTTAGAAAATTCCTTCACTTACTAAAAAATTTCATAAGTACCAATATGAGCTGAATTTCCTTAGAAATTGCTTTAATATGAGTCATTTTATATAATACGTAATTTCTTGACCATGAAATTCCAACCTTAGTTCTAAAATTCTAAATATATATATGCATATAAATCGCTTTCAGACAATCCGTAACCTTGGTTACGTACAAGGAATGATGGGGATTCATTAAATTGTAAGAGATTTTATCACCCGGCGAGTTATTAATAATAGAAAATAATGTACATGAACCACATTGATTTCTCGGTATTAAAGCTGCTACTTCTTCGTAGTAAATTATTTCGGTTCACAAAAATGTGCTTCGGATATGGTAGAACTTTAAGACCGAGCTATTACATACATACACCTCTTTACTTATCAGTATCACAGTGGTAGCGTCATATATGAATACCGGTTTTAATACTGGATTTCGAGAAATATTTGGTGGAGCATATTTGCAAATAAATATGTGCGACCCGTATGGTTACGTATGTATGCACTATAAATATAGCTATATTTGTAGGTATGTATTGTAGGTATACCTACAAGGTACTGACTCATCAGGTGACAAATCAATTGAAATATCGTACCACTCTGCTATGACTAATTAAATAATTTCATTAGTCATATAATTTAATTTAAATTATATGACTAATTACTCTACTCTCCACCATATATGTTCACATTCATTCATTTAATGATGAACGATTGAATTATTCATTCAATATTCAAAATTTGAATGAATATTGAATGAATATTTTATTCTGATCTTTGAATAAATGAATATTGAGTGAATATTTATTCAATTCGTGTGAATGAATAATGAATGAATTTTTTTCATCATTCATTTTTGATTCAATACTTAATACATAGGGAAAGTTGAGAAATTCATCTAATACTGTGAATTTTGAATAAAATTAATAATGAAGCCTTCATTATGAAGGAATGGTGAATAATGAATAAATGTCGAATAATCAATGAATATTATTATTAATGAGTGAATAACGAATGCATATATTTTGCTTAAAGGCTTTGAATGAATAAATATTTTTAAACACGTATCCTCTCCACTGTTAGAAATTTGGAATGGTCAAACAGGTATTAAATTTAACAAAGTTTATTTTATTTCCTTAAAAAGTTGATCATTTCTAAATATATGTAGCCTTAGAAAATATTTACACGTGTGTATCCCCTCCAAAACGCTTTACATAAACACATGTCTAGCAAAATTTGCAACTCGGTAACGGTGGAAGTTTCATCTTCTGCCGCTCTTTTTCCGTATAGCCGCCATATCGATAGGGAATAATGGCGGGATCGATTTGTTTCCGGATTACTTTTTCCCATTTTGATCGGTCCCCGTAAACTTTAAGCTTATCGATGGACCCCGTCATGAAGGGGCGGATGATACGGACCAGCGTGTCCACGACCCAATCCGCTAGTAAATCATGGTATAAATTATTCTTTGCTGACACATTTTGAACTAAATTTATCTACGGAGTTACTCACAATTTATCAGATACGCATAGTAGATCACCTAAATTAAATAGTTAAATGATATGTAAATCACTCATTAAATGAGCGTAAAAATAGAATTTCAATTCTTTTAGAAAATAATGGGGGTATTCATATATGTATTTCCTGGTAGCTTTGTAAACTCCGTAAGGTATGTTGAATAATTTGATCTCCTTAAAAATTTACAAAAATCTGGGACATAATTCTGCTTAAAAATATGCATATGTACAAGTTTGTAAAAGTTAATTAGTTTACGGATTTTACAAAGTTACCAAGCAATTGGCACTGTATTGTTCTTAAATTACTAAATAATAATAAAATAAAGTAAGTATGTAACTAGCTCACCTCAGGATAATTATTCTCGAAATTGAACACCATGGATAACACGAACTGTAAACCTGTAATGAGTGAGCAAATTTAAGCATTATGCTAAGCTTTTAGCGGGAAATTTGACTTAACATAGGAAGTATTACTGTTGAAATTGGCAAGTTGTCGATACTGAAGGCCACCCATGTCGCACAGCATGATATACGTGACGGGAGAGTTGTCTTTGCGGGGTCCCTTCATCTTGAGCTCAACCCCTTCCACGGCTGCCAACGCCTTTTCCCACATTTGGCCCTGGTGACGGTCGAACTCTTCTCGATTCCCGCCTGCATCCATGTACCCTCGAATGTCCCAGGACCCAAAGGGGAGCAGCATGACTGGCAATTTTTAAGAAATTTTGATGGAAGCTAAATACATTTGGGATTTTTCGCAATAAAATGGTCATACTAATCAAAAATTTTTATCAAAAACTGCTGTCAAATATGGCACAGTTGTCAAAAGAAGTTTCATGATTAAAAAGTTCAAAATTTCGAAAAGATAAAATTCAATACGAACTTCTTGAAATGTTTCTAAACTATTTTGACTTCGGTTTGTGGGATTTTTAAGGTTTGCCATGTCAGATACTAGATAGAAGCTTAAATATCACATATTTCGAAATCTTACCCGGATTTTGATTTCGGGCAAAACCCGTCATATTGTACCATAAAGACTTGTATAGCTTTGGGTCTGGTGCTGTATGTCGTAACTTGTCGATATTATACTTTTTCCTCCACTCGATGTGCTGTAAAATTAAGCAAGACAAATTGCAGTTTGCAGAAAAATGTATCCATGGAAAAAGGGGTACTCACGTCACGAATCATTTTTTCTGCCCCGTTAACATCCATCTTCTTCGCTCGGAGCCAGCGTAGCATTGTTGAGGCACCTTTCGCATGTTCGTTCCACATTATGTCGGCCACGCGAGATTGCAGCTATTTAATATATTTTTGAATGGATTTATTTTTTTTAAATAAAATTTTTAAAATTAAAAATTTTTTATCAATAGCATTTGTATTTGTAAAATAAAATTTCAGTATTTTTATTTCGTCACAAACTAAATATTGAGGGTATTCATGACGCCTTTATATCCTTAGTTTTCTTAATATCGTGAAGTAAATTACGACGGTTACGAGGTTTGGTGCATGCCGTAAGATTTTGTCACAAAAATTGCGTTACCAAGGTCACGCTTTTACGAAGCTTGGCCCCTTTTTCTGCGTAAACTATATATTTGACGATACTAAATAAGAAGGATACGAAAAAAATTGTGAATACACTCACAATTTGGTAAATGATTTACGATTATTGTCTTGAATACCCCTAATAGTAAAATTTGCAAAAATTGATATCTATTTTACCTCTTTCACCGCTCCAATCTCTTTCCCGACCGGACCCGCTTGCACAACGGGGGGTGCGATTTCATTTAAATTTTCTAAATTCCGTATCAACGATAACGCCGCGAGGGCAGAGAGGATCATTTTTTTTGTATTTAAAAAATTATTTACAAAGTCTGACGAAATCACGTTATAAATTTTAAGATAATCAAATTCTTACTTATTCACTATCAATGATCGTCTCTCATGGAATGAAGGAAAAGTGGAATAAATCCTTAATAATGATTTCCGTTCAAGGGGAGTTTGTTTGACTGGAAAAATTTGCATAATTGTTTTTCTTAACTAAAAATGAATAGAGTAAGAAATGTGCTAAGGTGAATTTCCTGTAATGATTTTATTTTTCCAATGACAAGTTCAATGTGAATGTATAACTAACGGAAGTTTGCATGATTTCGTCCTCAATCAGGTGACATGTGACAGGAAAGATATTTGTGGAGGATTAATTGAGCAGAAGTTCTTTATTTATTCAGGTATTTCTGAGAATCATGGATGATTAATAATTCAATGTGGTCCAGAAGAACAAAGAATGGCACAGACTGACGCCTTGCACTGGCCTGATGAGTATGTAATTAACATGGACAAAGTTTGCGAAATTTTGTAAATTTGCATACGTAAAGCGTGCATACATATCTTGAGAAATAAATAATTACATACATATCTACGTATTTAATGTAAAAAACGACATACATACTTAATTTAATTACATAACAATAACCAGTCTGAATATGTAGGAAACTAAATATTTTTTTCGTTGGGCGTGTTCACGCCAAGGTTTGTAGCTTTGTAAAATTAATTTACAATCCTTGCATAATACATATTCTGAAGACTTGCATACATACATATGTATCATATACATTGATATCAGTATGTGTACGTGCATGCTCACATATACTTATACATAAGTAAGTTTGCGGTTTCTATATATCCCAAACGCGACATATTTCTCCATCTGCGTAATTTTCTTACAAAGTTTCATACAAAGCCTACGTGAACTACATACTTATTTAATTGCAAGCAAAAATACTGATCTCGTTAAAAAACTCGGTCCAAATCCCCACTTTTATCATCCTCCTCACCTACATCACCCCTCCACTTATCTCCCACACCCTCCTCCTTATCCTTCTTCCTCTCCCGCTTCACCCCCTCATGCACACTTTTAATATGCACCCTCAAATTAAACGGGTTTGACAACCGCTTCCCACAAATTTCACACGTGCGCACTTCCGCCTCCGAATGCTTCGTTTTCCTATGTTTCTGCAACGCCATTCTCGACTTGAACGCACCCCCGCAGACTTCGCACATCCATTCCCGCTGCTCCGAATGTCTCGGCATGTGATCCTTCAGACCGGACGCGCGCTTAAACCGGGCGCCACAAATGTCGCAGGAAAACGGGAATTCTTCCGGGGGCGCGTGGTCAAACCGATGAATCGCCAAGTAGCTCGGAAACGGGAAAGATCTCCCACAACCCGGGTGCTCGCACGGGTACCGGGTCGGCGTGACGGGTCGGACCGGTTGGTCCGTAGAGGAATGAAATTTGGTCGCATGCAAGCGCAACGAGGTCCGCGCGAAGAAGCGCTTCCCACAATCGCCACATTTGAAGGGGCGCTCCAACTCGTGCACACAGCGGACGTGGATGGTGATATTGGAGGCGAGTTTGGCCGTTTTGGAACACCCGGGTATCGGACATTTGTAGAGGAGAGTGCCGTCCACTAGTTGGGACTCGTAATCTGGGCGACGTCCCCGTTTCTTGCGGGGGACGGGGGGCGCGAGAGGGACATGTTTTGTGCGGGGGCGGCGTGTGGGTTTGTTCGATGGGGGGAAAGTGTCGACGTCTTCGGGGTGGTAGGCGGCGACATGGCGACGGAAGGAGGACTGGGCGAAAAAACCTTTGCTACACGTGGGACAACGGAACGGTTTTTCGCGGCGGTGGACGCATCGCACGTGGATGGAAATGTTGGAGGAGGTTTTGGCCGTTTTGAAACATCCGGGGATCGGACATTTGAACAGTTTGGTGGAGTTGATGATGGTGGTTTCGTACTTGGTGGGGCGACCGGGGTGCCGTTTTGAGTTTGGACGAGATGATGGAGAAGAAGGGTTGGTTTTGGATGTATAATTTTCTAGTTCGTTAGTTTCTTCATCGTCAGACCAAGACGAATCTTGGGATTGTGAGGAATTTTCCCACTCGGAAGTGTGACTGCTTTGGTCGGGGTGGTCTTCTTCGTCCTAAAAATTAAGAAGGGTGGTCATGTAATTGGAGACAAAAGATGACATTACAAACTAGCCACGTGGGTATTTGAAACTAAATAAATTATTTAAAATAATACTGAAAGTACGGATAATCAATGCAAATTCTAAATTATAAAATTAGTGTGACTAGCAAACTATGAGAAACATTGATTTACATACATTATGTATTACATATACATGTACACACAGTTAGGCGCTTCACGCAGTCGTTGGGAACTTTGTAAATGAATCCGTGAAATCCTTAAATTTACCAACTTTTATAAATGTTTCATGGGAAAATTAGTTTACAACTTTTTGCAATCTTAATCACGTAAAGGACATCTTTTCATTTTGAAACTGTTTGTAAAATCAATTCTACCAAATTTTCGGATTTTCTACAAAGTTACCAAGGGCTGCGTGAATTGCCTTAATATCTTTGAAAAAAATTCCAGGGTTATAGTTATACATAATAATCCTTACTAATTTGTAATTAAATGAAGAATTATGTAAATTGCATAAAAATGTGTACCTCTGAGGAATCGTAAACTTTCACTCTCTTAACAACCCGACACGCTCGGATCCGATTTTGACTAGAATTTCCATCCTCATTACTCGAAGCAGGACAGGACTCTTCATTTATCTCGTAGTTCTTATCGATCTCATCTTTAATGACCTTCCTCGGCCGGCCTGGTGTCCGCTTGCCCGGAATTATTGGGGGCTTTGGCTTGGGTTGGGAAACTTTCGTTTTTGGGGGACGCCCCCTCTTTCGTTTCACTTTTTCCGGATTTATGACCACATTTTTGACGAAGGCGTCGCTGTCAAATTGCAACGGGTCCTCGTCCTCATGGATAAAGGTTTCCCACGAGTCTTCAACCGGCTCAGATTTTACGATGGACGTGTCCATATAAATTTCCGGATTTGTTAATCTTTCCTCCGAGCCGGGGTCATGCGGAGATATCAGGTGAGGATTTGGGGACGATTTTAACACCTGGAAATATTCAAGAAAAAAAATGAAACAAAATTTACTATGTAAGACTATGATCTTTTTAAAAAAATGATAAAGACGAAGGAAAAGGTTTTCATATGCTACGAATTAATTTTACATAATTCCATGTCAAAAAATTATAGCTGCAATTATTCAGAATTAGAATAAATTATTAAAATAAATGTTGGCAAAATATGTAACAAAATTAAATCAAAATTATGGGTAAAAAATATTAAAAGCTTCGTCAGAAATGTTTTTAAAAATTTTAAGCACAACTTTTTAGTTTTTGCATGCAAAAAATTATACATCCATATTTTACAAATTAACGTACGTATATAATTCCGGTTTAGAAATTAAAATAACAAATATCATAATATTGGAAATATACCTGAAAACAAATTTTGTAAAATATGGTTTAAAATTTAAGCAACTCAGAAATCTTTACAAAAAAATGTTAAACACAATGGATGAATTTAAACCTAAAATAACGGATCATAAATATATTCAAAAATTTAAACAGTCCTACTGTAGCACGATTTAAAAATAAAAAAAAAACCATTCCGAAGCTAACCTTAGTCTGAGTTTTCTTATCAAAATACGCCCCATAAAGAAGTCCTTCCTCCTTCGTCAGGTTAACGAAATCTTGAAAATTTTTGTATAGCTGGGTCAATATTGAGGCGCAGGTGGGACAAAGGGACCACCCATCTCGGTTATCGGCTGGAACACAATGTGGAAATGTGGGGATGAAAACGGTCGCAATTATTTTGGCGAATGTGACCTCGTCGTTTATTTGACTCGTGGCGAATACGTCTTCGTCCCTGGTCGTGGGATCAGTACAGTTTAGGCAGACGTAAACTGATTCCATTTTCAGGGCAGATTGTTATGAAAATTTGAAAATTTCTATTTTAAATTTTTGTCAACTTGAAATGAAATTAGTTTCTTGGTTCGATTTTGACTTGCAGTTTTTCTTAAATTGGCGTAATTTCTTGATGCGAGATCTGGTAAATGTGAAAATTTCAAATAATTTAGGTATAAATATTTTGTAAAAATAATTGTTGAAGTCTTGTATTCACCTGAATAAATATAAAATTTGAAATAAAGTTACAAAATCTGAATTATTTATGAATTATCGAATTTTAGCACGGTTTTAACTTGAATTGTTAATTTTAGCGAACTTAATTTTATTCAAGTTTCATATTGTGTAAATATGGAATGTATTTAATTAAATTCGGAATTAATTGGAATTGTGAAAATTTCTTGCCGGATGTTTATTTCTATTTTCATCTGTTTGGCCAGCCCGCAGCCCAAAATTCTCACGATGCTCGTGTCACTTTGTCTTCACGTAACTCTTTATGCACAGGTAAATGTGTTTGCATGTAAGAAATGCCGGATTTCTATGCAATTTCCATGCAAAACATTATAGGTCGCAGGAAACTGAGAAAATATGAGTTATTTGGCGTTAATTTGTTTAACATAATTGTATTTATCAAATTTTTACTTTAATTGTACATATGGAATTTTTTTAGACAAATCTCTTCAACAAAACATGGTCAAATACACAATTCTTTCATGCATTTTGTCGATATTGCGATTTTTCTCTTATAAATAAAACAAGACAAATGAACACGTATATCATCGCTCAGATTATATTTAAAATTCCTTATGCCCAGCGGCGTAGCCAGGATTGGGCCTTGGGGCCTTGGCCAGCCCAAAAAATATTTCGATTACCATTTTTAGGCTTAAAATTTCTACGTTCACTCACTCACATTGCTTTTATACAGGGTGTAGTTACATAGTTACAAATATCTTAGCTTTAAGCATCAAAAACCACTAAGTTTAGCACGCCGTGTACAATGCCTGACCTATAAACGCCTCAAACATTTATTATATCTGTATCTGTAGTAAGTTGTGTGTATCTAATTCATCACAGTGGCTTTTTTATATGACAAAAAAATCGGATCACACATTAACGAGGGTCTGCAAATTTGGGTTAACCTTTGGTGGTACAAACTTTGTACTACAAAGTGGCTCTAGCACAAATTGTGATACCTCAAATGGTATTGGCCCGTTAAAAAATCAACCTTATGTTCCTTTGATAGCCTGTTGTGCATTCAAAGAAAAATTGTACGAAAAAATCCGGGCCACATGAAAATTTTAATAACAAAATTTTAACTACTTAAATATCAAATCATTGCTAATCGAGACAAATTTGCTAAAAGTCATCAACAAAGAGCTTAGGGCATGATCGGCATAATTGGTCCAAAGAATAAGGACTAATACTGTATAAAGTGTGTAAATTTATTCCGGTAGCATTAATTTTTTTGGCGCCTGCTCGAGACAAGATTAGATATAACTAATGATCCTGTCAATATTTTTCCTTGACTTTCTTACCATTGGTGGAATGAAGATAAGTGCTGATTGATAGCACCATGCCTATATATGCAGGTCTTAGCAGCGCAAAATTCTAATTAAAATTTAAAATCACTCAAAATTCGGATGTAACGGAAAAATTTCTAGCAATACGAGAATAACAATTTTTCCAAGGATGTAAAATCACCTGAACAATTCAAAATAGAGGTGAGTCAACCAGCGGTTTACAAAAGCTCAGCTAACCCAAGCACGGTTCGTAAAAAGCTGCAAAAAAGCTATATTCAGAAAAAACTCGAAAAATCTCGGCTCGCTCAAGCTCAGTTTGAACCGAGCCGAGCACGAACAAGCTCGGTTCAATTGAGCATTTGGCTCACCTCTAATCCAAAATAGTGTCATCTACCAGAAAAAGACTGTCTATTCTCAAATTTCATGAGATACTAAGTTATCATAACTTAAATTTCTTGTACAAATTATGCAAGGGAGTATAACAACGTAAAACAGCCTAAATGAATATCATATCAAAGTAGCCCATCGTGGAGTAAACTATCGTCCAATAATCTGCATTACATGGTCGTAGAACACCTAATCGAAAAAAATCATGTGCCCCACAAAATATTGACAGCCGCGTTCCATTTAACTTAGAAAATACCCTTAGAAAAATTGAGAATTTGATGACATGAAGAATGACGTAACCTTAATTTTTTTAATGAGTTTTATAATACCTGCAGTTTAGAAAATAAACATTTTCTTCGCAGTGAATAATGTTACTGGATCAGATTTACACCCTTTGAATTCTAATAGAAACCTTGGCGACGAAGCTTATAATATCTTTTACTAAAAAATGTGTCGAACATTTGAAAGAAAAATTAAATACACACGCCTCATATTCAAAACCGGTATCCTGATTTCTCTTCGCATCCTTAGTATCGTAAAAAAATAGCATAGAAATCACAAACGAAGCGTCAAGCTTCATAAAACCATGAGCTTACAATCCGGAGACCTGAAGTGGTTCTCTCCGATTTTGACCAAACAAAAGGATGCGCCCACAAAGTGGGCGCATCCTTTTTAATTGTGTTTATTTAGTTTCTCTTTTCCAGAACTTTTAACCAAAATCAGAATTTTTCAAAACGCTGTAGCTTTTCCAATTTGAACCCGATTACAAACACTAAACAACATAAAAAATACTTTACTGGAAACTTTTAAAATTTGACACTTGCTTGCTACTTTGGAAGTTTGAAAAATGCAAAAAATATCAAACTTTTTAACATTACATGTTTTTTAAAGGTAATTTTTCTTATTAAGGTTCTTTAATATCTGAATATCAGTTATTCTTAATATCAGTTTAAAATTGAAAAAGTTATAAAATTTTGAATTATTTTGTTTTTGGTTAAAAATTCTGCTACAAAATCCACTCAAATACAAAAGTGTAGATATTTTAATTTTTGTTCGTTAAGGTACCAGAAGAAGAACTTCCCCTAGAAACGGGTTGCGTTTGTCCCCCCAATTTTGAAGGTTTGTGCAATTTTGAAAACTTTACTCCCGAAGCAAAGTTGGGGTATAACAAGTAAATATTTTTTTAAAGCAACACTAACTTGATCAGGTCAATGTTAGTCTGAAGATTTTAATGCAACCGAGGAAAGATTGAGTTTCGTTCACAAATTAGCCACTCATGAACCGATTATCCTAAAATTATAAAATTGTACATAAATTTTGCCCAGATAAATTACGCAGACATCGGTGGCAATCTTTTGTCGTGGGAATTAGCTTTAATGCCGTTTAGGTTTAATCATTATCAATTATAGGATTAATAATGATTTCTCCAGTTTGAATATTGTCTTTTATTTTTGATCGATAGACTCGATCACCATTCAAAACCCGATTGCCACCGAAGTCTGCGTTATTTATCTAGGCACAATTTAAGTACAATGTCATAATTTTAGGATAATCGGTTCGTGAGTGGCTAATTTTTGAACGAAACTGTTGTGCGGTTGCAGTAAAATTTTCAGACTACCATTGACCTGATCAAGTTAGTGTTGCTTCTAAAAAAATATTTAATTATTTAATTATTTAATATTAATTTATTTAACTTTGCTCCGGGAGTAAAATTTTCGAAATTAAACAAACCGTCGAAATCGGGGGGGGAGGGGGGGGAAATCCAACCCGTTTCTAGGGGAAGTTTTTCTTCTGTACCAGAAGAAAAACTTAACAATTTAAAATTCGTCCGATTAAAATTGGGGAAAACAACTTGGTGCTTACATACCATAAAAACTCAATTAGTAGCCGGGGGCTACTATTTACAAAATCTGTGTCTGGGACCCGGCTACTATTTGAGCAAGGCTACTATTTTTGCAGGGTCACTATTTATTAAATGACGGAAAGATGTACGGCTACTATTTGCACACAGCTATTGAATTATGTTTCCAGAATCAAGCTCAAATTAAATTTTAATAACAGCACCAATTTCTCTCCTAGAATCGCAGTCTATGACAATTCTGTTGTTTAAACCTGCTCTTAATCAATTTCTTCGATGAGTCGAATCTCTTGTTTACTTCGATTTTTTGTATTTAGTTGCGATTAAATTGAATTATAATTGAATTAATTAAATGACCTGGCTAGGATATGTGTGGTTAAGTTGATGCACGGCTATAATTCGAATAAGGCTACTATTTGGGTAGGGCTACTATTTGAGCAGGGCTACTATTTGGGCAAGGTCACTATTTATAAAATTATGAAAAAAGGCAGGGCTACTATTTGAGCACGGCTACTATTTGAGCAACGGCTACTATTTGAGTTTTTACGGTAAATATGTACATACGTACGTACGTACGTGCTGATGTAACGTGATTTTTTAGTATAGTTTTACGAACGGAACGGTACGAAGTAATAACGAATTCCCTTAGTGTGTAACATTTAACTTCATACATAACTTAATTTTTAATTTTGTAATTTTTTGCAATTTTTGTAATTTTTCAAGAATTTTTTTTATTTTTCCGATCTCTGGGGGGGCTCAAGCCCCCCTAGCCCCCCCCCCCCTTGGCTACGCCGCTGCTTATGCCAAAATATAAAAATAATCTTCGACCCAAGCGAAATTTCAAATATTTCCATTCCATAATAAAAACAACAGCTTTTATGTTTAAACACATTTTAACTTAACACATTTTACAATTAGACCTGCAGTATGAAACCTTTAGTAAATAATTACATTTACAAATACTGAAATCTAGTTGTAGGTGATTATAAAAAGAGATACATACGTAGGTTTATTGATAATGGTCCAAATTGCGAAATTTCAGACTAAAATCAGTCCCTAACGCGACAACTTTTGACCTTAACTTCACGTCAAATAAAGCCTACTTATTACGACTCATGTTTCCTTAATGGATTATATTTAACCCCAACTTTTTGTATTCTACGTACATTACGTACGTATACATGTAGTTATTCCAAATATCCCTGGGTGATGGAGTACATCACAAGGTTCACTTACTTAAAAATTCCACATTAATTATTAATTATATTTGGTGTCCATCAAATTTAAAATTCACAAATATTTGTGTATACCATACATATACAAAATGCATGTAAAATGCGTACATGAGACAAGGAAAAATGCCTAAAGATTAAAACAATTACATATGTTAATAATTGTTCCATTGTATTTTTAAAAAGTAGGTAAATCATTTCAGCCTTCGTTGTCTGATTTAAATCACATTTTTACTCATTCTTCAAGAGCATTTCATTCCGTCCATGATGCCACCACGCCCACCGTCTTGCGTAATTGCTGTCTCATATTATCTACTACTCTTTCTAGTGGAAACAAGCGGTAATTAAAAATACAAATTCATAAATTTCCGAAATTTCATAATGATCAATTTTCTAAATTTTTTTTAGCTTACCAGAAAGATTACACGTCCTTCGCCGAA